TTCATTGCTGCCTCCTACGCCCCTTGGTAAACAATCTAGCCTGCTATTTGGATATATATGTATTTGTATTCTGTATTTGTAGTTATGTGTTCCTGTTCATTGTCCAACAGGTTGAACCTGCGGGAGCTGGGTCCCTGGGGGTGTCACATGCGCTGGCTGGTGTGGGTCATGGCCTCTTTTGGAACCACCTATGTCTTCTTCTTTCATGAGAGGTCAGTTCATGCATTAATTATGTTGGGCTGTCTTTCTTTATATTACTGTAATCAAAACGTAGTCCCATGAAACAAATTAATATCACCTCAAAGGTCCACTCACTAGCTTTCCTGAGTGTACAACTGCATCCCATGATCTTCATCAGCAAATAGAGCTGGCTAAGGCTAAAGTCATACTTTTCTACACCAAATGTTTTGTTTGGAGATGGTTAAGCTGTGTGTAAATTAAGCTCAACATCAATTCATCTTTGTCTTTAATGAGATATCAAATTGTTTTTCTGAGGTACTCTACTCTATCGAGGTTTTTTGAACATTTAATGAAATGCATTACAATTTATACATATAATGTAAAACTAAAAAGTCTCTAAAACTCTTTAAAAACTCAAATCCCAAAGTCTTGTGGTGACTTTGTTCCTCTATGTGTCAGGTATAAGATCACAGAGCTTATCTGCTATATGGTGATGGGAGTTTTTCCGGCCCTGGTCATCCTCTCAATGGTGAGCACACTCATTTACTCTCACCTGGTGTCTTTGAGGTTTTGTCCTTTCTTAATGTCTTTAAACATAAAAAAAATTCTGCCTCTTTGCAGACGGAGCAGTCTGGTCTGTACGAGCTGCTGGCGGGCGGAGCCTGCTACTGTCTGGGGATGATCTTTTTTAAAAGTGATGGCATCGTCCCATTTGCTCATGCCATTTGGCACCTGTTCGTAGCTATGGGAGCTTCCATACACTACTACGCCATCTGGAAGTACCTCTACGCCCAGCCACCAAATCAGGTCCAGACCTCCAGATGACATCAGCGCTGACCTCACAGGAAGTAGCTCCTGTATTGGAGCAACTTTAAGAGGGTGATACATGCAGTGAACCAATTCAGTGGCTACCTCCTTTGAAAAACAAGTGGGCAAAACATTCTCACCAAAAAGACAGTCAAGCATCACAGGTTTAACAATTAAAGGTGCATTTAGGTTATCCTCATCAACTTGTAAAGTAAAGAAACATGTTTAACACCATGAAGTTGCACTCAGAAATGGCCAGAAATGTTATGTAATTTACATAATAATTATTAGGTAAAATTGAGTGTGTGGCAGTATACTAGTGTAATGTTAAATGTAACCACATTACTTTAATTAATCTAGTTGTTAACTGCCTGCAATTATTAACATCATTGATGAGTTGATGAAGACATCTGAACGCACCACGAAGCAATTACCCAGCATACTGTAATTGATAATGGGAGTTATTCATCAGGTTTTTTTGCCAAATGAAGGGTGCATTCTGAGGAGTCTTTGCATTGAGGCAGCCTTTCAGTCTGTTTTGAGAACTCTGCAGTTCAAAGGAGGCAGCCTGTGAACTGGGACAAAGCTTTTGTTTTTTTTCAAACCAGTGTACTTTAGTTAAATATTAAGTTATTTTTGCAGCAACTTTGGTTTCATTCCAATGATCAGGGGTTAAATTACTATTCTATGTGGTGCATATTCAGATACAGATGCTGAATTTAGGACATTGTCTTATTTTCAAGAGGAGGACAATGTTTACAATGAGCTGACTCGACTATCATAATTAGTTTCTGGACATTATTTCAAGTATCATTAACAGGTTTTGGTTACATTCACTTTAGGAGGTTGCAACATCAGTCATTTACTATTCCAATTCAGAACCCTAGATAGTAGTGTTACTGTTATATAGTTACTAGTTGTGCTATACACTGCAGTACATTTACTATATGGGTTAACAGCAGTTGCTTCAGTCAGTGATTTACTGTGATTTCTAAATCAAGCATGACTGTGGAATTATCTTTTTTTATGTTGAACATGCATTTATGGTTTTAGTCTTGGTGACTTAAATGGTATTCTTCTACCTAAACTAAGTTCTACTCATTAGATTTTCAACCATAATAACTGAATTATAATAATTTACTGTTGTTCATTAGGGTTAGTGAGTGAAGATATCATCAGTACAATTTATACAGTATATATGTATTAATGACGTACAGTGTATGTTGACTTCATTTATATTTTCTTCTTATGTACTAAAAAGTATCAGTTGATTATATCCATCATATTGAACTTAATGAATGGGAATGGGACCAATTGATATAGTTTGTCAAAGTTACACGGTTGAACCTCAGAAAGGAAAACCACTGTCTGATCACACTGCCAGAAGACTTACTGCCGTACCTGATAGCACACTACTACCATAAACGTCTCACACTTGAAAGGAAACAGAAGCTATAGTATTGTTGAACAATCTGGCCCAATATTAAGGCATCTCAGGTGTGTGTCTGTGTGTGCTTGTGTGTGTGTGAGAGTGTATGAGTGTGTCTTTGTATGTATCCTATAATATCTGACTCCCATGAATCCAAAGCCTGTAATCGGCTGAGTCTATGTTTACACGTGAACGCATGTACCTTGAACACATAAAAAGTATATTTGACATAATATATGTACTCTTAGTGTTAAACTGTATGTGGTGGCACAACGTATATTAGGTGAGCTTGTATAGTGTGATAAATGTGGCTAGAGGACCAAAAGGTCACACCGTCTAGTATTCATAGGTGTAAGAGATTTCTTTTTAACTTCTGCTCTTGTTCAACATATTTCTGCTGCTGTCCGTCTCTCAGGATTTGGATCATTTGGGCTTTAAAGTCTGTGAAGCCACATTCAAGGACCACTAAAGCTGCTCCGGTTGTTTGAGCGCTGACTGCAGAAATGAAAATGATCAAATAGCTTTGAAGCTGCTTTCTTAAGTAATGGCAACACACCATACAGCTTTCTACATCCCTAAGTAGGGCAGAAGTCACAAAAGTTTTCTTGAAGCTTTACATAATATTTATAAAATAACCAAACAGGAGAAAAGCTCTAGCCAAATAGACTTTGACATACAACCACTACATAGATATGTCTTTTAAGATTATAATATAAAACTAAAATAGAACATACATACACTCAAGCTGCACAACCGCTCTAGGTTTGCTGTAAAATCTGCAACATCTGCATTTGATTTGCTACAAAATACACTGACAAACAATAATGTGTGCAGTAGATATAGAGGGAAACAACTTTGCAATGTTCTTTCATCAATATAACCATAACATGTTACAGTTACAACTTACCAAACAGCATATACATGCATTATTATACTTTATGGTCTAAAAGGAGAATCATCTGACAAAAACACAAATATTTCTGCAACACCTTTCCAACAAACACCTGAAAAAAACACCTTGTTATTATCATTGGTTACTTTATCGTTTTTTTTAACCATTATGGTAATTTAATGTCTGAACAAATGTATCATCACTGGGAATTTACGTTCTTCACAATGTGGATATCTCAGTTCGGAATGACACTCTTCAGATAATATTCTCACATTTAAAGTACTTTAAGTATTTGAACTATGTGTTTACGTTAGCCTATGAACAAACACCAAATGATTGAGTGTTTACAGTTTTGGAGTAATCGGGGGTAATGGAGCCTAACACAGCCAGTGTTTTGTGACGGTAAAATTAAGTATTTAAGGATTTTACGTGTGTCTGTCTTGTCTTGGTTATGATATCTGTCTCATTCAGACATACAGTGCCCACCTGACTTTGTATAGAGTTTTCTAAACTCTCCATGAAGCCTTCATGGACCCTCTGTACATTGTTATAGACGCTCTGTGATTGTGGAGCTGCTGACTCTGTTCTCAGTGCTGCTGGTCTTTTCTTTCTGGTCGTACAAGACTATACTAGCTCATATTCTTTCTCTTTAGATATCATATTGGTTTTTCTTCGTGTCTGTGGTGCTTTGTGAAGTGATACGCCTTTATGACGCCAACAATGCTTTTATCTTTTCTATTTCTCTTGTAATAAAAAAGCTTTTTCATGCAGTATATGCCTGGACTCATGATTTTTATATATTTTATTTACTTATATATTTAAAAGACAACAACCAACAACTCAATACACACAGTAACTCAAAAAACATACTTACGGACATGAAAGGAAATGTTATTGTCTTTAATTATACACTTTGATGTTTCAAATACTATTATTGTGTAACCTTAAGGGAGAACATTTAGAGAAGGAAAAGTATATAAACATGTCATATGCATAGCCATATACTGACATAGACATTGTTTGTATTTGTCAGTTTTGATTGGAAAAGCCTGTTTTGTCTTCAGAAGCTGTTGAAGGTAAGACTTTAGCAGTTTGTTCTTAACTACCTATCATAAAATTAAAGCAAATATACAATTAAATTAAGCATCTATTTAAACTGATCTTTGGATCGTTGTATGATATCTGAATGTTTTGTTTTAACCCGTTTCAGCGTATTTTGAATACACCAAACTTTCAGGTGAGGTGAATGAGGCTGTATTCAAAAATATTTGGGATCACACACCTCAGATGTTAATGTTTTTTTATAAATATGAATAGTCACAACTACTGTACATAGGCCTATAGCAAATACATTGTATTTTAAAACAAACGTATATTACGTTTACTATCATTGCCCTTATAGGTAAAGCAAATATGGTTAAATATATATATAAAAAATAAAAAGGTATTTCGTAATTGTATTTAGTTCATATTTAAGTATTTGGATCTCCATTGGTCCACATGCCTCCATGTTGTACCGCCGGTGTCCGCCAGGGGGCGCCGTCCCCGTGCACTCTGGTGCCAGAGCAGGTGCGCCGAGGTGAGGCGGCTCGGAGGACTCGGGTGTTTCCGGCTGGGCTCGGCAGTGAACCGCTGTGGATGTGGGAATGCGGTTGCCGGAGGCAGCGGGCATTGCTGGACACTCGGCGGAGATGTGCGTACAGAAACTGGAGCCCTCCACGGTTGGCAGTCATCCAAGTTAACGGGCTGTTTTGGGGATGAGTGTGGCGGCCCCGGACGTCTCGGTGTCGCTCGCTGGGTTTTTTTCCCCCTCCTATTTTTCCGGGGATTTTCTATCTTGTACAGGGAGAAGGAATGAGAGAGAAGCCAAGAAGGATTCCCCAGCATTATGGAGCCACGCATTGCAGGCAGCGTGAGTACAAACGCAACAGACACCCGGGAGAGCCCTCAGGGGAGTGGGCTTGCCACTGCTGGGCTCACACAACTTTTTCGGGGTCTATTTTATTTTAGGGCAGACCCCCCACAGCTTTTATCACCCTTTATAGTTTAAAATCACCAATTGTATCGTCGTGGTTGAGTGTTCACGTGTCGAAACAGTGTTCCTGCTAATTGATTATTAATTGTGTTTGATTGGCTCGACTTCAAACATCACACACCTGCTGACCGCGAGAGGCCGGGGCTGCTCGCTTTTAGTGCCGCGCCTGACGACTCATCAGCGGATTAATTTCTGAGGATTTTCTCCTGCCTTTTGTTGCCACGGCGGTTGCTACTGACGACCACTGAGTCCAACGTCGTAAACAGACGGACAGGCACCGAATAAAGGGCAGACCCGGTAGTAATCGAGAAATCACACGTTCTGTAATCTGTACAATATTATTCAGCATGTTTTACTGGTGTCAAGTTTTTTTCCCAACGCAGCCTTTATATCTGACCTTCTAGCTGTCTAGACAAGGACAGACAGCAAGTCAAAAAAAGGTGGTGGGGAAGTTGTAGTCTGTGTGACATGATAACCAAATGTAACCCTACCTCCTGGGTCACAAAACACAACCTGCCAATGCAAAATGTAGGCCTCTGTCTCCTTGTGTGGACCAAAGGGGTTTGTTAGTCCCAGGATTGAGTTAACTGCGGCCAAGTAGCCAGATTACAGTGGATTAGCAGGCATTTAAAATAGTCACGTTATCCCACCAGAGTCCGCTACAACAACACCTTTTAGGCTGCCTGCCAATTATTTGCTGAAAGGAAATAATATAAAGTACAAGTTGCAATCAAAACAGACGTGTGTGAGGTGCTGCTTGCATCTGCTGCCACAGTGGCTTTAAAATGTGGAGGTGCTTGCTGATGTTACCTTCATGAAAAGACTTGATCGGTCAAATGGGTTCATGCAGAGCCAAGAATGAAGCGTGACTCTCCTCCAGCAGTGACATGGGCTGCAAACAGAGCTGTTAAATGAGATAAATGCATGACCTGAATCCAGGCAGACATAGAATTTCTTCATTTGTGCTTTATACAATCTGTAGCACCAAATTTGAGATCACAAGATGGCTAGGAGAATACAACAAAATGTGGTGCATGTGAAAGGGAAACAATGCGGCACAGTCAATAACTGGAAACAAGCAATGAAATGATGTTGATTGAGTGGATAACCAGAAGATTTATTGGCAAAAATGGCAAACCTGTGTTCATTCCAGCTTTTCAATCAACAACTGAGACTTCTCTAAGAAATTGAAAATGTAGTGTTTTTCGAAAAATGTTTAGACGTAAACATTTATTTAATAAAAAAATTATAATATTAATAATACAAACATTTTAAAGATATAGTGAGTCATCAAAGATAAATTGAAACTGTGGGTTGAACTAGTATATTCTGAAGGGAAAGGCTATGTATATCAGAAGGGTCGGATTGGGACACTTGATTTTACCGGGAAATTATGAGGAGGAGCTCGACGCTCGTGAATTGTCGACGGGGGGTCACTGTCATGGCCCAGAATTCAGTCATACATTTGTTGGGCAGGCAATAATATGATTTGAAATGTTGACACTTGAATCTTTAAGCCACAGCGATATTATATGAATCCCTGAAGGATCCGTGCCTGGTTGCATAAAATTACTCAGCCTAAGGTTCTCTTTAATTTTTTGAAGGATGCTTCAAGAAAATATGAGTTGCATTAAATCTCCATAAGTATTTCCTTTGGATGTTAATGGGGGAAACCTTTTGATCTGAAAGTGTGCGCTCTTAGCTACTTTATAGTATTCCCTTATGTGTAACAAGAAGGTCCTTAGTTTGCTTTAGCATACAAGTCTCCTAAAAGTGAAATAATGTGTCAAGCATAATACAACGGCCGTCTTTATTGTGAATAAAGAGGAGGAGATATTAACATGCATTTTTCCGGATAGGGAAAAAGGAAAACCCTCTGGACACGATGAGTGATGCACAACTCGATGAATTGACTATCAGTCTATCTTCAACATTTATCTTATTTTATACAAAACATATTATATATTTGTATTATAACTTATATAGCTCACACCGACAATAATGCTGTAAGCTTATGTTAAAGGAATGCATAAGCCTTAGTAAAAACACTCAACCCAAGAGGCTTCACGCTCATAAATGAACCCCTTAGCTAAGGGACAAATTTAAGTTTTAAACTTGAGGTACTTTATGTAACAGGGCGTTGGCAAACAGTGTAACCTCAACGATGGCTTCAGTTCTGCTGTCAACTCATAAACTCACATTAACATCGTCTTTTCTTTCTTCTCCAGTGTGAAAGGTGATGCAATGAAAAGCATCTGACCCACAACTGCAAACATTTACCGGGTGCTGCCGCACATTGGAGTGATAATAGATAACAGCATCAAGGTATCCACCACGTACTTACACACACTTACACACACACACACACACACACACACACACACACACACACACACACACACACACACACACACACACACACACACACACACACACACACACACACACACACAACTTGTTAATTATCATGGTCTGTTTTCGGTCAATATATTGTACATAATAGATTTAGGGGAGATTCTGTTTACCTTCCAGATCTACAAATGTTCAACAAGTAAGTGTAAGATGTAGCCGTGAGTCCATCATCAACTTTTATGCATGGACTTTTTGCATATGAGTTTGTTTGTGTAAATATTTGAATCCTTCACGCTGGAGTCAAATATATAATTTTAAATGTATTTCATCGCTCCCCAGTTGTGGAGTTTGTGAAGCCAAAAGCGGCATCATGTTCTACGGTTCTTCCTCCGGGGCCAGTATGTCCCTGCCGTCCAAGAGCCGCCTGAAACGCCAGAGCAGGACCTTCACACAGGTACACACAAACACACACACACACACACACACACACACACACACACACACACACACACACACACACACACACACACACACACACACACACACACACACACACACACACACACATACTGCCATTTTAGTATTTCGCTCTTTCAATATAAAACAAATATTTTAGTGAAGTCTATCTACCTATAAGATGAAAGGGCCAGTTCAAATTCTCACTTGCCTTTGGTATACTTCCTAGTAGAAATATTTGGCTATATTGGCTGAGGTTTTGCAATATTTGAGATTTATTATTAAGTATACCTGTGATACTGTTTCTGGAAAACCACATTCAATTTGTATCCCCTAGCTAAGAGCATGAGTCAACGTTGATCAGTCAGTCAGTCCACAAACTCCGCAATGAAATATCTCACCATTTATTTGATCAAGTGCTACGCCAGGCACACACAAGTATGTTGGCCTCAGGTTGATATATTAATTACTTGATCCCTGCAAACCATCAAGTAAAACCCTGCAATTTTGTTCAATACTGGTGTTTATGATCAAATATCTGCAAAACATCCGTGTACCACCTTTTACTCTCAGCGATGCCTTATGTAAATAACAAATGTTAGCATGCTACAATCCAAACTTAGATGGCAAACATGGTAAATATTATTCCTGCAAATAATCTGCATGTTCAACAATATCACGTGAGCATGCTGATGTTAGGTTTTTGCTCATTTTGCTAAATTCTCCTCTGTTATTGAGTACAGCCATAGCTGCTAGTATGGCTGTAGACACTTTGTCTTTTTTAAACGTAATGTATGCTACCTCCCCAGTATTTCAAAACTAGATACCCTTAAACCTTGGCAAATAAAACCAAAACTGTGTGAATGACTGGTTACCACTTGAGGCCAATTGGTGACATTGTAGAAAACACATACTGTACACTTACAGTCTGTGATGAAGTGGCCCTACAGTGCATTCAGCTTTGGTTGTCTGTTCCCCAGGTCCTGTACCGCACTCTGAGTTACAGAGACCGTGTCCCAGTAGAAACTGGAACAAACACTCGTGGGGACCGGCGCTCCACGACTGAACCCCCAGAGCGACCGACGGACGACCCGGCCGAACTCTCCACGCAGAGCTCGGCCCCGGGGGTGCTGAAGATCTTTGGAGATGAAATCTGTGCCGGTGCCAACTACAAGAGCGTCCTGGCCACGCCGCGCTCCAGTGCCCAGGAGCTGGTCAAAGAGGCACTCGACCGTTACTCTCTCAACAAGAACGCTGCCCACTCTTACGTCCTGTGCGACGTCATCGGGCGTTTGGAGGGGGAAGGTGGGATAGGAGAAGGGGGGTGGCGAACCGAATGCTTGCGTGCGATGGGGGACAACGAAAAGCCGCTGTTGCTCCAGGAGCTTTGGAAACCCAGAGAGGGACACGCTCGCAGATTTGAGCTGCGCAGGAGGGTAGAGGTGGAGGAATTCAACGCCAAAGAGAAGGACACCATCACTGCTGGTGAGGACACACACTAAGACAAACACACACATAAAGAAAGACAGCTACACACACACACATACACACACACAAACATAAACATGCAAAAAGCAGCTGGTCTAATTTCCTTTCTTTCTTGATATGTCAAACTCAGCAGAAAAGCACCGCTCATTAGTTCCACTGCAGTGTGTGTGTGTGTGTGTGTGTGTGCGTGTGTGTGTGTGTGTGTGTGTGCGTGCGTGTGTGTGTGTGTGTGTGTGTGTGTGTGTGTGTGTGTGTGTGTGTGTGTGTGTGTGTGTGTGTGTGTGTGTGTGTGTGTGTGTGTGTGCGTGCGTGCGTGTGTGTGTGTGTGTGTGTGTGTGTGTGTGTGTGTGTGTGTGTAATAAGAGCTTTTGTCATAGTAATTATCCTAGAGAGAACTTCCTCGGTGATAACCCGTGCGTTTTCATGTGAAGTAATGATCTGCGAAGAACTTGTTTAATTTGGGTTTTTATTAGAAACACACACTTGCATGGGTATTTGAGCACTTGAAGAAACACACACACACAACAGTGAACACACACATAGCAGTGCAGTGGAAATGCACAGACAGCTGGTCGATTGATTGAGTGAAAGCTGAATCCTTTGCGACCCGAGGTGTTGATGGGTGTAGGCACTCCAGTGTTTTTTTATGAATTACACATTTTTACTACAGACCCAATATCAAGCCGCCCTGTGTAACTCCTGAACTGCTCAGGTGATATTTGATTTTCAGCGAGAGATTTAGTTTATGTGTAGATAGATTTAATTTGATAATGTGTACATTTGTAATTTTAAGAACTCATAAAAACTACGGTTATGACTTCACATGCAGCAATATATGAATGGACTGTATATCTGTGTATGTTTGTTGGTGTATAAAGTGACCTTTACATAGATTGATTTACTGATGGAAGTTTCACACACACTCATCCCTGTTGAAGTCATTAATAAACACCCAGCTAGTTCAGAGAGATAGAGGAAGTATTTTCAGCCTCACAGTCACACGTTGCAGCTACACTAACATTTCTCAGCATGCCACGGTTTACTGGTTGCTATGTCAACTTGTGTGGTTGCCAGAGAGCTAGTCAACAATCCTTTCTCATTTTTACGCTAGAGCTGGGCAAATCTTCCATTATTATATAGGGTATTTCATACTTTGATAACCATATAAATCACAATATATAGCATGTTTTCTGCAACCTCCAGTGCTGAAATGAAGCCAATATGAAAGTGCCAGAAACAGCAGTTCATCAAAAGTCAACCTTAGGCTGGTTCCAAAGCCAGTCATTTCCAAAGGTCGCCATGTTGAAATGCCCATCTTTACAGCTGAAATAAAGATGTTTACTGCCTGGTTTCGATTTTTATGGGCTGGTCTCTATAGCTAGCTAATTTTCTATTAATGACAACCGTGTGAAGGTGAATTGTTATATAGCTCACTTGTTTTACATAATATAAAATATTAAAGCTGTGCATAATTAAGGGCAGGCTGCTTTGAATGTGAGGTGTGTGCTCTTTGACCACGGTTGCGTCACCCAGGCGACCTCAGCTGCACCTAAGATCCAACTCATTGTCAATTTTTAGATTAGACGTGCATTGGGCAGTTTTGCCGCTGCAAAAATGGCGCCGGTCAGAGCCTCCCTCATTGAGCTTCACAACTGAACTTCAGAAACCTATGCTCGACGTCACAGAGGTTTATACGGTGTATGGGTAAATCATGTTTTTGTACACTGTGAATTAAGTCCTTTACAAATGAACAGTAATGAGTATTTTCTTGTTCGATTCATCGCATTGATCCGAGTTATAATGAAAAGTGTGAGGTCAAAACAAAACCATGATCTTCAATGTTATTCCCTCCTTGATATGATTCCCAACCCCGTAGTAGCCATGAGAAGTGATAAGTTAGTGTTGTTCTATATTTGTTCTAAAGATCAATAATTCCTTTGAAAAGACCTAAGCCCTAACCTCTTAGACCATCTCTCAAGGCTGTCTGTCCTACATTGTCCGTATCAAAAATATAGTATTCTTTTTAAGTCAAATCAATAATTAAAATAACCTTTTCTACAAAAGCTGGTCACTGTAGTTTTAAGAAAGCATTCTCAAAATCTAGTAAATAGTGCATTTGGTGGTTTGGACTAGATAAATACACATTTTGTATGCTTGTGAGACTTTGCTCATGGATTGACTGCAATAAGCTGCAGCGGTGTATTGAAGGAACATGTTACTCAGTGTTACACCATTTGGGAAACAATGGATCTCTTTGGCACAGAGGAGTAAGCTATCAGGCTTTGGCAACTCATGCAATACTTGTTAATAGGATCAATTTGTTGTTGCAATAACACAAATATGGATTATCAGCAGCTTTCTCCTTTGAAAGCATTCCTTACTGTGCTTATTTTGGCTGGGTTTCATAATTTGTCAAAAAACTGAAACTCACAGCAAAGAATGCCTTCTGGGTTAAAACTTGTTTATTAACTAAAACGTATTAATACTCATATTTTCATTTTCACACTAACCCTTTCTCCTTTGTGTTATAGTGATAAGAAAACTCACACACCCTGGAGTCTCTTTCGCTCTTTATTATGTTTCTCACTTGTTGTCTTTTTTCTCCCCTTGTGTGTGTGAGAGCGTGCATGCACATGTGGGAATTGTGTTTATTGTCAAACACGCTGTTTTAAACTGTGAGATAGCACTTTAAAGGTACTGTAGGATTTTCATTACGGAGATATCACTGGCAAATAATTGTATTATCAACCTTGAATCATGCGATCTACACTATAACTTCTTCTGGTTAAATTGTTCTAAAATAAGACAAAACACCAAAATTAGCTAAAATGAAATTACTAAGCGGATTATGTACTATAGTTTCTAATGAATACATGTAGTTGTTGATTGACTTTGAGAACTATATCTTAATCATTTGACAGTGATATGTTTTGGCAAAAATCCTGTACCTCATACCTTTAACTGTAACTCTCCTAGGAATGGGACGATATATGATTTTAACGCAGATCACAATAAAAATCATCAGAGAAGTTTAAAATGAAGCCTGATTTAAAAATACAATAATTATCAAATAGGAACAGATTCTCAAAATGTTGCAGTTTAATTATCTTTTCTTAATAAAGACCAGGGAACCCTATGGTTGTTTTATTTGAAATTGTTTGATTGCTTATTTTTTACTTAAAAGGATGTTTTTCCTATCAGTGACGCAATCAAAATGTCTGTTTGTTGACACATTTGAAATGATCTGATTCCAGTATGTTTTGGTACCAAATTAAGCATAGGGTTTAAGCAGATTATGATGATTATCGGGGTAATATCGTGAATCACAATTATTTAAGCCAGTTGAATCGTGATTTAAAATCTTCATATCGTCCCATGCCTAGTTTCTCTTTACTAACTGCTGATGTGACTCACTGAAAGCACCACAGACTATGTTTTGCTCCGCAGTGCATGCATGTCTTGTGGTGTGCGGATGCTGTGTATATGGGGGTTATTCTGTGCTTGGTGTTTTTGGGAGGGGGTGTTTTCTCAGCCTCCCTAACCCCTCCCACCCTGCTGTAGGGCCCAAAACCTCCCAGTTCCTGGCGGCTCTAATGGGTCGGTCTGGGCTGGGCAAACACAGGAGCTCCCCCCTGCGCTGTGGTCGAGTGGTACAGTCCAGCTCTAAAGGTGGGGACTGGCCTCAGGTAGGGTGGCTGTTAGTCATTGTTGCCATGGAGACCACCTCTACCTGCGTTGTCACCAGCGCCACCCCCATTGCCCGTGATTCAACCAGTGTGTGAGTGTGTGTGTGTGCAGAGCCATTGCATGGCCTCAGATTAAGAACTCAGTTTACTTTCATCAGGTTTAATGTTGTGCTCCATCCAGCAACATTTACCTCATCTGACTGGTTTGTTTTACTCAGTTTCCACTCAGCTCACACATGACTGCTATGCACTTATGTACCTTATCCAGACTTCACTCATGAGTCCAACATACCTGCTGACATTGCACAGAAAACCTTCTTCTTATTTTCTGCTCTTTACCTCTCTCTCCTCCTGTATCCTCAACCTCTATCTCCCTGCTCTCCCTTTTGCTCCTTCTTATTATTCTCCACCTGTTCTCCCTTTTGCCCTTCTCCTTGTTCTTCTCTCACTCCTCCTCTCTGCCTCCTTGTAGATATAAATGCTCAGGCACGTAAGCTCCAGAGGAACAGAGCGAAGGGGACGCTGACCCTGCCCCGATCCAGCAACTCATCCTTCTGCCGCAGCCTCAGCGAGACCAGCCTCAACCAGGTGGGTCTCCCTCTAAAGCCCCGTCAGGATATTCATTATTATTCATGGTTCTGTTGCCAACCTGTGTGAAATCTTGAATGTGTGCGTGATTCTCTTCCTGCCTCTGCAGCTGGGACTGGGAGATGAGCCCAAGCGTTACTACTCCACCCTGCCAGGACCCTTAAGGGGTCGAGATGCAGCCTCCAGTGGCCGAAGGAAAGAGGATGGAGGTCAGGGAGGAGTGAAGCACTCACTTTACCAGTCCCCCCACCTCCTGCTGCTACAGGGGTACAATCAGCAGGTGAGGAGAGAGAAGAAGTTCATGTGTTATCTATCTGATCAGTAGTGTAAGGTAGCTACATGTAAGTACCTTCATTCAAGTAGTGAACTTAAGCCCATATTGAAGCTACTTGTTCTTGACTTATATATTCTTGTCACTTTTTATACATCTGCTGCGCTACATCATATATTTAAAACTTTATTTATTTGACAAAGGAAATGATGAGCCGAATAATCAATTAGTCGATTGAAAGTAACTATTTTGATTGTATCAGTCATGTTTTATAAAATATAACTCCTTTTGGCTTTGATTATGTGATATTTATTGTGCTTTGTGTTGCAGGACTGTTTGGTGTACCTGCTGAACAGAGAGCAGCACACAGTGGGTCAGGAGACTCCGTCAGCTCGCCCCAACATCTGCCTCTTCTCCCCTGACATCCTGCCGCTCCACTGCCGCCTGCGCCGAGTCGCCGCACCCCGCCGCCACGCCAACAACAAGGTGGAGGATCCGGGGGAGAGTCAGCGGTCCTGTGTTGCCGTGGAGCCGGTGCTCCACGCCACAGTCCTGGTGAACTTTTCCCGCTGCGAGCGCTCCACCACGCTGCGGCACGGTGACCTTCTTTCCTTTGGATCGCATTACATCTTCCTGTACAAGGACCCCACGGGCGCTAAGCCTCTGCCTGCCCAGACCTTGGCACGCCTCCGTTCCCTCGGGCAGCTTTACGACACCGGGGTGGAGGAGGGGGAGGGCGGCGCTCAGACTTGTAAGATGTGTGGGTCTGTGCTGAAGGACCGAGCAGCGCAGGTGTCAAGTGTTCCCGCAGTCAGACGCAGCTTCAAACCTCACCTGGTGAAGCCCCGCAGTGCAGGGCCGGCAGCGGGAGGACCGGCAGCGGGAGGACCCCTTGGTTTGTCAGGAGGGGAAGGAGGAGGAGGCGGAGGCGGAGGCGGAGGCGGAGGCGGAGGCGGAGGCGGCGGAGGAGGAGGAGGAGGAGGAGGAGGAGGAGGAGGAGGAGGAAGAGGAGGAGGAGTAGGAGGAGGAGTAGGTCAGAAAAGAAGGCTACAACTGGAGTTTGACCCGGCTCATGAAGACCAGCTAATGAACAGGATTCTGTCTCTCATAGAACCTGGAGGTCTGTGCTTTGATTTACAATAAGTTAGACAATATAGGATGTCAGTTTGATAGAACAACAACACCAGGAAGGCTTAATGAGGTTGTCAAATAAAATGCATGCAATTACACAGGTACAGGCCATTACATCGAGATGTTGGTCGACTTTGTATTAATATTTAAAGGAAATAGAGAAACATGATTTAAGGGCCTTAAAGGAACAGATTCAGTGTCATTGTTGCTCCAGATAGCCAACAACTGTCAGCTGGTTTCCAATGGCTGTTTCTGAGGAAGAAAGTCGTTCAAGTGTTTATTGTTTCTTCTGTGAACTGCATGATTTAGGAACGTACCCCTGGTGGTAAATTAAGCTTAAAATGTGGCGAACTGACCCTTTCAACTCCCTCACAGGAGATGACCACAAGCTGACTCCTGCCTACCTGCTGTGTCTCTGCATACAACACTCTGCCTCCACTTTCCCCCCTGGGAGTTTTGGGAAACTGCTGCTTAAGATAGTCCGACGAATCCAGACCATCGCATGGGTTAGTCTCTACTGCCTGTCTGTCTGCCTGTCTGCCTGCCTATCTGTCTGCTTGTCTGTCTGCCTGCCTGCCTGTCTGTCTGTCTGCCTGTCTGTCTGTCTGCCTGCCTGCCTGCCTGCCTGTCTGCCTGCCTGTCTGTCTGTCTGCCTGCCTGTCTGTCTGTCTGTCTGTCTGCCTGTCTGTCTGTCTGCCTGCCTGTCTGTCTGTCTGCCTGTCTGCCTGCCTGTCTGTCTGTCTGCCTGTCTGTCTGTCTGCCTGTCTGTCTGCCTGTCTGTCTGTCTGCCTGCCTGCCTGCCTGTCTGTCTGTCTGTCTGTCTGTCTGTCTGTCTGTCTGCCTGCCTGTCTGTCTGTCTGTCTGTCTGTCTGTCTGTCTGTATGTCTGTCTGCCTGTCTGTCTGTCTGTCTGTCTGTCTCTGTGGCACTTTGGTCTCTGCTTAAGATGACCTCATGTGGAAAGAAACTGGTCATCCTTGTCAGGTCTGGTGAATAGTTAAACAGGGTTGCATATCACTTGTTTTGTACTCTATTACATACGGAAACACAATATTTTGGTCCGTTTTGGGGTTTGAGCTAGATATCAGGGTCTCCAAAGGAAAGTGTTTAGCAGAGGTAATATGAAACCCACATCGTGCATAATGCATCTTGCGTTACATTCAGTTTAGTCAGGAGTTAATGGCCTAAATAATAGCAACACAATAATAGAGACACAATATAAATAGGGTTTTATTTTAATAAGAATCTATAAACTTGTATACTAGGCTCCTATAAACCACTGCAAGAAACCCATTATGTGGTACATCCTACCAGGTTTTCTTCAAAGGGTTTATATATTTAATACAAGCATGAAAAAGAAAAGGGGATGTCGTAAACACAGTACGTTTTTATTCAGTCCAGTGGAGCACAGAGTAATTACCAACATGCATCAGTGTGACTGTATTGTGAAAATGATAGTGGTATTTCTTTCTGCAGGTTAGGGATAGCTTCAAGTGTGGCTCTCCTACGCACATCTTAAAAGTTTAATGAGCACTTAATTGCTTTGTGTGTGTGTGTGTGTGTCTCTGTGTGTGTGTGTGTGTCTTACAGGAGAAGACAAAGGAGCTGGCTCAGAAGCAAGCTCAGCAGTAAGTATCGCTTTCCAACAGAAAGAGAGCATGTGATCTCATGTGCTGTTTTTGAGTATGTATGTATGTATGTATGTCAGTGTGTCAGTAAGTATACTGTAAGTGACTTTTTTTAAAGGATAGTTCTAAATTGCTAGACATTTATATTTAAGCTGTAACGACGCGCAGTTGCATGAAAAAAGCGAAGCGATGTACTGCTGTGAATGGGGGCACCAGAAACATATTTTAGCCCCTTAATAAATCAATGTCAGTTTAATTGTGTGCTATATATAGAATAATATCGCGGCTTTACCTTGCCAAAGGGGAAATAAAATCTTATCTATGCGCTCTTCACAGCCACCAGACTTCTTTGACAAAAACATTAATCAATGTTGCAGAACCCGGATTTGCTGGTCTCATTTGATTCTGTTATTGTTAGACTGGTGAATCGAGGTGAATCAGAACATCTAGAATTGGAGAGAATTCAGGTATTATATAGAACCGAACCAAATACTATAAAACCTAAACTAATCTAACCTTAACTACTAAACTAAACTGACTATGGTGCCTCATAAAACCCCTTATAAATAACCCCTAAAATATTGAACTATCCCTTTAACCCTTCATTTGTGCGTGTGTGTGTGTCTAAGTAGTCAGGATCCGGCCTCGCTGTGCCTGCTCAGCATCTCAGACCTGATCCCAGACCTGCAGACCATCTTCTTCTGGATGTCCAACTCCATCGAGATCCTGTACTTCATACAGCAAAGAGCCCCAGCGTACACACACACCATTGAGACACTGCAAGGTAAACACACACACACACACACACACACACACACACACACACACACACACACACACACACACACACACACACACACACACACACACACACACACTTGGCTGTAGAGTCATTACTCACAGTGACATACAGTAGACTCTGATGCCGCTCCATCTTTGCCTCCATCTCTTAAGTGAGCCTCTTTCTCTGTCATCTGTGCATAGGGTCAAAAGAGTCGTTGCTGTCGGCGACCATATCAGCCAATGAGGAGGCAATGACAATCTTGGAAGAAGTGATCATGTACACTTTCCAGCAATGTGTCTACTATATCACCAAGGTAATCTGTCACCGCGGCAACGGAGCCATCTTCTTAATGAGCAAGACATCATTTTAAAGTTGTTTGACCCTCGTTCACACAGGAGAGCAGATTGAGTTGTCGCACACACACAATAAATGACTAGCGAAGGTCAGAATATGAATGAGTTAGAGGTTATTTTGCAATCTCAGATTACTTTCATCATAAAGTGTGTGTGTGTGTGTGTGTGTGTGTGTGTGTGTGTGTGTGTGTGTGTGTGTGTGTGTGTGTGTGTGTGTGTGTGTGTGTGTGTGTGTGTGTGTGTGTGTGTGTGTGTGTGTGTGTGTGTGTGTGTGTGTGTGTGTGTGTGTGTGTGTGTGTGTGTGTGTGTGTGTGTGTCCAGGCTCTTTATGTAGTGTTACCAGGTTTGTTGGACTGTAATCCGTTTCCAGTGGACAGCTCTGAGCCCTGCTGGAAAGGAGGTGTAGGGTTTCCTGAACCTGTGCGCAGGGTCCTGCAGGTGAGCATGTGTATTTGTTTTGTTTAGCAGTACAGTAAGGGTTTACAGCGTCATGCAATGTTGTCTTGTTTTGTGCAATTACCATTCATCTAAAAATAGATTAGCCCCCTGTAAATCAGTGGATGATTGTAACACTATTGGCATGAATATGTATTGTGTACTCTTCACAAGACAAACGATAATGCTCCAGAGGCTCCATATTGAAGTAACAATAGGCAAAATACATTTTCGAGCAGATTGTGACTTTAATGTAATGAATACTAGCAATAAAATAAATTATGACAATTATTGTGAAATGGAGAAACAAAATTGAAAAGTGTTTTTGTTCACGGTTTTCCTGAATTTTGCCAAGAAAACAAATAGATAGCATAGACTTTACAATATAGAATAGACTCCAACATTTAAATCAGTCCAAGAACTTCATATTTTGACTCAATCCTGTGGAAGATAACATGTTTTAATTGAATATGGAGACACATCTTGTGTTAAAAAAATGCTTACAAAATATGTATCTGCATGAAACCTCACAATAATGGCAGAATTACAACGATTTCGTGACAGACAGAAGTAGAAGGTAATTCAATTTAGATTTTTCATAAATGACGTTATAAGCGTAACAGCATATCATATAAGATGATTGTTTCCAAACTGGGTCTAGATATTGAAATATCAGCAGCATGTGTGTAAAACATCCTGTCAAACACACCGATGCACCTGAGGGGAGGTCTCTGCTAAGAATGAGACACACAGGTCAGACTGGCTGATGACACCTTTCTTTATTTTGCTTCACGCAGCAAGACATATAGTCCCATATGAGCTGTCAAGGTCAAATACACACAACTCTGACTTCCTTATCCTCTTCTTTTTCCTAACCTTGTTTGACCTTGAGTTATGTGGTAAAAGTATTTTTGGGATCTTTCTAAAATGTCATTAACCCTTTAAACCTTATTGACCTGCCAGGGGGTCCATTTATGTAACGTTTTGGTGGAGAAGATACTGAGTATATTAGGTGGGAACTTGGGGGTTGTGCATTAAATTATACACTGGAATATCTCTATATTTAATGGAATCGTGCCGCTGTAACTCTTTTCCTCTGTGGTAATGGAACTGCAGATACAAAAGCAACAATAGACACTTGTAAATCTCTTAACACAGCAACAGTATGTCTGTGCTCACCTGTGTGTTTGCGTGTGTGTGTGTGTGTGTGCAGGTGTTTCAGAACGGCCAGGAGCTTCTGCAGAGCTACCAGGTCCACCCGGAGATCCAGGCTCAGATGTTCGCTTACCTCTTCTTCTTCTCCAACGTGTCGCTGTTTAACCAGCTAATGGACAAAGGTAGTGCAAAAAGCATGCACACTCACACTCCATTAGACCCCCCTCAGGATTTGTACAGTTGTAAGTGTGTGGGCAAGAGAGAGAGAGAAAGAGAGAGAGAGTGTGTCCCTGTGTCCTTGTCAGCATTTTGACAGAGACTAACCTAGATGTGTCCTCTATACCCTTCTCCTATCTGCATTCTGTTTCTCCCCCCTTCACCTCCTCCTCCTCCTCCTCCTCCTCCTTGCGTCCATCCTTCCATCTGGCCATCGGGGGGTGAGAGGTGGGAGTGGATGGAGGAGAGAGAGAGGAGTTAGAGGAAGGAGGGGGAAAGAGGGGAAAAGGTCAGCATGAAGGGTAAAGGGCTGGAAGTTGTTGTGAGGACCGTGCTAATAGTCTATTACTTTGTCTAAAAACAGAAATTGTAATTTACTGCCGGCTATTTCCATGCGTTTGACCACCCATCACTCCCAACCTCTCCACATCCTCCCTCTGAATCTTTAGCCTGCACACACACCCTCACGCTCCCGCCATATGTCTTCATTAGCCGGTGGAGACAGGAGAGATCACATGTCTGGCAGAAGGAGAAATACCTTTATATTCATGCGGAGGCTCCTCTCTCCCCCCCCCCCCCCCCCCACCTTCCTCTCTCCGTCTGTCTGGCTTTCTCTTCCTCTCCCTCGCTCTCCTCTTTGTCGCTCATTGATATTTCTGCACTGGTGGTGTCCATGGTAACAGGGAAGTGAGTTTGTGGCAGGTAACGCTGACGCTTGCACTGAGCGCTCTCTGCAACACTCACTCTGTCAGCCTGATATTTTTTACGGAAGAGATGTGATACGGTGCAGGCGCTCTGTGTTCTCCTGCTTTTGTACGAGTGTGTGTTGTCACACCTTTTGTTGGAGAGTGTAAAGGACTCTGATGTGTCTGTAAACCAGCTGCTTGGAAGCATTATGACACATTTGCTAAGAGGTTAAGTGATGTCTCGTCTTTAGTGATGCCTCACACATAGATTACTGTATCTGTAGACGTAAGCCTATTACGGAGGGGAGTGTGTGCATATGTGTGTGTGTGTGTGCACCTAAAACATATGGCATAATATGTGAAGGGTTAGAGTATGTGTGTGTGCTGTCTGCACATTATGCTGTCAGTTGATAGGATGCATGAAGCTTCCTGTCATGTCTAACTTGTGGTGGCATTGTTTGTCTGTAAAAGATCCATAATCAGGTTGACTCATTCTGTCACCAGAAGGCTCCTTGATTTATCTATGAAATAAAACTGTTGATTTTGTGCTACGAACACCTTACAGTATCTTGTGAAAACATTTTTGAAAGCAGTGGCTTCTTCTGTTAATTTCAGCATAGAAATATGTGTTCACATTCAATCATTTTAAGAAAACAGTCTTGTCAGGATTCATTTGACTATTAAAAGAATCTGTATTTCCATTTTAAACATGTTTACCTTCACATCTCTGTGTTGTCCCTTATTTATAATCATTACATTAAGTCAGAGGTGCAACGATTGGTAGATTCAATCTTTTTAGGGTCACAAAAATGGAAAGATAACATTAAATGATATGAGAACCTATATAATATTTTCACGCCAACAAAAACATTTAAACTTAATATAAGTATGTGCTAAGATGGCTCTTACATTTATTTTGTATAGAGTCTCTAATTATTTTTATAAAATGTATCAACAGAGGTTAATTTGTCATCTGGGGTGTCGTTAACGTTAGTCCAGTTGTTTGTCATTGTTTGTACCAAACCCCGGCAGAGGTCTAATCTCACATTGGGGGGTATTTCAGAAAGATTACATAGTAATTATAGCTGCATTGAGGTAATGGAAGGACAGATTGACAAACTGTGGGATGCCATCTTGACAAATGCCAGATTTCAATTTATCGCCTGCTTAACCATCAACAAAACTTCCTTTCAGTTCTTTGAAGTGATGCAGAGAAACAAAGGATTACAGAGTGAGGAATGTCATCTGAGCCCCGCTGCAGCGCTGCATTTGTATTCTGCAAGGAGCAGGCTGCTCTGCGCTGTGGCCATTGTGTCCCTGCCTTCAAAATCTAATTACTTACACAAATGTATTTCTGTATTGTCGTACAACGCATGCAGAGAAACATTCACTGTCTCTGTGTTGGTCTACCTTCCCTTAGACACGCACACACCCAGAATAGAAAATGTACTGCAGTGTCTCAGAGGAAAATATCCAAACACTCACTACAGGATGTGTGTGTGTGTCTCGGTGTGTGTGTGTGTGTGTGTGCAGGTCCATCTCGGGGTTGGTTCCAGCGGTCGAAGGTGCTGCAGATTCAGGCGTGTTTGCGGATGGTCATGGAGTGGGCGAGCAGGTCGGGTCTGGGACACCTGGCCGACAAATTCTTCACCAAACTCAACAGCGCTGTGTCCATACTGGCCACGCCCCCACAACAGCTCACACAGGTATCACACACACACACAGTCGGCTAAAATCTTGTACAGCATTGCTAACCAGCACTAATAAGGTGTCAACATGTATATATAAAGAGAGCTTACCGTATTAAAATGTGTTTCAATGGAGGTTATCAGTATTACAGCTGCTCAATCCTGATTGACTGTAATCAAGTTGACTGTTTTAAATACATTAAACTGCTGTTCATAAAGCAAGTAACTCTGATCAGCTATTGATTAATTACGTATTTTGAAGGGTTCAGCCAGGATCCGTCCACATTGCTCTTCACCTCCAAGACTGGAAAGCACTGACCTCCCACGACTTCTGATTAATTTCTCTTCCCCCATGTGCAGTTAAGTTGGCGAGCTCTGTCCAGTGAGCACCCGGCTCTGAAGCCAGTACAGCTGCACAGGATCCTCACCCAGTACCAGCTCACAGCAGAGATAGGCCCTGTCCCATCATGGCAGCCCAGCAGCGAGGACGAGGCGTATATATACAGAACAGGTACATTTTTATTTTAGTGGCCAACCATCAACTTTAAATGAGCCGCTTAAAATGAGTGCTCAGCTCATAGAAAACGTTGCTGCTTATAACATCATGCGCTTTCTAAACGTACACCCAGCCACAGTAGAGTTTGGGGAGCTCTAATGCCTCTGCATGCACACGCTGATGCAGCACCCTGTGAAAACATTACTGAACGTTTTGACTGCAGTCCAGTGAAGAATAGTAAAGTAAAATACTGTTTTGCTCTCTGTTGTACAATATAGAGCACACTGTCAAAACTAAAATGCACTGAATTCAGGTGAAGAAGCACCTTTTTCTGCATCTTATTTTTGATGCAAAGACTCATTCAGTAGCAGGAATGTAGCACAATAGAAGTGAAAGCAGCGCTCTGTTTTAAAAGATCTCAGTATAGACATCACTTTCTGGCCATACGTAGCACTACCAGTAAATGAAAGATTGATGGCACATAATGTCCTCGTGTTATAAGAGGGGAACGTTTAGACTCTGCAGTATATACTGGTCTAACACTCCTTCAAATCATTGTTGAATGACTGTTACATTAATATTTAAGGTGTCCCCTCCACTCTGGAACGTGTTTTGCTTTTAATAACTTCACTGTGATGTCTGACCTTCAACGTGCAGAATGATGTACGTGCAGAGTTTATTACCAAAGGGCTGTTTTAACACTCATCTGCCAAAAGGGGGGAAGTTTGAACTACTTTATATACATACAGTATGTCTTTTTTAATGCATCTTTTATTAAGTAGAAGTCATCTGAATCTGCAAGGGAACTTTAATTGTTGTTCTCACTTGTCATGTAACTACTCAGGTAAACTAAATGTATCTCAAAATTATACTAAAGATAATGCACTTTTAAAAGTCTAAACATGATCATAACCAGAACATTTGTTTTGACATGTTTTATATCTCACATTTATTGTAACTAGCTGCTGTGGTTAGCATTCAATTGCTATCCAGTAGGAGTTCTAAATGTGAAAAATGCAAAACAGAAAGAGTGACAGGCCGATGGGGAGCTGTTCAGCGGCAATGATGTGTGTGTGTGTGTGTGTGTGTGTGTAGGTGCGCTAACATCAGTCTGTGTGTGTTTAGTGGACCTCCTGGAGAGCTTTGAGAACCACCCTCCCATAGTGCTGCCCAGCGGCGGCTTCAGAGTGGACCTGGAGAGCGAGTGTGTGGAGGACAGCATCTACAGACAGCTGCTCTACATCCGCCACTACCTGTGGGGGCTGCGCACCAAGACGCAAACACACACCAACACTCCCAGTGTGCACACACACTCCAACGGGACCAACACAGCCGACTGGCCCGACGTACAGGTCAGGAAACACACTGTGCACTCTGTCAGATGCACACGCCTCGCAGTAATCCAGGCCATGTGCCTCGGCAGCTGTGGTTTTTGAGGAGTTCCTCCATAATCCCATGAATGAAAGACAAAAACCCTCTACTCTAGCCAACACACACACACACACACACACACACACACACAGAAACCTAGACATGGTTAAATCATGGTTAATCTGATTAGTCTTCAGGCTGTCTAATTAGTGGGAACGGCTGACTAGACCATAATCCCTAGTGTTACTGCACCCTCGTATGTACACATTTTCATGCACAAAGAAACAGGTATACACCAACAAATATCCTATATGTGTCTTTAAAATTATTATACATCACTTTACTCATTGTTTAATTGGACTGTTTTGGCCTGCAACATTCTCTGCAACATTTAGCTTATTGTTGATAATCTTGCACCTTTTTATTCTACTCGGTTTCTTCTTGCACTATTATATCGTTAGTTTAAGAGTGTTTTATGCCTAATATATATTTTTATGTTGCATTGTTGGATTAGCCTGGGACTCAAGATGTTCATTGCCATAACTACACTGTAGCGACTGTGCACATGACAATAAACCCTTAGAATCTCAAACAAAAAAAATAAATAAAATTATCAAAGTTGAAAGATAATAGGAATATTTATTTTCATAATCATTTCATCCTCTCCTCATACTGTCCTCTAAAGTCTTTCTGTCCGATCCCGGCACAGAGGGAGATGCTGCCTCCGGCCCACAGCAGTCCCCGCTCCGGGGGTCCTGGGGAGGAGGTGACGGGGGAGCCGGGAGAGGATAGGGCACGGGAGAGACCTCCAGGCCAGTCACACACACACAGCCTGAGGAGGAACGGCACCATCCACCACGCCCGGACGGCAAATCCAGACCCGTCCTGCCTCTTGACCCCCACCAACACTCCGCTGTACCCCGACGAAGGGGGAGGAGGAGGAGGAGGAGGAGGAGGAGGGGGAGGGAAGTTCATAGGCCCCATCGCCCAGACTAACGGCTGCAGCAGCAGAACTGTGGCCGAGTGTAAAAAGACCAACGGACTCATCAGCAATGGACTGGAGGGTAGGCTGAATATCATACAGGAGGTGGACAAAATAACAAGAACACATGAGCATGATAAAGGAATCCAGAACAGAAACACCACAGTTCAACTTGTCATAAAGAAAATGGCAAAAATCTGATACATATTTTTAAGACAGAACATTGTGAGCTTCAACAAAAACATGATTTACCAACTCACATATTGTATTGTGTTTTTGTTATTTTTTCCATCGCACATCTGCTGTTTAAGTGTTAAGCCTTGCAGTTCTTTACACATAATATTAGCGATTCATTCATCCAAGTTTTTACGATTCAGAAACCTCAGTTGTTTCTGCAGATAATTAGTGTTAATATCCCGTGTCTGATTATCTCACTGCATTATTAGATTAAATATTATTGGAGGTACCGTGATGCTTGAGATCCTGGAGGTACCATGATGCTTGAGATCCTGCATCAATGTAACTCAAAGATATATTTTTTAACTGCATTAATCAAACTCAAGGTTGTTGCGCCAACATCACATCCACTAAATGATATTGTAAAAGTGTTTTGGATCGGTACATCGCTACACTTTATATTAATAAACAATATAGTATATACACTGCATTATAAACAATGTTGCATATTATAATGAAAATACATTTGCTAGTATCACATTCAAATTCCCCCTGGAATTGACCAATGTGAAAAAGACACTTTACATTGGACATTAACGTTTGCATCTCAGTCTCCTCTTCTCTCTTCTGTGCTTCTCCACTCACTTATATTTAAAGACAACAGATCAGACACTGTAGACATAAAAAACACCTACACAAAATGAGTGCAATTCTTAATTTATTGAAAGCTGCAATTATCAAAATAATTGTAATGAATGGAGTTAATGAAAACATTAATGTTAAAGAGGTCCCTTGTCGCCACAAAAACATGATCAACAACAAAGAGTTTTAGCCTCTGTTAGCTCATACATTTGATTTAACAACACATTTACTGTCCGATTCAGTATCAACTGCTCTCATTTCCAGCTGCAGCAAGAAGTTGTTTTCTGAAAAAACGTTCTAATAAACTCATGCTGAGCTTCACATTGGAGAAAAGCTAATTCAGCCACTAGCTAGTAAAACAGTTGGAAGTCAGAGCCAGAATGAGAGCTAAAATTGGGTTACTCTGTTGGTTGCTTTGGAGTTATTCTGCCCCCTAGTGGCCACAAATCGATGAATGCAGCTTACAACGTACACTACATTTTGTGCGCTTCTGTAGTTTATACACTGGAGCTTTTAGATCAGCAGGATATTTCCTGTGCATGTTACAGTGTAGTGAGTGTGACATCTGCAGGCTTCTGTCAGAAGCACGTGTGTGTGTGTGTCAGATCAGCTCTGTAGCATGTAGCATGTGTCTCGGTATCTGTGTGTGTGTGTGTTCTGCACAGTAACACCTTTCATGTTTGTCCGACCCCATAGCAAGACCCTGTGTGTCTGTGTGTTTGTGTGTGTGTGTGTTTTTTTGTGCATTTGGGTGTCCGTGTCCTCTGCAGGGTGTATTAGTGGGTGTGAGTTTCCTTTCCCTGTATCATCCCCTGGCGCCCCTCCCCTTCCTGATGACTTGTGTGTGGTGTTTGTAGTGGAACTGGACAAAGGACCCTACGGACTCGGCATGGGACTCATAGACGGCCTGGTGAGTACACAGACGTTCAGAAACAGATTTAACTTTTTATCTTGCCTGTCAGTCCAGGTTTCAGTGGTTTATTTTTCTGTTAAAAAAAGTTTTTTAAAAAGACACAGTATAGTAGTTCTTGAAAAAAGTTAAAAACAGTAATGCTATAAGAATGGTCATAGTATAGGATGTCGTAACATTTTTGAAAAATCATAGTATAGTATACCATAAAATGTAATGTATGTAATGCTATACGTATATACTATGCCATAAAAGTTTAGGAAAAGTCACAGTATTGTCATGTTATTATTGATTTTCAATGGTGATGAGTTGCTTATTTTATATCATTATAACTTGAATATGATATTTCCTTAGACTCTAGATTTAGACTCCGGAAGCCAACGTTTACCTGCAGTTAATTTCACATTACATACCTGATTTAGAAACAAAAAAAACTGTTGATTTTATCGTTACAAGTGTCTCGTAAAAGTTAAAACGCAAACCTTTCGGATATTAAAAAGAAGGAAATGTATCTTCATTGGCCGCAGTATAAATGAGTTTCTCTACCAGCTACATAATGGACACTCTCACTCTGTTCAAACTATAACTCTTGTCCCCCCCGCAGCACACTCCTCTCAACGCTCCAGGCATCTACATCCGAACTCTGATCCCCGACGGCCCGGCGGCGTCTGACGGCAGGCTGAGGATCGGAGACCGCATCCTGGCTGTGAACGGGACCAGCCTGATAGGAGCCGACTACCAGAGGTACACTGGAGCTGTCTGTGAATCACCACAATGGGCTGGAGGAGATTAACGATACTGCTGGGTGATATTGAGTTTGGTGACAGAGGGAGCAATCTCCCCACAATGCTAACCATACCCATGGCGGTTAGCCTTTCAAGCCGATTGATTACTGTGATTGATTGATGTGAGCCCAGACAGTCTCTGCTGAGCTCTGAGTAACCGGACTCTTTGTCTCTCTTCACTTCCTCCTCAGCGCCGTGGATCTGATTCGCCTGGGAGGAGGTCGCCTACGCTTCCTGGTGGCCAAGTCCGACCCCGACGTCTCGGAGAAGATCAGCGCCTCCTCCTGCTGACTGTCTCCGAGCAACCGCTGCACAACACCGGAGGGAGAGGTAGGACAGCGAGACGACGCGGGATACTGCACTCGAACAGCACACACACAAACACACACAGCATGAAATATGGGTGTGAAAACTAGCGACAGCACAAAGCCACGCAATCAAACTGGAGATTAACACTCCACAGCTGCCAGATCTGCTGCCCTCACGCTGACTCCAACTGGGTTTGTGTGACAGACAGAATCCGTAACCCACGGCGACATCAAAGGGATACGCTGCAAGGAAAAGTCGCCTAATTAATCAGCGTTGGAGGAAAGCGAGGTCTAGCCAGCCAGTACGCAGCCTGATGTGGTTTAAAGCACAGCAGATTTTAAAAGTTTTAATTTCCCTTTGGCTGGTGCTCGCAGCATGTGAACACATAAGGACTTTTTCCACATGAATTTTAGAATAATTGTACTAGACTTTCAGTAGCATGGTGAAATAGCTGCCCATCTCTCAGAAACAAGGAACTGAGGACACGAACTGACTGTACTTCTTAAAGCACTTGCAGACAAACATGAAGACGAGGTTCTCTTCGATGGATGTTTTACACAACGCTTTTAGAGTGGAATGTTTTCTAATCCTGTTTGTTAGCAACTCCCAAAGCCCTATCTGCTCAACAGACTCTATGAATGTTGACTTTCATACCAGAGAGTGGCTGTAAAAGGAGGAAGAAGTAAAGTCAAGACACAGCCCAGCTCTCCTATTTCACATTCAACCTCATCATGGACTTCATCCCGCCACCGGACAACGGAGGAGTTCCCGATGCTCCACGTGCACAGGGGATGTGCAGCTGCTGGGGGACATTGTTATTTATTAATGACTGGATCATCAAGACCACAAACTTTACTCCAGGTTCTGATGCACAATCGTCGTGTTTATAAGCTACACTTGTGTTGTCAATATATGCGGTATTTATCTGGGTATGAGGTGTAAATAGTCCTTTGTAAATATGTAACACCTGGTCACATATTGTGTGGACATTCAAAAGAGAAACTACATTTTGGGGATTTCTCTATAACCTTCTTTGACTCTGAAAAATACTGATGGAAAAAAGGAATGTAATTTTCTAAAATGGCAGTTGTGGATTTATTTTAAACATTTAAAGAATTCAAGAACTATTAACAAGAATCGACTTCTGAACTTCTTATTCCAGAAGGGTCATTAGCTGCACTTTGATTCAGCAGTTACTAAAATTACAGAAAACCATGTCTTACTGGTGGTATCTAGCAAAAGTCCCTTTTGAGGTTTGAGATATTTCTGATTAAGAATTTCCTTCTAACCCTTCCTGGTTGTTCACAGAATTGTCAAATTTCGCCTAAACATTAAACAGCAGCTGTCTTTCCAGAGATAGCATATTTTCAGTTTCTCGGGATGATATACTAACCCAGGGTTCGAGTTATAATCTGAGTTTTATGGGGGTCTTTAAAACTAACGTTAGGGGCGGAGATAAATATATCAATGACAGCCGGGTAATAACGTTAATAACGGGTGATATTTATATACCTTTGAGGTGAAGTGAAGGCATATTGTCATTCAAGAGAGAATACGATGCGTAGTTCTTTTGGAAAACATGTTTTCTTTTAGCCTATTTACCTTGTTAACGTAAATAATACTCATTACATTGAAAAATGCATTATGTGATTAAAATAATGGTTGTTGGTAATGTATTAGCGACCCCCACAGATGTAAGATTCCCCTGCTTTTCATAGGAGCTCAGACCCCTCCTTACGGGAGCTCACCTCCCATTGGCTCCCACATAACTCGAACCCTGTACTGACCTCACTATATGTCACCATGAAAGGATTATTTATTATATATAATATAAAGTTGTCCCAATTCACTGTGATGTCTGTGGATTATCCAGAGTTATAGGGATATTTTTCTGGAAGTATAGGTTGCAGACAATTCTATAGTTTAATAATTAGATCTACAAATATAGGCAACCAAAACAGCAAACATGTGCTCGTGTAATTTGGCTGAATGGACCCTTTTAAAAAGACCACCAGCAACAACAAGACCAAGTCACCTTCACAAGAAAAAGCAATACAAGTCCCTGATTCAAATTTAAGGTGACTATGGAAAAATAAGCCACGCTAGTCAGTTCTGTTCGGACTTTTGTTCTGCCCTCAGCTCTGTGGATCACAACATCAGTAGCAGTGACCTTCTGTAAAAATAAAAACGCTGCATCTGTGCAGATCCAGATGTTTATTGGCTCTCTTACAAAAAGAAGCCCAGACTTAGACGGTTTTCATTATTGATTAATCTGCCAATCATTCTTCCAATTAATATATTAAAATACCTAGCTCATTTTTTACTGGCCAAAACCCAATAGAGAAAGTTAAACTAGCCACTATTTTCAATGAGAAATTACCAAAATGTATTTATGATTTACATTTGTTGAAATATCAGTCCATTCGCTGATTCTTTCCCCCCCCCCCCCATCAGGTTTGTTTGACTTGGCTTTAATCTGTTCATGTTCATTTATTTGCAGTAACATTTGTGTGGATTTTAAGGATTTAAGACATTGATTTCATGCATGTATATTATTCTCTGTTCATTATTTATACTGTTGAAACATGATGGTACTTAAGAATAAAGATTGTTAAATACTTGTTCATGTTTCTGCGTAGAAACCCACCTAATGTCCCAACAACAGAGCGACAGAGTCTGCAGACCCCGGTCACATGAAAGAAGGCAATATTTAAGTCAATGAGGAATTTTAATTTGTGCTACACATTTTAACAAATCACAAAAACAGGAACATTTAAAAATACATATACTTCTCTATTTCCAGAATGTTTACGTATTGATGACAGCTGTTTTTAAAAATAGCAAAATATTTTTTCTTTTTTCCAAAAATCAGAAAAAATACCTTCTAAATAGCTTTGTCATTTAGCAGATAGAGCAGCATACAATCATTACGCATCTTTTTTTGTTTGTTTTCTAATAATGTGCAACAACAATCACTGAAATCTTGCACAAATTGTGCCTGATTGCCAGCTAAAAATGAGGCCTGTGCGAGGAGGTTGGGGAAAGCTAAAGGCAGTGAGAGATAAGAGACGGGGGGGGGGGGAGAAAGTGCTGAAGAGTATAAAGCTGAGGCAGTGTCTGTGACAAGGACTGCAAACAGTGTGATGAGCCTTTAGAGACTGCTCACTGAGGAGAGGGACAGAGGTAGATTGGGAGAAAGGTTCATGCTTTTACAGGAAACTGAAAGCAAAAGAGTGGGGAGCCAAGAGTAGAAAATATGTCAAAAGTACCATACAGAAAGAAAGAAAGAAAAAAGCAGTTGAAATGTGTGGTCATGTGTTGGTCCCGCCCTTCCCCTGATAAGTCTACGGATGCTGACATTACTGTCACCACTGTAGTGTTGCCGATCATTGTACTGTTAAAGAAGCGCTTTGTTTACAATCTAAAAAAAAGGTAAAGCTGTCTAAAGGTTAAAATAAAATGACAAAGTAGAAATATTTAAGGCTTTAAGGATTATTACAATAATGCTTTTCTGTGCTAAGACAAACAAAAGTGTACGCACAGGCTGTTCCATTTCTCCTTTTGCCACTACTGAAACGAAAGAAAAAAAATTAAAACAACAATCAGTTTGTCTACATTAGGTTAGCTCCACTTCAATCAACTCCAAATAGATGCCTCTTGTTTCGCCCGTCTGCTGTCCAATCACACGGATCCTCTCGAGCCTGCTTCACACTGATAAACCGATCTGAGCTGAAGTGAAGCAAAAACGGCCGAGTCCTGTTTTTTCATTCCTGGATCTCCTCATATCTTCCAAAACAATACCCAATTTCTTTTTTGTTGTATGCTTTCCAGAGAAAAGCAAGAAGGATAGACAATTTCACATTCTGGTCTCAGTCTTTATGTTAACATCTTTCTTTTCTTTACTCAAGAGAAAATCTTTTTTTCAGTAGGGATTGCTTTATGAAAAAGTACAATCATATTTTTAACAGTCTCCCAAGCCCCATCAAATGGTCTGGGTACACACAGTTAAGTCCTCTCCATATTTCTGTCCATGGTTTGTGTGACACTACAAAATATATAAACTCTGATCGTCACAGTTTCTTCTGTAAATGCCAGCCATTTCAAATCTCTGAACACACTTGCCCTGGTTTCTAAATCAGGCAGTGACTGATCAGAAGTGCCGGAGAGTTCTTTGGCCTGAGAGAGAAACTGATGAGAGATATGATCCAACATTCACGTAGTAAAGTAGTGCTCAAATGATTTAATATGCATAATGCTCTCGTAAGCTTAATATCTGTGTTTTCAGTGAATGAAGGATTACATTAAAAAGACTGTAAAGCTGAAAAAGTCCTGAAAGATTTACTTGCTTTTTACATTCAGAATGTATTGAACGTTTTTTTTATCTATTTTTGACCAAAATATATTTTCCTTACAATTTATTTCCCTTCTGTTGAGAGAGGCTGCCTGTACATTGGCCGTGACGGCTGCAGTCATATCAAATGAGTATAAAAGACGAAGCAGTTAGGGGCCGTGAGCAGGCGGTCCATCGGGTACCTGTAAGAGACCCTGGGCTTTACTTCCTGGGGTCGTGGTTTTGTGTTGTCATGGCAACGATGACAGGCTGCTGAGCCGGCGTGACTTGATGCTGAGCAGATTCAAGGCCGCCCCCGTCCTCCATCTTCGGCCGCTTGGACTGCGGCTCCCCGGGGTGCTCGGATAACGACTCTGCACCCGGCTGTCGGCTCAGCAGCACCGGGGGGGAGCTGGAGGCCTGGGCAGCCAGGATCTGCAGAGGACTGCTCAGGCCTGGGGGGGGGAGGGGGGGGGGGGGGGGAGAGAAGAGGGGAGGGAGAGTCAGGTGGGGTCAGTATCTGATGAGTGATGAGGGAAAACGCGATATTACACAGGTAACCTTGTTTTAAGCTGTTTTTTATGTTTTGTCATCACGCTGCAACACATCCTCTGTTCTCATTGTCGGGGCTAAGACCCTTAAACAAAGCTTGATACTCTAAGTATGGAAAATAAAACCTAGGCACGTAAAAAGCAATAACCTTTTACAAATAAATGTAAGATGTTAACATGTCAAAAATGCAGTATTTTATTCTGCTCTGTCTACAGTCATTTGCATATTTGTTATGTGTTATACAAGAACAGCTCAGTATCTCAGCTTTAAAACAAGCTAAAACAAAAGCTGTCAGTAAGAGGTATAGTTGCTTATTTAGCTATGTATCTTAAAACTTGGCAAACCCTGCTGGACGTCTAAATCTATCTAAACACCACTCAGTATTGAGGATGTTTTTTGTGATGTAAGATTTGTTTCCAGTGAGGTATCACTGTGATCCTACAGTGACGTTAGTGTCCTCCTCCAAGAACAAGTTGATTCTTATAATGTTCTGAACGTATTCTTTAAATAATGTGAAAAAGCAATAATTTAGAAGAGTAGTGGTTTGCCCAGTACAATGCCCACATCTGTATCTTGATGGCTTGAATCCATCTTTTTGAGCAGAAACATTGACATGCATCATCATGACTGTGCAGTGATTGCAGGAGAGTCTCACCAGATGCATTAGCAAAGCTGGTTACTGTGGCAACAGCAGCAGCAGTGGTGTGTTTGCCATTCTGAGTAACAGGACGAACAGGAAGTTGATGTAAACCGAGGACCAGGTTCCTGCCGTCCCCGCCCTGCACCGCACTGTCCACGGTCTGGATCACCCGCTCCCTGGTCAGCTGGGCGTCTGAGGGACACAACGCACACATGTCAAAGCCAAACATACTAAATGTTTATGAAAGTGCATCAAATTATATTATATAGAAAAACTGCCACAAAAAAAAGTTTCCCTTCCTAAAACACAGCATATATCTACCATTCATCCAAATGAACTATTTTGGACATTTTATCAAAGAGTGTAGTTCTTAAATGATCTTATATTTAGCAGTAAGACTAAGTATTTACTCTTCTCTACACTTGTAACATTCAAACACAAGATGCAATATAATAAGGTCAAATTAATCTGCAAATATATAACTCTGGACTTTGAGAAGCAAGCTTGGATCACAATTAGTAAACTGATAAACATGTAAACAGTTACATTTAAATGTCCTTTTATAGTTCAATCAATGTATTTCACAAAGGTAGAAAAAGTCCACATGTTCGTGTATCCAAACATATTACACAATCCAAAACAAATAGCCTGGGAGCTAAATGCAAACAGACCTTTTTATATCTTCAAATACCACAGAGATGTACAACAATTATGGAGCATGACAAAAGCTTTACGAATGTAGACCTGGAGATGAGCAGAACTACTCCGTCATTACCAGGTACTGATGGATCACAACAGATGGTTTTACCTCTGAGCTCACTGTGGCCCTCTGCTCCTCCAGCGCTGTATCCATTGGGGGGGTGGGAGGTCAGCGGGGTGCTGGTGACGACCCGCAGCATGGTGACGGAGGACTGGGTGGGGCTCTGCAGGAGGTGGAGGGGCTGAATGTGGCCCCCACCTGGAATGAAAGCGAGGGCTTTCCCCGGGCCTGAGGGCAGCATTGAGGTGTGGGTGGGGGCCGCCATGATGACGTGCTGACCACTGACTGGAGATCCTGCGCAGAAACAGACAACAATTGTCATGTTTTGATCGTGTATATTAGAGCCTTCATGTGTGTGCCTTTTGTTGTGTGTTGTGTGTTTACCTGGGGCACTTTGAGAGTACCTATACTCGGGTACAGAAGCCAGCTTGTGAGCCAGCTGTTCGTGGTGGTCGTGGGAGATGGGAGAGCCGTCCCTGCTCAGACACTCAGGAGTCTGCAGCCCACTGGAGGGGGGGGACAGGAGCCCCTGGTGGGTCGGGGACGCAGGAGCACTCCTGGGAGGAAAGGAAAGATGGAAAGAAAAACAGACCAGAAATATGAATACATGGAAACTTATAGTCGAATACAAGGCTCCTTCAATGCCAGTTACTTCTGCTGTATATATCAACCTAGAAATAGACTTACTTTGTTCTATCCAATCAAATGATAGCAAGGAGCAGAAACAGAGAAGGTAGAAAGGGTTAACTGAGGTCAAATCGGAAGCAAACAAGCATGAGTCTGACAGAGTTCATTTAAATCAAGCTAGAAGTTAACTTGATAAACATTAACTTTAAAACTGCAATCTCAGGTTTATTAGGAGTCATGTTGACAGTAATGAGCGTTTAAACTGGCTGTTGTTGAACAGAGGGTTACCCCCCCCTCCTGATAGAGCACACGCGCATGCAGATGAAGACCACAGTGGACCCACTCACCTAGAAGACAGAGGTCCAAATGGCGTCCTAAAGCAGGCCACTCCTCGTTGCCGTCTTTTCCTAAAGGCTTGCTCCACCAACTTGCTCTCAGAAGCAGAATCCACGCGCCAAAAGCTCCCTTTCCCCGGCTCGTCCTGAGAGCGGGCCACTTTCAGGAAGTATCGGTTGAGAGACAGGTTGTGTCTGATTGAGTTCTGGAGGGACAAAAGATCATTAATATCTCACTGGAGACAGAAATATAGATTTGAGGGGAAGTATCACAGAACTTATTATATAGCTAATGATCCTAAGCAGACTATTTATTTTCTTTTATTATACCATTTTTACAACAGGTACCGTAGCTATTGTACTGTTAGTACGTTTTCTGATTTCATGATACAATCATAAACTTCTAAATGTTATCCAGGCTAACCTTCCCACACTGTGTGGTTGGCAGGGATGAAATGTAACTAAGTACATTTACTAAAGTGATGTGCTTTTTATGCTACTTTATACTTCTACTCCCCTACATTTATTTAACACTCAGTAACTAGCTATTTTTTAACACATAATATTTGTATCCATGTGGTTACTACTCCTTATATACCCAGTATTTTAAATGCTATTATATGTTTTTGTTAGGGATAAAAACACATTAATATAATAATGTATAATAATATAACAAGTGAGGAACTGATTGTTATGGCACACCATGAGAAGCTCCAGAGAGAGACCCTACCTGCCATCCCTTGTCTGCAGTGCGGTAGTAGGGGTAGTGTTTGGTGATGTGGGCGTAGATGCCACTGAGAGTCAGCTGTTTGTCCTGCGCCGACGAGATGGCCTGGACGATCAGCTGTGCGTAGGAATAAGGTGGCTTGGACTCATCCTGGACACAGGAGACACAAACATTACCATCCAAACATCCTTTATTTACACAAGTAACTCTTTGAAAGCTACAAATTATTTTTCCCTGGAGGCAGTTCATTCTGATGTTACTGGGTCTTCACCTTGGGGCTGTCTCCACCAGCCGACTCCCCCCGCGGCTCGCCGCCGCCGCCCCCCCCCTCTCGGCTCGGCAATGTTTCGTCTTTGTTCAGAAACAGCCTTAGCAGCGCATTCAGCTGCTAACTGGAGGTCAGAGGTCACGTTGCGTCCATAGCGATGATACCCTGATGACCCTGCTCCTCGAGGACTAACCGGACAGGAATTAGGAACACTGGAGAAGAGAGGAGGGGTCTGGGTTAATGGCTTCAAGTAATGAGGGTTTAAGGCTGCTTCTAAAAGGCAGGACAGACGCCAGTGTAATAATAACACTTACGCCCGACAACATAATTTAGTTTGATGATATATAAATACAAAAATGAAAAATGAAAAATCAGGAAGAGGATTAATTTGTATGGTCACTACAAATCTTCAAAGCATCAGCAGTTGCTTCTGGGACATTTTCACTGAGGTAGACCTTTCAACAAATACAAATATATTCATAAACATGTAATAAAAGAGGTGAACCCAAGACAAATCCAACCAGTTATTAATCAAAATGAAACTACATTGTTCAATTCCAGCTGATGTGTATTATAACTGCCATCCAAGTCTCTAAATTGCATTAACAAAAGGCCCTTTGACACACACAAGCAAACCCAAATCAGTGATAAAAACAACTAGCTTGGATCACTTTTAAACCACTACCTTAAAAATACAGAATACTGCAGGCGAGGTTAATACTGCACAACACGACATGATTGAAAATAATAAATGGTGTCTGATTTACAGTATTCAGGCTAAATAATGAAACTCTAAAACAAAGTGTGTAAACTTCTATAAACAGTTGAATTTCAACATTTTACAAAAATACTGAAGAAAATTGAATAAATTGATATTGATTCTTTCCAGGAAATTAAAATTGGTATTTTGAATACAATCCTTTCAGAGTATTAGTGATAACGTTAATACAACAGCTCAATGTCTCATACACACACAAGAGCTACGTATGGAAAAATGATTACAGCTCAGAATCAGGTCGTGCTAAACACAAAGCAATAATACAACCCATTACAATAAGCAAAAACAGTCAAACGTATGTTAATTATTAACTGGGTTTTATCTGGTGTTGTTGAGAGAACAGGACGCAAGGAACACAGAGGAACTTAAACAACACACACCTGCTTCTGTTAGTAAAGTAAACAGTGGGTTCTCAGAGAGTCAGTGTGCTTTGATTTGCCTTCAGCAACAGAGACCCAGAAAAAGACACGCACACACACACACTGTATTCTTTGGCTGGGGAAACTAGGCTGCAGGCTCTGTTTTGCAAGCGTCTCGGCTTTGTAAGCTCTGCACTGAAATATGAATGAAGACGACCAGAAACCTCTAACGTTGCTCAGAGGCATTCTTTAGTATTCAAAAATGAGTCTGTAAATCTACTTCCTAAACTTCCATAACAGACATGTTTGCCTCCTTGTGGGAGGAAGTGTTTGTCTTTGCTTTCCTTTGACGCTGTTAAAACAACCATATCACTGCATGTGCATGTGTGCGTGGGCCAGCAGTACGAGAGTAAACGCGGCAGGGCAGAAGAATGTTATTGTAAACAGTTCATTGATAAGTTGCCAAACAGGAAAGGTGACTCTTACGACACTGTTAGCATTACACTGGGAGCAGCACGTGCTTTTACACAAGACTCTTCTTTTGTTTGTACTGTGTGTGGATACTTTCAAGGAAGGTTACGCAACTATCTGCCGGAAAAAGGCCACAGTGAAAGTGGTGAAGAGATGTGTGAGCAAGCGTCTTTACACTAGTGTGTGTGTCCGTGTGCGAGAGAACAGGAGCTGAGGGCTGAGAGGGGTGGGGGGGGGTCCTCTGAAAAGGAAACCGCAAATGGACGGAAAAAACGGCCTACAGGCAAAACAATCTGCCTGTTAGCCAATCACGCGCCTCTAAGCTGCAGCCATTCCATATAAGGCAGGCACTCACAAGCTGACATTGGTGGGGAAGTGTGATGTAGAAAGCTACACAGACCACCAGAGGGCACACTCAGCAACACCGCCCTGTTGAACATGCTGTATACATTTATAGAGCCGTGATTTTCAACATGTGCCGTCACAAATCTGTACAGCGCAGGTTTCCATACCAACAGAAACGCTGCAGCAGCTGATGTACACACATTCAACCAGAGAGGAGATTACCAGTGAACATGAGCTGATGTAGAGTGTGGATATTTTACATTATTGCAGGTTTTTGGGTTAACGATAACACACAAGTAAAACAAAAGGAAACTCAGCCTCACTTGTTTGCAGATCCACACAGATAAACATGACTGAACACGATTATGGATGGGAGCCAAGACGAGGTGAGAAAGTAAACGCCGAAAGACCTCAAACACTCATTATGTAATGTATTATGCAACAGACAAAAGCATAACTGAGTTCAAGTGCTTTTTGGTGAATAGGTTTTCTGTGTATGTCCCTCCATCACAACCATTGTAAAAAACAAGCAATCTCCTACTTTAACGTAAACAAAAAAAACAAGCGCCTCAATAAAAGTGTTGAATTGCAATATAGAGCAAATCCTTCTCAAACACCCTGGTTCATTTGCATTTTGGACGCAACCAAGATTTATTTTCATTACTGCTTAATGTGCCAATTATTATGTGAATTCCTCATTTATGCTCTGTATAAAACAAGGAAAGAATATGCAGATTAGGAATGTCTAACTCTTAATGTAACATCATTAGGTGAGCTTTCTACCACGTCATAAAAACAGGCAAAACCTGAAATTGAAGACGCTTTGAAAAGGGAATGAGTATGAGGCAATTTAATATAAGTAGACTAATCAAATTCTTTAAACTCACAATGGAGACTAATTCAAAACATTCTTTAAACATATATTATATAGTTTACTTATTTATTCATTTTATTTGTATGTTTTTCTGGACACTTGTTTTTAATTCTGTAATAAATCTGAATTGTAATTTTTCACACATTTAACATTTTTCACACATTTAATTTGTTTTATATGTTATTCGTTCATGAACAGAACAGTAACAGTATGATATGCATTGGGCTCAGGTGAAGCAGAAACATTATGGGTCTATCCAACTGTAATAACAAGAGAAAGACCTTTGGGGTTCATAGCAATGTGTGTGTCTGTGGGTCCTCACCTGATAGTGCCTGTGGGCGAAGGCAGCGGAGAGCCAAATGCCCGGATGTGCTCTTCATGCTGCTGCATTGTGGGAATGCTGATTTTGAGGGGGGAAATGTGGGGCAGCAGCGGGCGAGGAGGAAGAGACAGCTGCTCCCGCTCTCTGTGCTCCTCGTGCTGCAGGAGTGACATGAACTGGATCTTGATGACAGTACTTGGAAAACGAAACACACACCTAGAGAGCAGGACAGCAGGACAGAAGAGTGAGAGGAGGCCGCAGAGCAGAAGAAAACAGAAGCATAGACAAGGTTAGTTTAGTCCTATTCAAAATTCAAAAGCTAAGCATTATAACATATTATTGTATAACAGTTCTGGAGGCTCAAGGTTTAACTCAGTTCAAATATAAATGTTTAATTTTCCATGTTTGTTTGACTTTCTTTTATTGTTTTCTTTACAGGATATAATTACAGACAGTTCAACATTTCTTCCCTTTTAAAGAGAACAGGGCCTGAATGGGGACAGTCTACATTATAATATAACAGTACCGTGTTTTTGCCTCCTTTTTGGCTGTGTCTTAACAATGTTCCAGAGCCTCTGAGAAATGTATCTGCCATAACTTTCAGTCTGTATGCGAGTTCTCCATTATTAGAATCATTTTGCAGACTTCTTGTATTAAGACTGACATTTATTGGCTTATTATAATTTCAATTCGAACATTTCCAAGTTTAAGAATAACCTAGAAATCACAATGTTGGCATATGTTTGAAGTAATATATAGCCGGTAAACACAAGTGAATTTAGGTATATCTTTTATTAAAGATATGGAATCTTATCATGAATCAATCCACCATAGGGGTGTGTTTTCTATATAAACAATATCTTTTGTGGACAAGAAACTAGTCTGGTGTATTAACACAACACCTGCTAGCATTTCCTCTTACTTAAGCAGGTCTGGACAACTGCCTCAAAGAAAGCAAGGATTTGTTCAGGCCCAACATAATTCAAGCCTAAACGAAACCCCCGAAAATAATAATGTGTACGAGGCATTCATCTATGTCTCACAATGAAACCTTAATGACTAATGTTGATGTCTCCTAGCAGGTTTAGGCAGTAAGGGTGATAATTCAGTGTAGCGAAGTCTTTCTTTGTGACTGAAAACATTGTATCAAGCCAGATTAGATGAGTGTTTTCTTTGAAAAAGAAACTGAATCCCAACTAATTCTAGGGGCCCTGGGCTCAGACCTCCCTGTGGAGATGAACACACGAAAAAAGAAAACACACCCCCACAAAACCATAAATGTGTTGTAAGCTGACAGTTAAACCAGTCTATGTGTTTTATCTTTTCTCTATAATTTGCTTCTGAAAATTGCAGATGCCAATCCAATAGCCCACGAGCAGCGCTCTCACAGCTGTCCATGTATAGAGCAGGCCATCCTCAACAACTGACTGTCCATGCGAGAATAACTGAAGGAGTTTCAGGGTTCCACAGCTGAGGTGCAAGAGACTGTGCACACAACAGCTTGTTCTTATTAACTTCCACGGTGCCAGCTGTATGTTGGAGTAGCAGAGAGAAAGCCCCCTGTTCAACTGACTCACATGACATGTTGAATAGTGTTAGTGTTGGAGAGCATGTGAGAGACTCTGAGATACAGTGGAAGAAGGTTCAATAGTTTACCCGGTAATGGGAACATGATTTTGCTTCCTGGCATTATTGCCGAGTACTGAATATCACCTAAAATATATGTTGCCAAATATTGTACTGTGTGAATGCTTTAATGATGCAGGCCATTGAAGACTAAAGAAGCTAGAGAGTTTAGAGGAAATCGCTCAAAAAACACAAACAGCTATTAAGAAAATCTGCTGCAGGCGGCCTGTAGGAAAACTATGTCTCATGAAAAATATTTTAGACATTAGAAAAAAATAATATTAATGTCCTGGAGCACTGGGAATAATAGGCAGTCAATAAGATATCGACTAAACCACACAGATTCAACTGAGCAGTGTCATAACAACTAATTATTGTGATATGATTTAAGGAGTGAGATAAAAAGGGTATATGTATTGTAAATGTTAAAGAATAACTAAAAGGATTACTTAATAAATTGCCCTCTTTTGCATTTGATAAACGTCCGGACTAAGCTCAGCACCATTTTCCAGTTAGCTCTGTAATCCTGAGAGAGGCCCCAGAGCAACACATGCGAACATGGCTGTGTTGGATATGGCCTTGGTGTGTGAGTCTTGTGTTTACTCCATGTGCTCCTGCTATGAGGATGTCATTTCATGCTGCACTTCCTGTTCAATGCCAGACACGCCCCCAAACACTCGTGACAGCCAATCAGAGAGGTTAAGAGTACACCCCCCCCCCCCCCTCTCCACCCTGTGATCAACACACACACAAAGTCAAAGCTTACTGTTTTTAAGATTGCCACCTTATTAAATGAATCAGGCAGTAAAAGCAAAAACGTTTAGCCTCGACAATGGTGCCACAACAGAAAAACTAAGACCATATTAATACACCAGATGGTTACTATTGATACAAACACACGCATTTCAAGTCACAATACAAAACAAACACCACTCTTCCAACAAGACTAATAACTGAGCTGTCAGGGTTTGTTTACATTAATGTTAACACAACGGCAAGCAGCTTCACGAGTAGCATTATCGACCTGAATCAATCTGTTTAGTACACTTTTAAGTTGATGACATGTTATAAAGCCAGTTTTATCACTACACGATTATTTTCAAAATATCAAAAGTACCTTTTTGTATCTGCTTTGTATTTTGTCGTTATGTCAACAGTTCGCTAACAGCTAAAACGAGCTAGGTCAATTCCGTGATTTGATATTAGCTAATAAGTCGGGTAAAAGTACACTAGAGGGGTCCCTCAAAACATCCAGACAAAAGATTAACAATTAACAGCTTAAGTGTTGACATATAGACTAATTATGTTACAGCTTCACTGTCCAAACCAAGGTTACAGTGCACTTATTAAGCGAAGCCGATCAGACCAAATCAAACCGCTCTGATTATTAGGGGTGTCATGACAAACTGTGTATCCCCTTCAGAAATGTGCCCATCGTTTGAATATATAGATGGTTAACTTTGAAAGTTACAATATATCCACCTGAACTATTAAGGATTCATAGTTAGGGGTTTACATAGCTAACATACAATTAAAAAATGTAGTTTCAAAGTTTTATTCAACTGTTTAGCGCATATTAATAAGGGTAGACACACTTTAAAGGAGACACCAACTAATTCATGACACCGGCTTCGAAGTTGTTTTAGTTTTGTTTGTCAATGCGTGCTGAACATTAAAGTAAGCAATGCAACAGTCGTGTTGCCATAATTAGCCTGTCGGTAGCGGCTATGCTAACACTCACTCTCTGGGTAGCAGCAGCGGCGGAGCCCCTCTCCGCTGGAAAACCCCGTCAACGAACACGCCATTCTTGCCCAAGCACCGGAGGGAGAACCCGTTCGCCTCGTCACATGTGACCTGCAGGTGTCGCCGTGAAATGAAGCTCGAGTGACCCATGTTGATATCCACGGAGCCGTGAGACGAGTTCCGGCCTATGGTGACCGTCCTCTGGCGCATCAAGAACTCAAAGTCCCGGCCCTCCAGTCTGGCCAGGGCCTGGGGAGCAGGACAAGCGAGGCGCCCGGGGAAAATCCCGGCATCGGCGCGGGCATCCATCAACGCAGGACCCGAGAGGGCGAGCGAGGGCTGGAGATAGTGCGAGGTCACCCCGACGCGCACGGGACTGCATGGTGCCGACTGTAGAGCCAGCAGAGCCCGAGCTCCGGTGTCTTCCCGGTAGTCTGCCATCTTCTTTCGGAGGGTCAACACACTCACACGCACACACACACTTTACTACTCGCACACACAGAGTTGCAACGTGAGAGTTTTCGGCACTTGTTCGTGGCTCTCGGAACAACATGGAGTCCGGGACGATGCTAAACCAGGACCGAAGCGTGGACCGGAGTCTCCGCAGGAACGGGACTGGTGCTGCGTTCAGGGGCACCTCGTAACGCTTCCTTTCTCCAGAGGTGGAAGAAGTACTCAGATCTTGTACTTAAAAGCAGAAGTACCAGAGTGTAGAAATACTCCGTTACAAGTAAAAGTATTGCATTCAAAATGGTACGAAAAAGCATTGTGTTATCTCCTTCAGGGATAAATAGGGACTTAACAGACATTTATATAAATGAGAACCTTTTGAGATTTTCACTTAAAAACAGATGATATTAGAAAATGAATCAACTAAATAGGTGGTGTTTATAAAATAGTGCTGTTAAAGTGCAGTAGGCTAAAAAGGTGCCTCAAATGTGATTAATGGACAATACATCTGTAAATAAAATGTTCTCCGGTCAACACAGTATGTTTCAGTTTAAAAAAGTCCATGTCAGGCCATTGTACCTTTTAAAAAATAATCAGAAGTCGTTGGGAAGAATTAAATCTATGTTTTAAAAAAAATGTAAATCAATGTAACAGCCTATGTTTCATGTGGAGTCTGTTCAGTATAATTGTAATACTTTTCTTTCTCTTTGTTAATTCTGAATAAATAAATATAAACAATTGGTATTGATTCTCTTCCCTGAACGCCACACGCGGGCACCTCAGCCGATAGGCTGCAGTTCATGACGTCACACAGGAAACTAGAGCTTCACTTCAGTACCTCAAGATTTAACATCCACTCTGTAGCAGTATTAAAAAATGCAGGCTTATTACTGTCTTTCACTCTCGAGTCTTTCCTGGTATGCGGATCTGAATACATTCAAATGGCTGCAAATTAGTCATTTAATTAAACTTAAATATATAAAACGTTAAATTGATGAATCACACAAGTTACTGAAAGACAAAAAAAAAAGTATTTATATGGGATGACAGTTCATTATATTTTATTCCTGCAATTTGGGCTCTTCAAATGCAGCATTAATTGACAGGTTTGGAGTAATATCACCACAGATTTCAGCTGTGTTCAGCAGATAACTTGTTAAACGTCCCCCTAATCCCAGCCCAGGAACATGTGGTGTCTACTCTGCACTGGAGCTGGTTTGCTCGGCTCTGAATTTTTTTTCTTTCCTTTTTTTATCCTACCCTCTGTTTATAAACATGGAAAGAACAAGATGGTTGAAAAACGTGGATAATGGATCTGTAGTAGCAGGAGCACATGGTCAATAAATGAACACAATATAAAATAGCATCCACACGAGTGCGCTGTTGTTTTTATTCCAGGCATTTTTTTTTTTTATAGTTTTAGCTTGACATTTGACCAAGGAATCGATTACATTTATCATACTCTATAATAATACATGATGAAATGTTTGTTAATTTATTTTGTATAGTTAATCTGAATCCGTTCTTCAGAAATTTAAGTTATGAAATAAATGTTGTGGAGTAAAAGAAGTATAATGTATCAGGAAATGTAGCTAAAATTGTACTTAACTACAGTACTCGAGTAAATCCACTTAGTAACTGGTTATGACAACATTATCACAGTGGTCCACTTTATGCTTTTTATTACTGAAATATCTGATAAAACATTAACTCACTTCCTGGCTGATATCTGAACAAACTCTATTTACTTTTTTATTTTAGTCACAGACACAGGGTGAAAACAAAAACATGAACACCTGCAAAATGTAATGAAACCCGTGCAATCAGCCTGCAATACATTTCAGTAATCACCTCTGTTTTGTTATCAGAGAAGTGTTGATTTAGCTATATTATTTGGCAATTAGACATGGTGCTGTTGTTTGGGATCAAAGTCTATCGTAAGTTGTCTTACCAACTGGAAAAATGACCCTCATATAAAACAATGACCCTCATATAAAACATATTTATTTTAAGTATCAACATGTTACTGTCCTGCTTCTGTTGTTCAGACACATCTTTAGCCCCTGTACATTGCATGCTGCTCTGACAGTGTAAATCACATTTAAAAATGAGAGTGCATATGAGAAAAAATCAATTTATTTTATCGTTAACACAGGCTTTACAAATTATCCATTTGTAACACAATGTATTTTGACATTAAAGCTTTGACAGGAAAAAAAGAAGTAACTGATACAATTGCACACACAACTGTACTTTTACCTTGGTAAAATGTATGTAATTATTAGGTCTGTATGCATAAACGCTAAAATGATTAACCTTTATCTTCTTGTTTTTTCAGTTTAAGGGTTAAGAACGTGCCTCCAGCTTCAGCTGAATTGGACGTTTTGGCATCAGCAGACCCTGGACGTCCATCTCCAAGGGTATCTGGCAGGAAATGATGCGCAAAGAGAAAGAGAAGTGTGAACAAAGTCAACAATGCACAACTAAACAAACATCCGGCAGCATTACAGAAGGTAGTAACCTCATTTAAGGAACTGGCAGCTTATTGAGTGCGTTATTTTAACATTACAGCAAAAACAGCAGTGACTCTCCGGCCCAGTGATGAACAGTGTCACCTGTACCTTTTGTACAGAGTGTCAGGTTAATGGCTTTTGATCTTTGGACAGACCTACACGCACAAAAATCATGATTGGTTGGCTATCCTAGGTGTCATATAACTCTTGTTTTCCAAATTAAACTAGCAGTATCTTGATCGTAAGGATATGGTACTGGATCAAACTGCACCATGAAATAGATTACGTATTCACCATAATCAAATCAAGTTTTATTTATATAGCACATTTAAAAGTGATTTTTCGTCGAGCCAAAGTGCTGTACATGTAATAAAAACACATCACTACAATCACAATAAAAGATAACAATTTACAACAGAAATATAAAAAAACAAAAACACAGGGAATAGTCAGGTGTCATACTCCGCTCTGACTAGAAATAAGTAATTACAAGCAGTGTTAAGATAACAAATCTGTGGTCTCACCTCAGTCTCCTTACACACAGAGAAGCTGTACCTCTGCAGGATCTCCACCAATGCTAGTCTCATCATCACCAGAGCAAATCGCATCCCGATGCAGTTCCTGGGTCCTGCCCCGAAAGGCATGTATGTGTACGGATCAATATTCCCCTTGTTTTCCTTGCTGAACCTGGGGACACACATGTACACGAACGTAAGCATGTACACGAACACACGCGTAAACATGTACACGTAAACGAACACACACACACACACACACACACACACACACACGAAACACACACACACACACAACACACACACACACACACACACACACACACACACACACACACACACACACACACACACACACACACACACACACACACACACCACACACACACACACACACACACACACACACACACACACACACACACACACACACACACACACACACACACACACACACACACACACACACACACACACACACACACACACACACACACACACACACACACACACACACACACACACACACACACACACACACACACACACACACACACACACACACACACACACACACACACACACACACACACACACACACACACACACACACACACACACACACACTTCTTTTTGTGGTTGTTTTGGTTAACCTTAACATATAGATATATACAGTATATTAACCTCTCAGGTTTGAACTCCTCTGGCTCGGGCCACAGATCAGGGTCCCTGTGAAGGGTCCATGTGGGTACCACCACTACCATATCTTTGGGAATCACAAGGCCATTTATCTCCACAGTCGCCTTGGCCACACGCTCCAGACGTGGGGCAATTGGGTACAATCGGAGAGACTCGTTGATGACGCCATCTAGATACTCCATCTCCATCAGAGCCTGGTACTCAACAGGACCCTACAAACACAAAGACACACATATACATAAAAAGACCACGACTCAATTATATCAAGGACATTTTGGACCACAAGAACACTAGAGGGAAACAATAATGGTTAATAACTGAGGCTAAATAACACTGCTCTCCTTTATAAGGAATGGGAACCATATCCATAACCACCTATAGGTTTAGCTAGCTAGCTGGCTAATAACACTTTAATGATGCTCTGGTTACAGAAAAGTGACTTCCCCATAACAACCATTGCTATTTTATTTTGTATTAGTCAAATGAGAAGGAAAAAAGTTCAAGATAGATCTGTTCTGTTCATTTATTTTCCTATAGACAGCACTCTGGTAAATACAAGTTACAGACTGCAACTGGTCAGCTTAGCTAAACCAAAAGGAGGAGACAAGTGGGAAACCGCTTACCTGACAAAAGGTTAAAAATCTGCCTAGAATCTCTTCTGATGGTTACTAATACTTTCGACCTTGTTTGATTTGATCCAAAATAACAAGTTGCTATTTTACAGTGGCAAGCTGTATCCAGTTTCTAATCATATGCTTAGTCAATCAGCTGCTGGCGGCAGCCTTAATACTGGAAAGATATTAGAGTGGTATCAATCATCTCAATTAGTTGCAAGAAAGCAAAAAAGCGCATTTTTCTAAATGTCATAAAAACATTGTTAACAATGCAAAACAATATGTAATGTGGAAGGGGCCAGTTGTAATAACACACCTGGAGAATTATCACTTAACTCAGCAGCTTTACTGGGTTTGTCCTCTTTTTGGTTATAGCATAGCCTACAGACATGTTTAGCTAATTATGCTTAGAGCCTTAAGAGTTGGTGGAAATGTTATCTTATTTGCCCTCTAGCTGCCAAAAACCAATGAAACAGCTTTACATTAATTATATTGAGACCCACGTGCTATACTTCCAATATTGTCCTCCCCCCACCCACTTATACCACACCTTGTTAGGGAAAGTGGAGTCCACCTCCTCTTGCAGCCGTTTCATGATCTGAGGGTTCATCGCCAGATTATAAGCCAAGAAACTGAGAGAGCTGCTGCTTGTTTCATAGCCAGCAAACAGGAAAATCATTGCTTGAGAGAGGATCTCATGATCGCTTAAACCTGGGGAGATAGCAAAGAGATATTATTAAGATTTGTTTTAAGTTGTGCTTTAATGCGTGTACTGTATGTGGCTGTGTGTGTCACCTTTGTCCTCTTCCACTTTACTGGAATCGTGGGTTTTCTGGGAGTCAATCATCAGCTGAAGGAAATCCACTCGACTCTAAAAGAAGACATAATAATAGCTTTGATTATATTTTTGATAACACTATAAACACATATATGTATATACACACATGCATAGACAGGCATACCTTTTGCTTGCTTTGCTCTCGACCAGTCTTGATCTTCTGCAGTGCAGCGTAAAAGAAATCAGTGACCGCAGCAGGGAAAAATGCAAAATTCAACTTCTCAAAAATAGGACCCATGAAGGGAAAAAAAGCTGTTCAAGGACAAAGGAAGGACACTGGTTGTATTTACTGTAACTATTCGACAGGTGAAGGACACAATTATGAATAGCTGCATTTAATAGAAGCAACATTTATTATTTACCAACAGTGAGGAAGACAGGGTTAAAAAAATCAAACTTCAGCATCTTCTTGATGTTTGTGACAAAAGGGTCTGAGGGGTTGTTGAGTGAGTCAATGTCGACACTGAAGGCTGTGCTGGTCACTACATCCATACTGTAGGGTCCAAAGAACCTAAGGAGCAAACGAACACATTAGAGATGACCTTATCCTTTCAGGCCTAAACAGACATTTATTGCAATAAACGTATACAGTATTTGAATTTGTTGTATTTAGTGTCCTTACTCCTTCATCTCTAAGGGCTCATCCTTGTCTGCCTTCTTCTTCATGCTGCTGAGCAGGTTAGCAGAGTGGTGCTTCATTATGCTAAACATCTGCAGTACAGACAGGGAAATATTGAATGTGCTTACTTAAAAACTGAAAAGTAGAACACACATCACAATACACAAAGAGTTTCTGCTGTTTTGGTTTAAAAAAGCAGTTGCAGAATAAGTCTGACTGGCCACAAGGTGATAAAGGGATAAAAGGAAAATGAACATTTCAGTTACACATAACCATGCTTGATTTTCTTATTTTTCTCTTATATTTGTTATTTGTTTTGCAGGAGTACTTTCTCCTCTTTAGGCCTTTAAGAAATCCCAGAGCAATCCAAGGAGCAACAACACTTTTTGGTTGAACTAATGATTAGGTAAGTTTAACATGCAATAAAGGGAGAGGGGGCTGTACCTCCTTCAGTCTCCCTGAGGTGAAGGAGGGAGAGAGAACGCTGCGGATCCTCCTCCACTGATCGTCCTCAGCGATTGACACAGCATCGTAAAGCTCCCCGTTCAGACGGAAGTTCTGCAACAGAGTTATACGAAACATGCCACAGATAAGAAGAGTTAAAGTAACACAATGACTTATCAAATGTGTTTTAGATTAGCTTACTCTGCGATTGGTGAAGAGAGAGTAACACTCCTTTATCAGAACAGTTTTGATCATGGCCGGATCTGTGATGCACAGCACGGGCTGACGGCCATCAAATATGCTAAATATGACAAGAAGTGAAAAGAATATGAATAGATACAAAAAACCTACCAGGTGAGATTTTGATACAGTCAGAGACAAAGCTTCTTTGTAAAACAGATATACAATAATACTACAAACAGAAAAAGCATATATTATATAGACAAAGGACAACAATCAGATAATGCAGGAATGAAAAACCTGAAATGATTCATTACTTCTGCCTTTTCTCCAGGATGAGTGGGGGGGAAATTACATTACATTCAAGATTTTAACATGACACCAAGAACTTAATTAGCACACAATACATAATACACAATACGCGCACTGTACATCAGGCAGACTTACCCCCATGTTTTTCCATATTTCTTGAAGCAATTCTCGTCAAAGACAGTGAATCCCTGACAAAAAAAAGGATTATGAATTAAACACCTTTCTTCTGTCCACTTCAATGCGTTGGAGATATCTGTAGCATGAAAACAAATGTTTAAATATGGAAATCATTAACATAAGTAGTGCTAATTCTGAAGGATATATCAACAAAAACAAGAGTTGCAACACGGTGCATGTTAAAATGATCAATCATCAAATCATCCGTTTCAACAACTTCACTTCAGACTTCCCACAAAATAAAATATGTTTAAACACTGATGGATTACCGAATGTAAGTAAAATAAATGGGAAAAGGAAAACTTTCATTATCAGATTTTAATAACACAATTAAAATACTTTATTTTCATCTTAGACATTGAACACTGATACAGTACACTGATAACAATTGCATTTGTCGTTTAACCTATGAGAAAATGGTGAAACCATTAAAAACTGAATGACACAATATGCATGATGTAATCAGAGATTTAAACTCCACAACCATGCTGCACCCATTACACACACATGCTAACCGTGTGGAAGTTTTAAATAACTTTATCAGTATGCAAAGTGTAGATATCATCAAGGCATAACATACCAGTTTCACTCATCTTTTACACATAAATGTAAAGTAACTTTTACACATAATCACTTTGAATGATATGTGTAAGGTGCTCTACCACACTACTGTGTATCCTGCTTAGCATGTACACTCTGGTATGAATCGATTGAGTATTGATTTTGAAAAGTTATGTTGACCAACCTTTTTATATGCCAACATGGTCCCAAAAAAAGGGATTGGTGTTGGACCAGGGACGCCCATTTTCTTAAATGTAGCAAATGGCCAGCAGACATACCTGGATAACAAAATAACAGAAGAGTTATCATACAAACAAACACACAGCATACATACCTAGGACAAATATGTTCAAACACTCACACAACGGTCAGTGTGATGAAAGCCACCAGGAGGGTCCATGTCTCAGTGGAAAAATAAAAGCCCATCTCTGCGTGTTTTTCTTTTTTTTCAATGGCAGCACAAGCTCCACTAAAGCCCAAAATCACGGACCAAAGGCTTTTATGTCGTGCTGCACATTCAGGTTATTCAGCTTGCGTGACCAAGGGGGCATGTGTGAGAGCTGAACCAATGACAGACACGCACCGTTATGTGAATCATTAACAGAAAGAAACTAAACACCATTATTAAATAACAGGTATTATTATCTCTGTCGTCTGTGACGCAGCTATTTTAGGGCTCTAATAATTGTATTGCTTGTGTTACAGAAGCAATACAACCAAGCCATTAAAGACACAGGAAATTGTCTTTAACAACAAAACACAAAGATCTATCACACAAAGACAAGTCCAGGCATATACTCAGGTGTGTGGGCAGAGGCGCAGGAAGGGGGGGGTGCTGAGGGGGCTGCAGCACCCCCATCTGTTGGCGGAGAGTTGTAACTGCAATGCCAAAAAGTTCACTAAACAAATCAATACAAAAGTTTTATTTTGAGTTACAGTACTATTTTTGAGTTAGCATTTTAGTGTAAGCAGTCAATAAAAAGCTTCACTATATAAGAGAAAGTGATAATGCAGTGTGCTTCTTCTGTTGCTCTGCTATAGAAAAGAAGCTTGTCAGTGCAGACAAGATCAGGGATGGGAGTTTTGTGAAAGCAGGGTTTAACAACTGGCGAAAGGCAGGGGAAACATTTAGGGAGCATGAGAAGTCCCATCAACACACAGGCCGTCCACAAACTGGCAGCATTAAAACAAACACCGATGAATGCACTGCTCTCACAAGCTGTTGCTAAAGACCAAATGACTGCATTTAATATGACGTTATTATACAGGACCGCCCAGTGGCATCGCCTGGCCTGGGCGAATTATAATTCTTCTGAATGATATTCCTATTGACAGCTAGTTTCTATGTGAACATTATGAGATGGACAGCCAGAGAGAATAAATGAAAAACAGTTATGAAATACTATATGATAGTAAAACAAGAATACAGTTTAAAAGGGGAGTGATTTGTAAAATATAAGAAAAAGTAGATCTGCTTACAGTTCTGTTTCATATGGGTGTTGAGAGATGTATCCATAGATCTCTTAATTTTGCTCTCAAAGTGCACCAGATTGATGCTTTTAACTTCAATATTTAAACAAAAATATTCCCCCCCCTCCCACCGCACCCGCACGCCGCACCCCCAACTCTGACTGACTTCCCGCGTCCCTATGTGTGGGTGACACTTGGGCACTGTCGCTGCACATGAGAGGAAACAGCAAAACATCTTATGCAACACGGTGAAGAGAAGCCACACCTTCGAACATGTAGTCAGTCAGAGTTCAGTCCAAAACTGAGGTCAGTTCAACTTGGCAGAGCAAGCGAGAGCCATGGGCTATCTTCCTTTCTTCTCTTTAGAAACATGGATTCTACTGATCACATGCTTCTGCTTGTTTTTTGTGTAAGGATCAGAGGTTTATTTTAACTAAGGAAGATTATTCGTACTACCGGTGACATAAATCACCTTTAGAAACACACCAAATCACCAAAGTTAAGATTAAAGTCTTTGACTGACACGATGTGACCGTAAATAATTTTATTTTTATTGCGTTTTATTGTGTTTCTGTTCTGTACAGGTATGGCAAGTGGACTCATGGCATATTTGAGAAATTGGGGATCCCAGGTCCAAAGCCGTACACGTACTGGGGAACAGTTGGCAGGTACCACTCTGTATGTAAATATTTAATACAGTTGTATTATCTAAATAGAATTCTCTTAATTTTGTCTTTCAACGGACAATGATATTTTTTGTGATTAGGGATGAACATACAGTACATTCTCTGTTACCAGGTTTACTACGAGGATGACATCGAGTGTGCTAAGAAGTATGGAAAAATATGGGGGTGAGTCCATAAAGCCTTTTTTTTTGTTAATTTCTTTTCAGTTTTAAAGTCCAATGCAAATAACATTGTTGGTGGGTTCAAAAAGGAAAAATAAATAAATAAATGATTGACACAGGATTAAAAAACAAACAAAAAACATAAATGATATTAAATGCATATTCAAAAAGGATGTCGGTGGGGGTGTGAAGTTGCTTAAGAATTCAATATGATAATATGACACGATTCATTGATAGGGCCCAAAATTAACGGTATGTCAGCAAAGTAGATTTAAAGTCTCAGTAATCCAGGAAATGATTTTTTGTCAAATGTGTAGAGCCATGAAAAAGGAACCTGAGTTTCATTAGCTTGTAAAATGCGGTAACTCTCGACCATAACATTTAATTACAGGTTTGTGGGTTTGTCCTGCATCCTAATAACATAAACAAAAGGTTGAGATTGTGTGATAAGCTCCTCATAGGGAACTATATCTAACAGAGACACAACATATAGCAATACAAGTTATTATTACCTGCCCAAAACACCAAATAGATTTCCTGTAGAAATGTAAGTTAAGAAAGAGTCAGTAAAGCAGAAGTGTATAAAACGTAACTAAGCCTAACACCAAGCTACTCATAATTATGTATTGTTATGTGACAACGTTTGACTGGTTTTGACTCTTGAACTTCACCCGTGGTTGCTTGTATCAGCTGTAGTCTTACTAATGGCAGCAGATATTGATATATATTGTACAAGTCTATCTAAACTGAAAGTATTATTTAGGAGCCAAATCATTAATGGTTATGAACAGGACCTGTAAAATCCCATTTGTTATTTATTGTAAATATAAAAGTAATTTTTTTCTGATTGTTTTGTAAAAAAAAAATTAAAATAATTAACAAGACAAACATATCGCTGATGACGATGACCTAATATTTTATTTATAAGGGAAATGTATGCTAGAGGGGGTAGGACCAGAATTCTTTTTTTTTTAAGCTTCTTCTTGCCCCTGTTGAACATGACAGAGACTAATTGAGAATTATTGTTATTTATTTTTTGTTTTCTTTTGTATTATTATTTTTTTTTTGTACTTTGTTATAATTATTATTATGAGTTAGAAGAAACAAGAAAGAAAATTATATATATATATATATTATTATTATTGTTGTATGTTTTGTTTCTGGCATGTTCAATAAACTGACAAAAAAAAAAAGATATTCTCCTGCTATAGCAACAAGAGTTTAACAATGAATGCCCAACATTTAAATGTGTTTGTTTAAATGTCTAGATCATACGAGTTCAGGAAGCCCATGATGGCAGTGATGGACCCCGACATGGTGAAAGCCATCATCGTGAAGGAGTGCTTCACCTACTTCACCAACCGCAGGGTGAGGATATACATAACACTATATAGAAAATATAAAGGATTGCTGTAAATAAGACACTGGAGAGTGACACAATATCCTTTGATCATCAATTTTAGCAGACTAAAGCTGTCTTCAAATTGAAGTTGTTATAATGTGATTTTGAAATCAGTGAGGGCATGAGGATTGGCAGGGGGGGGGGGAAATGTCAACTTAACACTTTAATTGTGTTGTTCGACTACAGTGCATAGTTCAAAGTCTATCTCTCATATGAACAAGATAACTGAGGGTAAATCAAACAAGTCCATCTCCTTGAGCAGCTCTCTATTGGGGAACAGATTTCTTGCTTTTACAAAAACATTATAGATATATCTCTGGGGTGTCCTCAGAAAACAAAAAAGATTGTTTTGGTGTGTTTCTAACAAACTTCAGAACTTTCGTCTGAATGGGGACCTTTATGACGCTATCTCTATTGTTGAGGACGACGACTGGAGACGGATTCGTCACATCCTCACTCCCTCTTTCACCTCTGGCCGTATAAAAGAAGTACGATTTTTGGATCTTCACAAGTTGTAAAAGTCATATTTTGAATGATTAAAAGATGGAGGACGACTCTATAGTACCAATTCATCTCCACAGTACACTAACTTCACTCTCATTTTTACACTTTTTCCTTGGTCTCAGATGTTTAGCCTCATGAAACATCATTCCAGCAAACTCACAACCAGCCTGCAGTCCAAGGCGTGCAATAATGAAGTCATAACAGTAAAAGAGTGAGTAATGCGGTGCTATGCATGGTTAAATGTGACAAGATGGTCACATGATAACCAAAGTGGCTGTATATTGTTGAGCTTAGGTGTTGTGTCCCTCTTTTTCCAGTCTTTGTACTAAGCTAAGTTAACAGCTGACCGGAGCTTAATTATTATCAAGTACATTATTTTCTATGTGGCAACTGGTTTCAACCAATAATCAATGATATCATTATTTGTGTGTCCAGCTTCTTTGGAGCCTACAGTATGGATGTGATGGCCAGCTGTGCATTCAGTGTGGATGTGGACTCAATAAACAACCCCTCACATCCCCTCATCAAACACGCCTCGAAGCTCTTTAAATTCAACCCACTTCTTTTCCTCTTCCAAGGTATCCACTGCTTTTCAATGACACCTTTTAATTCTTTATGTTGATGTAAACAGCTATGTTCGTGACTAAGATCATAATAACTAACCCTCTTTCTCTTCTCAGGGTTTTTCCCTGTTCTTCTTCCTCTCATGGAGCGGCTTGGGGTCTCCTTGTTTCCAAAGTCTTCTACTCAATTCTTTAATACTCTTCTGGGGAAGGTCAGAGAAGAACGAGACAGGAGCTCACACCAGGTCTGGACAAAACGATAAAAAACATTTAGTTTTAGTTTTTCTGTTTTAGAGCATTTCATCGTATTACAATAAACATCTGATCGCGCTCAATTGAGCTGACCGCCAACATTTTGCATAAACATTGGATTCCTCAATCAAAGGAGTTGATGAAAAAAGACAGTAATACACCACATCTTCAGTACACACACATCTCTGACTCAACAACAACAACAGGATATTTCAACAACAACTCATGTTTACCATAGAAACCCAATCTCTGGATTGTCATGGTCCACTGTGCTGTCATACAACATACTATCAAACACATGTTGGAGAGCATGTATCTTTCCTGTTTTCAGAATGCAGATTTGCTTCAACATATGATCAACTCTCAGACTGCCAGTGAAGCCAAGAAAGAAAAGCAGAATAAAGGTATTACATTCACTCACCTGTATTCACACAAAAGGTTATGAGGCCTCTTTTCCTCTTCATCCCTCTTCATGCATCTCGTCCGCCCTGACAGGTCTCACTGATCATGAGATTGTTTCTCAAGCCACAATGTTTTTGTTTGCTGGTTACGAGACGAGTGCCCTCACTCTCGTTGCCTTGGCCTACAGTTTGGCAAGAAATCCTGAAGTCATGAAACGCCTGCAAGAAGAGATAGATTCCACTTTCCCTAAAAAGGTAGAGCAGAGGTTTCTGGTACAAGAGTCATTCTCTGCACTTCATATAATTGATTAAATTAAAGTTTTCAAAATCCCGATTTGTGTTTAGTGTAAGCATGATTTGTATCTCTGCAGGGTTCTGTCCAATATGAAGAGCTGATGCAGATGGAGTATCTAGACAGTGTCGTCAATGAGTGTCTGAGGTAAAGAGCTTTTTCTTATACTAGCTGTTCACAACATGCTAAGCATAAGAATTAAGTTAACATGCTAATGTTTAGCAATGTTACTACCATTATTATAGCTTGCTGACATGCTAATATTTGCTAATGAGCACTAAAAATAAAGAATAGCTGAGGTTGTCGGGAATGTCATTAGATTTGCAGGCATTTGATCATGCACCAAATAACTAACACACATAACACAAATGTCCATATGATAATTATAAAAGAAAGTCAGAACCATCTTGTTCTTTTGAGTTGCTACCTTGCCATTGAAACAACATTATTAGAATAGACATTTGGGTACAAGTCTGTAGATTTTCAAAAATATTTAACACTGAAAAAAGACAGTCAGTAATCTTTTGACAATAGGCTCTACCCTCCAGCTGGACGTCTTGAACGAATTGCCAAAGAAACTGTAAAGATCAGTGGCATCACAATCCCTAAGGACATGCTCGTGATGGTCCCAGTCTACGCTCTGCACCACGACCCCGAGCTGTGGCCCGAGCCCGAGGAGTTCAGACCTGACAGGTAGATGCCACAGTGCTCCTGAGTGTGTACTATAAATGTATGTATAAGGTGAAATGTGTACTGTAAATGTGTGTAGATGTGTATACTGTAAGTGTCTTTCTCAATTAATATACTTACTATGTATACATATTTCTTCACTTGAACGTGAATCTTGAGAAACTTCATTTGTACAATCCTGTGAAACATAGTATATAAGAACATTCCCTTTTATGTTTGTATGTGTGTAAAAGTTACATTTTCTTTTCTTTGTTGCTTTTTATTCAAGATTCAGTAAACAGAACAAGCAGAGCATCAACCCGTACACCTACCTGCCGTTTGGGCTCGGGCCGAGGAACTGCATAGGGATGCGTTTTGCTCTGGTTTTGATTAAACTGGCCATGGTGGAAGTTCTGCAGAACTACAGCTTCTCCGTCTGCGAGGAGACAGAGGTGGTTACTTTTTAAATGACAATTACTACATGATTGCTGACAAGTTGGATTTGCAGGCAGAGAGAGCACGTGTTTCAAATGTTGTATTTGTATTTCATAGATCCCTTTGATAATGGACCCAGAAGGTCTGGTTGGACCTCTGAAACCGATCAAGCTCAAGCTGGTGACACGTTAAATCGCCTCAGGAAATGCCGACAACTAGGAGAGCTGAACTATCGTCTAAATGTATAATTTAGTAATAACAAATTCTGCTTAAAGTTTATTCAGAAGTTTGTAATCTCATGTGACATTGTGATAGACCATGACTTTAATTATTGAAGAAGTTCATAAGTGATGGAAATGTTTGACAGGAAAAATATGTATTGTCGAAACACTAATTAATAACATTTTGTGTCATGATTACAAATCAAACTCAACCAGATTTGAAAATAAGTAAACTCATAAAACAAAATGTCTGAAAATGTCTAATGTCAAGGAGGCATAATGACACATTAACATGGATTTATTTTCTTATGTTATCTTATTGTTAAAATGCTTTTATCAAAGCTACATGCAGCTTAATCAATAAAAACTAACTGGTGGTACCTTTGGGGGCTTTCTTGTGTTTTGGTCACATCTCTAGATCCCAAGTCTATCGTATAGGCCTACTCATCTCTACTGTCACACATACCATTTTGATTTGATGTGTATGAAATTTGGGGGGAGGCCACATTACTCCAAGTCTTTGAAATGCATAAAGTATCCAAACAACAAAGTAAAATTCCTAAAAATACATGATGCAATACATCGCAATATCCCGTAAATACTCTCATTAAAGTCAGTTGAATGACTACCACAAAGTCATCACCTCACCTTTCTGATGACTCAGTGGGCTTTTGTTAGTGGGTTTTCCTAATCCGAAGCAAGTTTTTCAAGAACCAATGTTTTTGTCAACTATCCAGATAGAGATTGTAATTTGTGATATTGGGCTATAAAAATATCATTGACGTGTTGTATTACACATTATATGGTTTGTCTAATATTGTATTGTCGGGGTTGGGGGAGCGTTTTGCAGCTCTGATGACCCCCTTTGGCTTGAGTTGTGCCTATTTAAATAGAGACTTCAAAACACGTTAAACCCTAACACATAAAATCAGACAGGAGTGCAGCATTTAATAAAATACCCAGACAGTGTTACTATGTTGAAACTGCAGATAAACACAAGCATGTGACCTGCCAGTCACATGGTCAAGGCTGCAGGTGTGTTAAATTGGGTGAGAAGGTACCATGAGCTCCTACAATAAGGGGCACACTCTGGACTTAATCATCTCAAATGGTCTGAATATCTCTAAGGTTGTGGTGACTGATGTTGCACTCTCTGATCATTCCTGTGTTTTCTTTGAGAGCTCTATTTCTGTTCACAAAAATGTTCAAAAAAGAGGTAACCACAAAGCGATATTTAACTGAAAATACTAGGGAAATGTTTACTCAGAATTTTTCTTCCACACTTGCCCCTGCTAACATCTCAGTAAATGAGCTAGTAGATCATTTTAATAAAAAAATAAAAAATGTTATAGATGCCATTGCTCCAACTAAGGTAAAGGAAGTGACTGGCAAGAAAATATCTCTATGGAGAAAGGCCATGACCGTGAAAACAGAAAAAAGAGAGTGTCGAAAAGCTGAACGCAGATGGCGAAAAATAAATCTCCAGGTTCATTTTGAAATCTATAAAGAGAGACTTGGCCTTTATAATTTGGAATTGAAAATTGCACGACAGTCTTTATTCTCTGATATCATTGCCAAAAACAAAAATAACGCACGTGCCTTGTTTGCTACCGTCGACAGACTAACTAAACCCCCAGTGTCAGTAGCCTCTGAATTTCTCAATGACTTTGCCTCCTTCTTCACTGACAAAATTCAGAAAATCAGACAAGCAGTCAGTGCCTCTGCATCAGGTACAGCAAATGTGTTGTCCCTATGTCCACCTAATATCAATTCAGACATCATGACACAATTCCATCAGATTAATGATAAAAAACCTAGAGGACATTATTCAACTTCTGAAATCCTCCTCCTGCTGCCTTGATATTATTCCAACAGGATTTTTCAAAGATGTTTTTTATTGCATGGCCTCAGATCTACTTCACATAGTAAACATGTCTCTTTACTTGTTTTTCCACAGGCCCTGAAAACTGCAGTCATTAAACCGCTCTTAAAAAAGAATAATCCAGATGCTTCAGTAATGAACAATTACAGGCCCATATCAAACCTGCCATTTCTAGGTAAAATCATTGAAAAAGTTGTTTTTCAACAGTTGAGTAATTACTTGCATTTAAATAACTGTTTCGATGAGTTTCAATCAGGCTTTCGACCAAACCACAGCACTGAGACTGCTCTTGTAAAGGTCTTCAATGACATCCACTTAAACACAGACAGTGGCAGAACTTCAGTGTTAGTATTATTAGATCTCAGTGCTGCGTTTGACACTGTTGACCACAACATATTACTAGACCGACTAGAAAACTGGGTGGGACTTTCGGCAACAGTTCTAAATTGGTTTGAGTCCTACTTAAAGGACAGAAAAGACGTTGTTTCTATAGGTAAATACACATCTGAGTTGACAAATATGACATGTGGGGTACCTCAAGGCTCCATCTTGGGGCCTCTTCTCTTTAACATCTACATGCTACCACTGGCTCAGATAATGAAAAACAACAAAATAAGTTACCATAGCTATGCGGATGACACACAAATTTACGTAACAATTTCACCAGGAGACTATGCTCCAATTCAAACACTGAGTAAGTGCATTGAACAAATCAATGATTGGATGTGTCAGAACTTTGTCCTATTAAACAAAGATAAAACTGAGGTAATGGTTTTTGGAGCCAAGGCAGAACGTATAAAAGTTAGCGCTGAGCTTCAGTCTGCAATGTTCAAAACAACAGATAGAGCCATAAATCTAGGTGTAGTCATGGACTCTGACCTGAGTTTCAACAGTCACATTAAAACAGTTACTAAATCAGCCTACTATCACCTAAAGAACATATCTAGGATTAAAGGACTAATGTCACAGCAGGATTTGGAAAAACTTGTCCATGCTTTTATCTTCAGTAGACTCGACTACTGTAATGGTGTCTTTACAGGTCTCACTAAAAGATCCATTAGAAAGCTTCAGCTGATTCAGAACGCTGCTGCTCGAGTCCTCACTAACACTAAGAAAGTGGATCACATCACTCCTGTTCTGAAGTCCTTACACTGGCTTCCTGTCTGTCAAATAATTGATTTCAAAATATTGTTGCTGGTTTATAAAGCTTTGAATGGTTTAGGCCCAAAATAAATGTCTGACCTACTGCTAAATTATGAACCATCCAGATCTCTCAGGTCTTCAGGGACTGGTCAGCTTTCTGTCCCCAGAGTCAGAACTAAACATGGAGAAGCAGCGTTCAGTTATTATGCTCCAAATATCTGGAACAAATTCCCAGAAACCTGCAGGTCCACTGCAACTCTGACTACTTTTAAATCCAGGCTGAAGACTTTCGCTGCTTTTAATTGAACTATTCACATCTTAAACTGCACTGTAACTTTTATCCATGTATTTTCTCTTTTAATGTTTCTTTTATTACCTTTGCTTTTTAATGACTGATTTTAAATGCCATTGTCTTAATGTCTTTCATTTTTTGTAAAGCACTTTGAATTGCTTTGTGTTGAAAGGTGCTATATAAATAAACTTGCCTTGTCTTGCCTTGCCTTGCCTTGCCTTGCCTTGCCTTGCACTGTTGATTTGTTTAGTTGCATAACATACAAAAATCATGGCCATCTGAAGGACACCCTTTAACACCATGACTTCTGCTGCTCAAGAGAGATAACTACATATACTTAAAATATCCTAACTGCTGTATGTACAAAAAACTACTGATAGAAACTTTACTTGAAACTCTACATGAAAGGAAACATGAATTACTTCTAATTGGATGAGGGTTATTCTAAGATTGTGGAAACATTTGACATGATTAAAGTCGACTGCCCACCTACAACTTCAACTGTTTATTTTGTAAGTGGAGATGGACATGTTTTGCTACAGGTTAGTTATATTTTTGTTTGTAATGTCATGTAGGTATATGTATGTTCTACTCAAGTTAGGTGTTAATTCATCTATATGTGCATGTTGGTCAAGTGGAGCCAAATCTCAAAGTAATGTTGTCCTGTAATATGAATTGCTTGCCAATGGCAGTAAAGGAAAGCAAAAGAAAACAGCTCTTTTATATTCAAGACATTTATTTCCCTGGTTAATGAACCGTAACGAGTGGATGTATATTAAATAAATGAAAACCGTATGAAACAGTCTTAATGGTTTACAGTGAGTAAACCCCACATTGGGTCACACGGAGCAAATCAAAATCATGAAGATAAATCAATCCCATATTTGGTCGTTGCACAACAGCGGCAAGAATGACCATATACGGAAACAGGTCTGAGGTGGAGTCAAACAGGATACACACCTCCAAGCACCTTTACACACACCTGCACTCTGTGACAACGTACGCTACTGCATCCACTCTTCATGCGTTCACTCACACAAACTCACTTCACTTCCATGTGAAATTCCCAGCCTCCTACAGAGCTGCTGTTCACAGCTAACACACCTCTTCATAAAAGATCGGTTTAATGTTTTAGAGATACTTTTAGATGCGTCTGGAAGAGAAAACGTTTTGAAAAGTCACTTTGAGCAGGTGTCAAAGATAAAAAGAGGCACGGAAATCTCTTTCCCAGGTCTTGTCTCTTTGTTCTTTTCTCCTACTATCTTCCTTCCTCTCTCCTTTGTCTCTGCCTTCCTGTTTCTCCTGTGATGGTCGTTTCACTGCGGCAGAGTCCCTGGGTTGGAAGTGAGTCACTTTGGCTCTTTTCATGTGTCCATATCCCAGGCCTTCCTGGTCTCTTTTCAGCACCGTTGGCACTGGTTGTTTGGGCCCCTCTCCCACCGGCCCCAGCCCTGTCCCCGGTTCCCAGCCGCAGCGAACCATCATCTTGTAGCTGTTGCTGGAGGGGGGGAGGCAGTAGTAGGGTGTGGGGGGAGCACGCCGCAGACTGAACAGATGAAGAGTGGAGGAGAGATGTGACGACAGGCTGCTGCTGTACTCGCTACAACACACACCGCACCACTGAGGCTGGGAGGCACTGGGGGTGAACAGAGGAGGAGACAATGAGAGGAAATGTATTAAAGAAACAGATTCACTATTTTGATTTATGTCTTAAAACAATAGCCATATGTATATATATATATATGTGCATTTAAGAGGTAGTTTGGATTTTTTTGAAGTACGGTTGTTGAAGGAAAGGTATATGGAAAGAAAAGGAAGGAGTACCAGCAAGAAGCAAAGAAATACACTTCTGAGGAAGGGGCAGCCAGCCACAAAACAATTATTTAGCCACCTTAAAAAAATGTACATCAGTTTAAGTAGACTCTATATTTAGAATAATCTGGAACTGAAGCCTGGTACCTAGACTCTCTTGAAAGCCACCAGACTCCATTGACAAACACTGTTTTTCCGCTTCCTGGATTGGTTAGTTTATTTTGTGTGACTTTGGTGAATCCTAGCTTATCCATTACAACAACAAAAAGTAGTAGCTTTTCAAAGTTGCTGTTTGATTCACATCTACCATGTCGCACATATTGTACACTATCATTATGTTATCGTTTGTTGATAGTTCTGTATACTCACTAAAACTGTCACTTGTGAAGATAATATGTGATATAAAATGTGCAAAGAAGTATGTAGCATGTCTTTGCTCAGCCCAACCTAAGCAGTGATTTGTATAAACCTGAATAAGTGGAAATACCACTGCATGTTGTGCAAGGCCTTTAATGACGTTCAAACGATTTATTTAATCTTTGACTGTTTTGTGAAACTTGTTTTCTTGTAACATGCTTATAGTAAAACGTTCAAAGGGCCACTCCTGACTTTAACCTTTGTGTCTACATATACGTCAGCTTATAATTATGTTTATTTATCAACTCTAGAAAGTCCAACTCAGTACAGATATTGGTCACAGTTCTTAAAGGTGGGGTAGGTAAGTTTGAGAAACCGGCTCGAGATACACTTTTTGTTATATTACATGGAATGCTCTTAACATCCCGATAGCAATGAATATCTTAAGTGCTTTGACAAAAAATCCATAAAAAAATGTCATCTGTGGAAGCCGTAGCGCTGTAAAAAGCACGACCAATCATTTTAGCCGGCCCGGCTAAAATAACTGGATGGCCTACCTGCCTGTCAGCCTTCCACCTGTGCACAAACTTATCTCGTGCCCTCATTGGTCATGTGCGCGTTCGTGTGTGTTGGAGGAGGGGCTCTGTAAGGAAGTGGCAGATTTTCTCCGGTTGTGTATTTTCAAATTCTAGCCATCTCGAGCCGGTTTCTCAAACTTACCTACCCCACCTTTAAAGATTTCATTTAAATAAACATTAAACGTTTACCGGTGACTTCTCTTTAAATGCAAAACATAGTCTGTGTAATGTCATTTACAATGTAAAATGAAGGTAATTCAAGTTTATTAAATGTAGCATAGGCCCATAACGGCCCTGGTTCAGGCTCGGGTCGGGCTCACACAGAAGCAATGTTGGTTCATGTGGGGTCACAGCTCTAGAAGAGCCACAACGCTCAGTGTGTGCTTACCTGCTATCAGATTGAGGGTCTCTCTCTGCACTTTTCCCATAGCTCTCCAACTCCTCCAATAACTCATTGTGGCCCGCTGGGGAAAAACAGATATGAATGAGTTCAACTTCATTGTACAAACAAACACACAAAACACATTTTAGAGATGTTAATAAATGCATGGTTATACCTTCCAGCGCCAGGTCTTTGGCATCCCTGCCCTGAGTGTCAACCACTCCGACCCAGGCTGCTCCGTGGTGCAGCAGCAGCCTCACCGCTGCTCTTTGTCCTGACCAGCTTGCACACATCATTGCCGTCCAAAAGTAAGTATCCTGAAGGGAAAACCATCAGGACTTAAAACCAATAAAGGGTCAGAAAGTGAAAGCACACTAAGCAGTAAGTCAGTACTGTACCTGGAAGTTGATGTCAACACCCTTTGAGAGCAGGTCTTTGAGTCCAGAGATGTCGCCGTCATTGGCACAGCGCAGAAACCTGAGCCCCAGGAGCTCCATGGTCCTTTCTGAGATGACATGTCTTCTTGTGTTGCCTTCACGTTCACTACTATTCCCTCTATGAACCACAGAGTCTGTTTGAGCCTGCTGCATCTCTGCTGCCCTGGTTCTCCTCCTCTCTCTTCTATTGGGCTCTCTGCCATTATCACCCTTGCTAGTTGCTCTCCTCCTTGATTTGTCTTGCCCTTGACTATCTTTCATTAGATTTTCGTAGAACTGCCTCACCTCTTCCCCACTAAGGGCACAGTTTGTTATAGAGCTGGATTGTTCTGTTGTGTCAATGCTGAAAAGATCTTGCCCGCTGGCAAGATTAAAGCCTAAAGCAGCCATTAGGAGAGACTCTAGATTCAGGTTTAAAGTTTAACCAGTTGTTGAAGTTGTTTTACTGAAAGTTAATCTGATCAATAGACTGCTATTTTTGAACAAGGAACGTTGCAATGCTCCAGCAACAGCAGCATACTGATACTGAAGTTAATTATGATTATCTTACACTGCTTCACACCGAGTCTAGACAGTCTACGACAGTAAGCAATGTAGCTAGTAAGCTAACAAGCTAACGTAGCTATGCTCATTATTTTGATTTACAGGGCAAGTGGTTATCTGTTGGGTTCATCCTGAAATCTACCTCACACATGTTATGTAACATAATTTACAGTGCGTCAATGTATCTCTCTGAAAATGAAGGGGTTGATAACCAGCCGTTTGTAGCATTAGCAAAGTTAGCTTAACTTCAGCAGTATATTTTAGAATTTAGACCAACTAAGCTTTACAACTCAAGACGAGATAAGGCACATGATTCGGTATCATAACTCAACGTTACCTCGCTTTACAAACATTATCCACATGACGACGTACACCACAGACGTGACTTATTTATTTTACAATACGAAGCTACCTTAAGCTAACGCTACCTTCTTGTGCCCCTGTTTGTAAACAGACGATTAGCATTAGCTTCAGGACTAACGGTCAGTGCTGCCCCCTGTCGGGCCGGATGTCACACTTCTCTGTTGGAACACCAGTGATGGATAAAGTAAAAGTAACAATACCATCATTAAAAATACTCTGTTACAAGTAAAAGTCCTGCATTTTATAACATCCTTTAGTTAAAGTATATAACATTCTATTTCCAATAAATGGAGTATAACATTATTATTATTTTAATTGTATTATTATTTAATTATTATTTGTATTTAATCATTATTTTATTTTAATTATTATTTAATTATTATATTATACATTTTATTTTATTATTATTATTTTATTATTATTATGTTTTATTATTATCTATTTTTTTATTTATGCATTTATTTATGCATTTATTTATTTGTTACTTATGTCATGTTCTGTCCTCCATACCTGTGCGCTCGTTGTGTGCATAAAGCTACACATTTACAATCACATCACAGCAAGACCTATAGTTGTGCGTTCATTGTTTTAAAAACACATTGGTGGTCCACAGGTCTATGCATTGGTTATTCATGCAGGTGCTCGAGGTTCAACAAACAGGGGAGGGACGTATTTTTTCTTCTGCTGCTGATGTTAAATCTGGAGAAATTGTCCACACCACTTTTTCTAACAAAATGACGCCCATGTTTATCAGAACAAGTTAACCTCATGTAAACCCAGCAGAGGATTTCACAACTCTAACTTGAACCCTTCATCAGGCACTAAACTGAAAACACCTGTGTGTCGGTATGTATAGCATGTAATGTAGGCTACATTTAAGAAGGTGGCTATAACTATCAAATGAATGCATTGCAGTAAGACGTTAATACTCGAAATGTATTGAAGAAAGTAGGAGGTTGCATAGATTAGAAATAATCAAGTAAATTACAAGAACATCAATTCAGAAATCCTGAATCTCAATGTTACATTTCTGGCTAAATAAAATACCTAAGTCTGAATTGTAGGGAAGAAAAAGTACAATATAATGACTTTTACCAACTGTAATTAGGATGTGAGGTGCTACTTATAATAATAACAATGGTTTGGACTGTTTAAGTTTCGTTTTGTTGCATGTATATTGCTGATGTACTGTTGGATATCTCCCCGTATTGGATAGTATGGTAAGAAAATGATTAATGAAATGTTTGTTTTATGAACTATTAGAATAGCTATTTGGTACTGTATTTGTGATCTGTGTAATAGAGATACATTAACGACCCAACAGCACCCTCATGTGGACGCCTGCTTTCAATTATTTTTACTGACAGTTAGCTTCTTTATTGATTTTTTATCAGATATGTCAGCTTGTTTGAAGTTGTTAAATAAGTACCGAAATGATACACCGATGGTAAAATGTTCAAACATTTAAAAAGATCCAAAAAAAATCTCTCATGGCTGCATGCACACACAGTATGTTTCTGCATGCCAGAACCTAAGAGGAAACTTTGAGACCTAAATCAACCATATTGATCTACTAGTGAAAATGTAAGTTTATTGCATTCATTAGCATGTCATTTAGCTTCAGCATAAAAACACACATTTATATAAAAAATGTTGTTTAAATAAACTCATCACGGAGATAGCTGTCAGTTACAGACGCCGATTAACAGGGTCGGTACACTTTAGTTAAGTTTAAGGATGTAAAGGACTTTTTAATTCAACTTGGAAATAAATTAAAGACCTTTTTTATCAGCTAATTTCCGCTACCCAGAAGTGCTTGAGGTTTATGCAAGAGGCATTATGGGTTATGGAAATATAGATATTACCAATTGTTTTGAGATGTAACAATGCATTTTCAGTAAAAACTAATTTATAAAATCCTCTTTTGAATGATTATTAAAGACATTCATAACCATTGAAGCTTTGTAAGGGTCAGAAAGAACCCTCATAAAATACTTGACATATTTAATTTTGGGGTTCATAGAGTTAATTATTTTCAAATGATATTTAAACCTTTTTATTCTCACTTGACTGATAATATGTGTCTAAAATGATGCAGCTTACATGTTTACCTTTTACAAATGTTGATCAGAAGCCTCATTAAATGTGCAAGCAGAGTGAATAATAGTTTTATTTTTATGGCACTTTTAACACAGTTACAAACGCTTGGTTACCGAGAAGTCGAAACTAAAATAATCTAAGATGTGAAAAGAAACAACATAAGACTATGTAACACAAACTGTGTAATGGAGGACAACAGAAGCATTGAACAATGATCTTTGAATCTTTTGTTGCATCATTTCAGTGATATACTTGATACTACTTAATTTAAACTAGTATGTAGCTACAGATTTGGGCACGCCAAACTGTGAAACTCGCATTCTGTCACTAGTGTGAGTTGTTGGGAGTGCAAGGTGCTTGTATGGAGAAGGGGTGAGGGGGATGGACTACAATGACTAAACCCTCATGCACAGCTGTTGTATTAAGTGGTCAAATGTAGTGATATCGAAGAGAGTCCAGGTATGAAGCTTGCAGAAAATAACAAATCAGGGAGAAACTGTTTGTAGACAGTAAAGTCTGGACAGAGAAGACAGTGGTTTTGCATTCATTGATTGTAATTGCTCCCAACCCCAACAAACATGCAAATAGGGTGACCAGGTGTCCCGCTTTGTGCGGGACTGCACAGCATTTTGATAATTTGTCCCACACATTTTGCCGATGTCCCGCATTTGATTGACAGTCGCCCGTCTTAAACAAGGCTTTTTTACAAAGGTGTGTAGAAAACGAGAGGACTATCATCACCATTAGCTGTGTCAGATGTCAATCAACAGAGAAATGTATTAACTTATGGGCAGGGCCGCCCCTCCCTACACGCAGAACACGCAGAGTGTGTGGGGCTGCATCTTATGCGCAAATGCGGCGCAATTATGCACGACAGTTTCTCCGCAGCGAGGCTCCGGCGCTAACAGTCATGAGCCTGCTCTACCACAGACCCCCCCCACGATCTATGGATATATTGCTCCTGAAACCAAAAGAGATGAAGTAACAGCAGCTGATTTAATTAACGTTTAGCACACAGGGCAGCAGACCGGGCAGTAAGCTAGATCCGGTCATTTTTTTCTGCTCATAATAATTTGTTATGTTAATTCCATTCAAAACACATATTTAATTCCTTCACTATATAAACATCTAATCCAGCTCTAAGCAACGCAGTAACATGTCCCGCATTGTCCCACAAAAACGTCCTATTTGTGGCTTGTTGGCACCTGGTCACCCCCTACATGTAAAACCACTGGCACAATCATTCAAAAGCAACCTAATCTTCACTGGAGTTAGGTACTGCAGTATCTAACTCGTGGTATTTACTGATGTGTCTGTTTCTGTCTCCAGTCTGTGTGAATGTCTGTCCGCAGTGAGGACAGGCGTACGGCCTCTCGCCCGTGTGTATCCTCATGTGAACGTTCAGCTTGTGTTTGCTAATAAAGCGTTTGTTGCAGCAGGTGCATGCGTACGGCTTATCCCCCGTGTGGTAGCGCTGGTGCATTTTCAGCTCCGTGATGCGACCGTAAGTCCTGCCGCACTCGAGACACTCGAAGCTGGGCCGCACCTCCATGTGCTGCCGGCCGTGCAGCCGCAGCCCGCTGGACGACCTGAAGCTCTTGCTGCACTGCGGACACGGGAAGGGTTTCTCCCCGGTGTGGATGTGGGAGTGTAACTTGAGGCTGGCGGCCGAGGGGAAGCCGTTGCCGCAGATGGAGCAAAGGTGCGGCCTCTCCCCCGAGTGGATGCTCAGGTGCCTTTCCATCTTGCTCTTGTTGAGGAAAGTCTTGCCACAGATGGGGCAGGTCATTGGCTGCTCTCCATCATGTGAGCTCATGTGGTCCGTCAGCTCAAGGAGTGTAGAGAAAGCACAATCGCACCTAGTGCACGAGTTTGGCATCTCCTTCTTGAATTTCCTGTGCCTCAAGCAGTGTTGATCCAGATCTTTCTTCTCCTCAAAGGTCTCGATGCAACAGGTGCACTGGTACGGCCTCTCCTCTGTGTGAGTCCGCAGGTGATACTTAAAAGCTGTTAGCTGCAGAAAGATGCTGTCACAGTGAGGACATCTAGATTCCCGTCTGTCGTGGACCGTCATGTGCCTCTTGTAGTGGGACAGCTTGATGAAGTGTTTGCGGCACAACGAACAATAAAACTGTTCGTCTTGATGCCCTTGCTCATGCTTCTTCAGCGCATACTCGACCTTGAACTTCTTCCCGCAGGTGCTGCAGGCGTAAGACTTCTCATGGACCCCCATGTGCGCCTCCAGGCCTTCTGGACTACTGAAGGTTTCGTCACATTTTGGACAGGTCCCATTGTTTTCTTTTAAATGAATCTCCAGGTGTTTGTTGAGGTCTTCTGGGAAGGCAAAATCCTTCTGACAATCAGGGCACGTGTAAATATCTCCGTTTGTTGCTTTGCGATGGGTCACTATGTGCCTTTTCAGATGATACATACGACCGAATACTTTGCCGCAATCGCCGCAGGTGAGGCTCCGGGGTTTGGCCTGGACCTTCTTGTGTAATTTAAGATGACTCACTAGGGCAGCCTTCTCTTTAAACTGTTTATCACAAGCAATACATGTCAGGCCGTCAACAGCATGAGTCTTCTTGTGTGCTCTCATCTCCAGCCAGCTCGCAAAATTTTTCCCACATTTTTCGCAGATGTACTGACCCATGCCGTGCTGCTTCCTCAGATGTCGGGTCATGTGGTAGGATTGGCTGAAGCTCATATCGCAGACAGGGCAGCCGAATGGTCTCTCCTTTGTATGTGTCCTCATGTGTCTTGCGAGTTTGTTTGCCCCTCTGAAGCGCCTGCCGACACAGATGGGACAGACATGGCCCTTTGTTTTAGTCTTGGAGGCTCCTTCTTCTTTGGGACTGCCTTCATCTTGAGATGTAGCTTTTTCAGTGTCCTTATCCTTAACATTATCTTCACATTCTTCATCCTGAGAATCACTATTATCAGAGTCTGCACTGTTCTCAGCAACATTATCATTGATATCAATACTCTCATTATTATTTTTGTTTATTGATTTGATTTCTTGGTTTTTTATTTCATCATTTTGCAGAGGACTCTGACCCTCTGTGTGTACAAACACATCTTGAGATGGACAATAAAGTTGACTTTGACCCTCTACCTGGGTGGACTGGTCTTCGCTGTGTGACATGACATGACTACACAATGCTTTATTGTTAGTGAATTCTTTCTGACAGCTTGGACATGACAAATGCGTCTTCTTGTGACTTTGCAGATCTGCAAGGCTCTTGTAACTTTCCCCACACGTGGAACAGACGTGTTGTCCCGCATTGTGCTGGTTCCTCATGTGTCGGGTCATGTGGTAGGATTGGCTGAAGGTCGTAGAGCAGACCGGGCAGCTGAACGGTTTCTCCTTCGTGTGCATCCTCATGTGTCTGCTGAGCTTGTTTATGTCTCTAAAGCGCGTTGTGACACAAATGGGACAGTAGGGGCCTTTTTGTTTAGGTTTAAAGTCTTCATCTACATCTTGATCTACATCTTGATCTACATCTTGATCTACATCTACATCTTCATCATCGACACCATCACTAGCATAGTTGCAGCCTTCCTCTTCCATCCAATCTAAGGATGATGATGATAACGCTCTTTTCTCCTCTTTAGCTGCTTCATCGTTGGGTTCATCCAAAGCTAGATTAGTCTCATGAGCACTTTCAGACACACCTTCATCATTTTCACTATAATATTGCTTATCATTGCTGTAATAGTAACTATCTTTGTGTCTAGATGATCTTGTATGAGTTTTGGTCGGGGGTGGTTTTGTTTCGATTTTCAGCTTTCCCTCCCCACGCCGAGGTCTTCCTCTTTTACGCTTTGTTGGAACAGGAGGGCCTAAATCGTCTTCAATGTCCACACTGACCTCATGAATACTAAACAGGTCAGTTTCATTGAAAGCAGATTCAACCTCTTTACCAATGACCAATGCTTTGTCCACGGTCAACGTTTCCCTCTCCAACAGCAGCCTCTCTTTGAGGGGTGGGCAGTTGGTTTTCTCAATCAGCTGATCCAGGATAAGTTTGTCTTGTAAGTGTCCATAATTGCAAGGTCTCAGCAGTTCTTCTAACGCAGACACAAACACGTCTACACCCTCCCCGGGCATCTGAGCCCTCTGATGAAATTTAAGGCGGCACATCTGAGAGGTGTGATCGGAGCAGAAGTAAAGCGTCAGCGAGGAGATGACTGCTGTGTACGAAGTTTCACTCTGGATCAGAGCGGTGAAGATATGCTGGCCTTCAAGGCCAAGGCAGTTCCTTAGGAGCCCACACTTAGAGGATTCAGCAAGCTCGTTTTCACCAAGAGCGTGAAAGTAGTGTTCAAAAGCTTTTAGCCACTTGTGCCAAAACATGGTCGGTTTACCAGCGCCGGGTAAGAAAGGCGGAGGTGGGGACAGGATTATCAGTAGAGGCTCTGGGAGAAGCTCTTGTCTCGTCACCTCCTCACCGATAGTCACTTTATCCATTGTTAGTTTCTGGTGTTTTTATTTGTGTTCAATTTGGTTTCTTCTCTGATCCTTGTTCAGGCTCCTGAAGTTTCATCCCACTGAGATCAGTCTAGGAAACCTGTAAAAGAAACAAACCAAAGATAGTTTCAGCTTCAGTTTCAATTGTTTACGTTGCACCAAAATACACACTTATTATTTACAACATTTAGTCTTTCAGAGGCTGTGTATGTAGCTCATTGTACAGACCAAATGGTGCTTGCTGTAAAGAAAGCATAGGCTCCAAAGGTAGGCTACATTTGACAAGGGAAAAACTGGCTTGGCCATATCTACAGGGGTCTCTTGACCTCTCTGCTCAAGATCTCTGAATACAATCAGGTTCTAAAGCTGGCTACACACCAACCCGATTTTGGGAGTCAGAGGCCGTCAGAGGCAGTCGGGCATTCGCGGCGCCCTACTCAGGTTGGTGTGTGCCGCACCGTCGTCTCTTTACGGCACCTTTTCACACCACTTTCTCTGACCTCCCGCGGCCGATTCAACATGTTGAATCGGCCGCGGGAGGTCAGAGAAAGTTGGCCCAAGCAATCACTCATTGCCACTCGTCGACTGAAGTATTTGCGGTGTGTTCGTAGGCGGGCGGCGTAGCTGACGGCGTAGCTGACGTAAAAGTCGGGACGCCTTTGGTACGCGTTCTTTGGTCTCAGGTGGGTGTGTAGCGGCCTTAAGGATACCCACACGTGGCCCCTTACAGACATGCCCACTTGATAACATTCACATGCAGTTTGGGGTGAAAAAACCTCAACCAAAATGTCAGGCAACAAAATATGTTATGCTTTGTACATTATTGCTGGATTTAGATCAACCAATTTGATTCTGATATCACAACGTTAACATTGGACTTTTTCTTCAGAGATATAGACTCAGAGACAGTTTTACCCCACAGGCCATAAGACTGCTAAACTCCTGAGCTCCATGACCTCAAGCATTCATCTGTTTGCATCTTACAATGTATTTATCAAAATAGTTATCACGACAATAAACAGTATTTAATTTTAATTTACGGAACAATATTCAATTTTACATTCTGTTCTTGTATATCTTATTCTATTTATTTACATGTATATATAATGCATTTACTTGGTCACTTACAACATTCTCTGCATTATTTAACTGCAGTCAAGCCAGCCTCCACTTCGGAAAACACAGTCAAGCCAGCCCGCCCGTTGTATTGTGGTGCGCGAATATCCTATGCATTACGGTAGTGGTCTGGAAAAACTGCCTTCAAAATAAAAACGCTTACTCGGTCAATAACAAATATACCTAAAAAACATACCAAACATATTCATATATACTGGAGCTTAAATTAAGAAATATCGACTATATAATGAGATCAATAATAATTTTAAAACAAACCACGTATAACTACCACATTATAACTGAGTGAATGTAAAACTTAAGGATACAGTTATGCAGGTGCGGCGCCAGGGGGTAGCTTGGAGTTGCTATAGCAACTCCAACAATTGACCTAGCAATGGCTTAGCAACCCCATTGTTTTGTTATGAAAATGTATCTATATATATTTATACACATTCTCGCGAGATCTATCAGGGGTCATTGTAAGTTAAAGCGCAAACTGTTACTTGGTTAATGTTGTCATAATTCTCAGTATGTGAACACAGATCGAAAATGGAAAGATCTGACTCACAAGTCAGCGTAAACGGCCGCGATCTCCAACGGAGCCGGTCCAGCCGGACAACCCTGTGTGTGTGTGTGTGTTTGTGTGTGTGTGTGTCTGTCTGTTTGCGGTGTGGTGATGAGGTTAAATGCCACAGCATGCCAGTTGAAACAGTGAACGATCGCTATTGTGTACGCTTAGGGTGTAATGGTATTATACACACATATTGTATATATAGGAGCAGAGAAACAGTGTTCAAATTCTGCTTTTACAAACTTATTTTGGTTGTGCTTACCTTGCAAAGTAATGTTATAAGTGTCAAAGGAATGTTTTAATGTAAATATTAATGATAATATTGTAGCGTGTCCAAGTTAATAGTTATTTCAGTTATCAGATGTGCACAGTTTAGTACATTTGTAAAGTTATTTAGGCAATGTTGTTGGCGGGAGTTAGGGAGAGACCGCCCCTTCCAGGTGTGTGTGTGCATTTTCCGGTGTGTGTGTAGGGAGTACGAGACGGTAGGAGTTGTGTTCGAGTGTGGGGAAAAGTCATAATGAGTGTTATACTATTGATTGGCTCTGTAAGGCGTGGCTGTGGCCGTCAATACCATAAAATAAAGAGAACGTTTTCGACATTGAAGGCTCATGATCTGTGATCTTGAATAGCGGTGAACGCTACAATATGAACAGGCTCGTGCTTGGCCCACTGGTATTGTTTGTTTATTTATTTTGAAAATGAACTAGCAACGCCGTGCTGTCATATAGCAACTGCTAAGCTACTGCAGCAAAAAAATCCTGGCGCCGCCCATGCAGTTATGAAGACATATCTGACCATTACATTCATTATTAAAATGTCCATTTCCACTGGGTGACTAATTTCAATTGATTTCAAAATCAGGACAATATGATGTAGATTTTCAAAATAAAATACCTTTGAAGTTTCATATGAGCTATCATCCCTCTGTTTTGAGATAAGAATAAAACAAAAACTCTCCAGTATCAAATACTTATTTCACTACAGGGTGATAGCAGGACACCCCATCTAGTCACTCAGAGAATATCAGGACAATCTGATGTAGAGTTCAAAATAAAAGACGGATGGATGGATACTTTATTCATCCGAAGTTGGGAAATTGGGTTGTCACAGCAGCATGGAGTCCTTGTACAGAATCAAAATAATCTTAAAATCGAATAAAATACAAAATATTTGTGCATATCAGTGCCCCTAAAAATATATCTAATGGCATAGGACATAACAAATTCAAAGGCTTTATTTGTCATGTACATAACTACAAAAAGAAAAACATTTCTAAAGCAATAACCCTCTATTACTCTTCATCCCTGGCCAGCAGATAACTCCCAGCACCATACTTTGTTTGATCCGTCTGCTACATCATACTTACATCGTACATGCAGTGCATACTTTTGAGAATTTCAAATGTATTCTTGTCTGGTCTATAGTGTGCATTTAGATTCATTTTACAGTGAATATGGATATTATTGCTTTAACCTTTATTTCTCTTCTATTTTTTTTAGATTTATTCTATTTTGTATTTTATTCTATTTTAAGATTATTTTGATTCTGTACAATGACTCCATGCTGCTGTGACAACCCAATTTCCCAATCCATCCATCCATCAGATTGTCCTGATTCTCTCTGAGTGACTAGATGGGGTGTCCTGCTATCACCCTGAAGTGATATTAGTCTTTGATAATGGAGAGTTTTTGTTTTATTCTTATCTAAAAACAGAAGGAAGATAGCTCATATATGAGACTTCAAAGGTCTTTTATTTTGAAACTGTACATCAGATTGTCCTGATTCTCTCTGAGTGACTAGATGGGGTGTCCTGCTATCACCCTGGAGTGAAATACGTATTTGATACTGGAGAATTTTTGTTGTATTCTCTTATCTAAAAACAGAAGGACGATAGCTCATATATGAGACTTCAAAGGTCTTTAATTTTGAAACTCTACATCAGATTGTCCTGATTTTGAAATCAATTGAAATTAGTCACCCAGTGGAAATGGAAATTTTAATAATGAATGTAATTGTCAGATATGTCTTCATAACTGTATCCTTAAGTTTTACATTCACTCAGTTATAATGTGGTAGTTATACGTAGTTTGTTTTAAAATGATTATTGATCACATTATATAGTCGATATTTCTTAATTTAAGCTCCAGTATATATGAATATGTTTGGTATGTGTTTTAGGTATATTTGTTATTGACCGAGTAAGCGCTTTTATTTTGAAGGCAGTTTTTCCAGGCCTCTACCGTAATGCATAGGATATTCGCGCACCGCAATACAACGGGCGGGCTGGCTTGACTGTGTTTTCCGAAGTGGAGGCTGGCTTAACCGCAGTATTATTTAGCTCATTGTAGGCTATTTATTTATTTTCCTGACATGTATATCATTTTCTTCATCTGCATTACTTGCACATTGGTTTTGCAAAATATCCCGCACTATTTTATTCATACCCTTTGGTTAATCAGGGTTTACGGTTTGTCATTGCCATGTGTTTCTCGCCCCGTCTGTCAGTATAATACAGAATACAATATAAAAATGACTATGAACTGCTTCAACCTTACTATCGACTCCCGTTGTGCCTAAAGCTACACACACCCCTGCATTACCGTACAGTCTCATTCTGTCTATAATCATCATAATAGGCCAGGGGGCAGCCTCTGCAACGTCAAACGCAGTCTGAGTATGTAAAAAAACACACTGCTACAGGAGCATGATAACGTTTTGAGATGAGTATTAAGCAATAACGGAGGAGGAAACTCACCAAACCCAACTGGGTCACAAGTCACGATGTGAGCAGGGAGACAGGCAGCGGTGCAGCGAGATCCCTCCGCAGCCGTTACTGTATGAATACACAGCTCACGCGGGGTTACATATCGGTTAAAAATGTCAATACATTATAGCAGAACAGTGAACAGAAAAGCATGAAGTGAAAAATAAATCCGCCATGCTGACTTCTTCCGGACATCACAAGAGTTCGTGGGGTCTGTTCTGTCTCTCCGGCCCACAGCGGCCCCTGTTGGCGGGGAGACACACGACAGGTATTCAGAAAAAAACATCCGCTGCTGGAAGGAGTAGGCCTACTTTCTCTTTTACCAATATCACAGTGTCGAAACACATTCCGAATCTGACTTAAATAACATTAACAAAATATAAACATACTCATTATGCAGAATGGACCTTTCCAGAAGTATATACAGTTAGCTATATTATTATTAAAGTATAATTGTTGATGTTTAAATGTGTAAACTTCTCTAATGTTGCATCTGTTGAAGGTGTGATTACAAAAGTTTAGGTCCTTCATTTACCACTTGATAGCTAATTCATAAATACATCATCATTTATTAGTGAATTAACATACTTAAAGTACCTATTGCACAGACATAATTCGATCTGTTGAAGTGGATGAAGTGGAATCTGTGTTCAAATAATGTAGAAAAACTGTGAACTGCTCAAAGCACTATTACTGTGTCTATCACACACTCCATAAAAATAACCCTACATTCTGTATTGTAAGATCTTCCATAATGTAACACATTTAAAAATAATTTAAATGTGGGTAGTTCATTTGTATCTATTTTGTACCCATTTTTGTTTTGTATCAATGTGATTTGGCGTTTTTATTCTTCTGTTTTGTTTCACTGCTACTAATTGACCTTTGGGGACAACCATATTGAATGATACATTCTGTAAAAAAACCTCATCTACTGTTGAGTATTTTTGCATAATTGTTGAAGACTTTTACCTTAAACCAGATGTCCGATTACCAACATTATATTGCAGGATATGGGAGACAGAAATCTTGGTTAAAAATAACATTTGGGTGAACCAACCCTTAACAAACTTAACATGCAGTTTTATGAGGTGAACGCCACAGTTCAAGTGAATGCACTTTGCCTCTGCTGAATTATCTCTTACATAATCGTTTCATAGTTCAACTACATGCTGCCATCAGTTTCCTCGGACGCAGAACTTTATTCAGGGAAAAGTATCACATGCTGAGCAGACCACTGATAGACAATAATTAATAGACAGCAACCGATAAAGCTGTGGCACTTCTCTTTTTTACCGCTGTAATACAAAAATACACAAACAGTGCAACAGGCCTGGTTAGAGTTCAGTGCAGCTCAGGTTCACTGAGGCAAATGTTAAAGCTTATCTTTAATTCAGTCAGTGTAATGTAGAAGATATTCCAAAGAGGCGTGTTCCTCGTCTCCGAACTAAAACACACCACAAAGACACACTGTTAAACAATAACCATTTATTCACACACTGTAATGGGACTTAAAACAAGCGTGACAGAGTGAGGGAGGGCGGAGAAATCTTTAAATTATACATGAGAGAAAGCGTACAGATGATTTTTGTTTGCACTTGGTACAAAGTACATGTGTCAGTCTGGCTGGAGCAGATAGCGAGGCCTTATTATTTAAACTTCAATCACACGCAGCTCCTTCAAGAATGATTTCTGTCTTCTTTCATTCATTATCTGCAGCTTATATTTTATCATTCTTACTAAATTATTTCTTTTTCCCCTCATCCATGATTGCAGTGCTGTTTCAATATTTGCTTTGAATTACACAAACGTGGCCACAACTACATACAACACCTCACAAGTAAAAAGGGTTTCCCTGTACAAAATCCATCTTAAAAAGCAAACACACATACAATGGCACGCTTTGCTTAGCAGTGAACAACGCAGACGGATGAACAGGCTTCCCAGCTGAGCGTCGAGCCATTTATTCACGCATGCTTCTATGCACACGTGTCACACTCAAACACACTCTTAATTGTAAAAAATGAAACTCCAACAGAAGATGAAATGTGTGGGGTTCGGCTCAGTGCAAGCATTATGGCTCGGGAGGCTGTGGTATAAGGAGCGCTGACAACAGGCAGTAGACGGTAAAAAACATGGTTTTCATATATTCCGACCCCAACCCCGAACATCACATAACGCTCTTAGAAACCACACAACACTCTCACTGAGAATGCCTTCACTTCTAAAAAACCTCCACCCACGCTCGCTCTCTGTCCTTTTTTAAGTTCGAAAAATGTGATTATTGATTGTTACTTTTTTCTTTCCCTCTGTGGTAGTGTTTTACAGCTCCGTGTGTGTGTACATGTACCAGTCTGTCAACAACAGCTGCTCCCTTCTGTGGCGTCTCTGAATGACGCTCCTCAGCCTTGTAGTCCTTCTCCCCCTGTGGGAGACCCTGAAAGGGAGTGCATGCGTGTGTCTTTGTGCACTTATGTGTAAATACAGAAAAACAGTGAAGAAGGTTGTGCAGAAATTCCATGTTCCCGAGTTCGAATGCTCTCCTCAACATTTACACAAACATGTAGTCGCAGCTCTCGTCGGAGAGTCTCTGGAATAGGCATGGTGGTATACGCCAGTGTGAATGTGTGTGTGTGGAAACGAGAACTGTGTGTGTGGGCACAGTGACACAGAGGCGTAACAGAGCAGGAGAGCAACACACACACTCGTCATCACAGTGAGGATCTTTGTGAACGAGGGGGGAAGGCGAGTGAGAGGTGTACGTTTAGTTCTTTGGTGCTGCTTCGTCACCAGTCCGTCCCACTTCTCCTCACCTCGTCGTCGTCGTCCCCCCCCCCTCTCCCCCGGCGCCGTCTGCTCTGTCTCCTTTAGTCCAAACACACACCGGGCCCCCCCCATTATTGTGTTCTTGTGTGTGTGTCATTTTGTGCAGGTTTAGTCTCACTGAGTCAAACGAAGGAGGAGAATCCGGTCACGGGGGTGCGTGAGCCGGGGGGCGGGTTGGTGTTGGGGTTCACGTGCGTGAGCGCCGGTTGCCCCGTGGGCGTGTACGCGCCGCCGGTGCTGTGCTGCGTCACCACGGTCTGGTAGTACGGCTCCGTGTCTGCGGTGGCGCACTCCTCGTATCCGAAGGGAGAGCCGATGGGCTTCAGGGTTTTGGGCTGCCGCTTCCAGGAGTTGTAGTAGGTGGGGTCGCTCATGTAGTGGTTGACGAAGGAGTGCTTGGGCTGCTCGTCTTCGTAGTCGCTGTCAGTTAACTACGTACAAACACACAGCAGATTTGAGTTTATCATAGAGAAAGACAGGAAGGAAAGTGCAGATTAAGGTCTAAGCTAAGGTGTCTGCACATCGGTGGTTGACAGTAGAGGGATATATTGTATCTTGATGCTATATTGTATTCCCACCCAGAAGTTAGCATCGCAGTGAACACCACTTTTATGATTTTCAAAGCGTATAAACGTCATGAAACGGAAACTTTCATTGTGATGAAGTTTGATCTCTGTGGTGTCCTTTAGCTTTGGTTAGCAATTGCCTTTTGTAAGAAATATAAGGGTTTCAAAATGTCCACAGTCCGGCAGTGGCTCAGTCAGTAGGGGCTTGGACTGGGAGCCGTAGGGTCGCTGGTTCAAGTCCCCGACCAGACCTAAATATGGAGTGTGGACTTCTACTTGGAGAGGTCCCAGTTCACCTCCTGCCCTGCCGTGGTGCCCTTGAGCAAGGCACCGGACACCCCCCTTCCCCCCCACTCCCATTGCTCCCCGGGCGCTGTACAATAGCTGCCCACTGCTCCTAGTACTAGACTCCTTGTACTAGGATGGGTTAAAAGCAGAGGCCAAATTTCACTGTGTGTGCTCTGCATGTGTGACCATTAAAGAGGGTTTCATCCCTCCCTATTCTTCTATTCTATTAACTGACATATTTCAGGCGTCTTGCCAAAGAAAATATATTTAAAAAAAGACTTTAAGACGAGGGAACTGGAAGAGCTCTGTCTTATTTCTTATATTTGTTTTCCTTTTGTTTTTATTTGACAGCATTAGACAGGAAACGTGGGGAGAGGTGTGAGTTAAACCAAGACACTGAGATGACATGGTACTCTGCTCAGATGTCTCTTCTTAGCCGCTATCTTTGGCTGAATCGGTGGAGGCAGAAGGTTGGACACAGCTCAGTCATTTAGTGTACTTTCTTTTCACTGTTCACCTCCACCTTTACTTTTCTTCCTCCACGGCAGACAGCACAAAGAACTCAACATCTAATTTCAAGTAACACGGCCAGTAACACAGGTTCATCCCCTTTAAATGTAAGACAGGGATACAGAGAGAGAGAGAGTGTTACCTCTGACTCTGAGACCTCGGTGGGTTTCTCAGTGAGCGTGGTGCTCTCAGTCAGCGCGGCTCCGTTATAGTTGTTACAGATGTCCTCGTCGGAGTAGTGAAGACCACCTGGACTGGGCCTGGGAGGAGACCTGGACACACACACACACACACACACACTATAAATGCAACATCTACAAAAAATCCAATAACTGAAACAACTCCAGGAAGATAAGTGTAGGTGTGTGTGTGTGTGTGTGTGTGTGTGTGTGTGTGTGTGTGTGTGTGTGTGTGTGTGTGTGTGTGTGTGTGTGTGTGTGTGTGTGTGTGTGTGTGTGTGTGTGTGTGTGTGTGTGTGTGTGTGTGTGTGTCTGAGAGCCCACCTGGTCCCGTTCTTCTTCAGGAAGGAGTTCTTGTTGTTGATCGTCCTGCTGTTGAGCTCCAGAGCAGTGAAACCTCCGTTGTCCAGGGTTACCGACTCCTCCGCTGTGGACATGTGCTTCCCTGGAGGAAGATAGAAGGTCAGATAACAACTTAAATTAAAAGCAGTTCAGTCACTTGTATGTGGCTGAGAATGTTTTAAAAATGAAATTGAACCACTGTTCTCTGAGTTTATGTGCACCTCTTGTTTTATTCATGGTGCGTTCAGTTACCTCTCAGGAATGACAATAAGGAGCATATTAAACCAGGATGCATCATTTGGCGCTCTCAACACGGCAGTCATTTATCCACTAATAACCACGACAAATGGAACAATAAAGGAAACAATATCATATTTTAAATTGGGAGAAAGATGATAGAATGATACAAGGTAATCTGAACCAAAATAACATCGGTTGTTTCCCACGGTCTCATTGATTTCTCTCTAGATTTAGTTTTGTGTGTGCTCGTCCTGCCTCAGGGCTAACTTTAGATTACAGATGTTGGCATGCGCACACACACACCCGCAGACACACGCACACAAATGTGTAAAAGCAATATTGCGCCCACAATGGGGAACATCACAGGAACCCCGAGAGGAGCTGAGACTCTCATGAAAACAGGAAGAAACGCATCAACACGAAGACTAAACATCAGACGGAACAACTTTCTTGTTATAATGAGGAGGGAGTTTGTCCTTCAATGCATGTCAGTGAGCCTCCTTGAGTAACACTCTGAGTTCTCCGCTCCAGGCTGCTCGCTATCTGCCTGACCCTGTGGAGGTGGTGCACACCAAAATATGATAAAGCCGTCCAGATTTGAGTATAAAAAACTGGAAAACATTTTTTTATTTCTGCGAGGAAACGCGGCTTACAATGTGAGAAGCTCCTGATGAATAACATGTTATATAATGTTGGTGTGTGGAAATATCTGCTTAGACATTCAACTGAAACATGTCTCAAAGTATCTGCTCTTACAACAAGCCACAGCATTAAGCAGTCTCTTTCAGGTAAAGGTCATGACAGATATTCTGGAGAAAGATTGATGATATTTAAACTCAAAACTGTTGGATTAGAATAACTGAATCCACTTAAAATGACATTTTAGTTTGCTCTAGTTTTATGTAAGATTTAATTGTATTTCTTTGAATAAATAGCATTACCCAAATGAATACAGAACATTGATTAAATAGTTTCACCATTACTCTTACATGAATATTGTAAGGAAATAACAGCTAGGTCATTTAAATCTTTAAACTCCTGGAGAGGATGTTTCCTTAGATGCTTCAGGGTCTGTTTGCCCTGCAGGAGGGAGGCTGACCTTCCTCTCCTCTCTGACAGGTAACAGTGATCCGGTTTGAACCGGACCGCTAGAGGCCATTTCCCTCTACATACAATACAGCATATCACACTGTTATAAATCTATGAAGGGAAGATGTAGTAAGTCTATGATTGATAAATGCATCCTGAGGCAAAATCCATCCTGGAGATCCCCACTCTGTCCTCCTGTGAAGTATCACATCACATGTCTGCTGGGAACACACACCTGTCCCGCAGGCTTTGTACTTGCGGCTGTGTCCGTGCAGCAGCAGAGTGAAGACCAGCACCAGGATGAGGATGATCCCCACCAGAGCCATGACCAGCAGGAACCACCACTCCTCGTAGAACGGACGCTCGGACAGCGCTGCACACAGGAGGGAGGGGAGGAGGAGGAACACGTGAGAGAGGAATATATAATGGACAGAATGTGGTCAGAACATAATACACACTGGATACTAAACGTATAATATAAAAAAACTATAAATAGGATGAAGAAAAGCAAATAAAGATAAAATGACAGAATAAATAGAACGCATTGCCTAAGATGGAAATAAAACCCACTGAATAATACATTAAACAAAGTGAATTAGTCAGTATGAAAAGGTCTCCATTCTCTTGCACTCTCTCACTCTTTTCTACATCAGTGGTTGAGATTTGAATTTGAAAAAACGTTTTTTGCCTTGACTGTAATCTCTTCAAATGGGCGTCTAGGTCTCTGAGGCTATAAGAAACAAAACAGAGTCAAACTTTTCCTTTGCTTTAATTCAAATGTAAGTTATAGTTTGTCCCCCAGGACCGGAAAACATTCTTTAAAGTCTGTTCATGATGTCTTTTAGAGGAAAGACTCTTTCTCTTCCTACTGATAGTACAAATCCTGCTGGTTCTTCAAACAGTTTGCACAGATTTTGCACAGATTAGAAACAAAAATGGAGTCATGCTATGCTCTCTTTGCCTATAAGCAGAGTTGTAGTTGCGTGGCTATGCCTCTAGATGGCAGCAGACACACAGTCACAGTAACTTCTCAGTGTTGGCTGGAAATTCCATCAAACCCCAATCAGACAAGTTGGATCACCCTGGATATGTTCATTAGCCTGATCTCCAGCAGTGTGTGAGGGAGAGAGAGTGTGTTTGTGTGTCTGTTTACCAGCGAGAGCAGCAGAGGGTGTGCTGGGCTGTCCGTAACCATAGCGATTAACAGCGATGACTCTGAACTCGTAGCTGATCCCCGACCTCAGGCGCTCCAGCGGCACGGAAACGGATCGGCTGGTGGGGGGGAGGAGTCTAATGAAGGAGTCCCACACTCCTTCATCTGCAGAGCGAGGGAGGAGGGAGAGAAAGAGAGAGAGAGAGGGTTGAGTTGGGGGTTAATGGACAAGCAGACCATAGAGTAGAGCTCAAATTGAGAAATATCCCTTTTAATTGTTAGAATATGATTGCAGAACATAGAAATGGTCGATTTACATTTGAGATGTAACTATTTGTGGCGATGATTACTGTTATTACTAGTAATAACGGGGTACAACCATTTTGAATATCAGTGGTAGAAGAAAACCAGAGTCTCCCCTCTCTCCTGCAGGATGCTACAAACGTTGCCTTTCTGTATTTTATACGTCTGGTAATCTTTATTGGGAAATTGCTGCTGACTTAATTTGCACAGCAGGTCTCAATGAATCTGGAGAAAGCTGCACTCAGTGAGGTTTAGTGCCATCCTTTACCTCCCTCTCAATCAATGATAGGAATCGGTGCACGTGATGAAAAGCTGCATGTGAACAGACAGAGTGTGTGTGAGCCCACCTGATGGACGGGCTTCGATAACGTATCCGGTGACCGGCGCTGCACCCGTCTCTCCGTCCGACCAGTGGATGGTGAGCGCCGCCGACGCCTTGGTGATGGACATCTCTATAGGAGACCCCGGGGAGCCTGTGGTGTCAGAGAGGGGATCACACGTTAGCTCACTTAAAAAACATGGCTCACTGAGAACTACACCGGCACACACTAGTCTGTGTTGGATATGGTGTGTGTGTTACATGCTGTTGCCCCTCGTTTCTGTTATGTGATTATGTGCTATATGTGACATGTATGTAGTAACGTGTGTTGTTTGCATTTTATTGTTGTCTTTTATCCTTTCGCCTGTATCTACTTGTCTTTCATCCTTTTTTTATAACTAATGCTGTTGATGTATTGTGATTTTAAGGGTGTCCGTTATCGTGTGGCCGGAGACAACAGCTGGAAATTAGCAACGTTGGCTAAAGCTGCCCCACACTGGAAAAAATGCTGCTCCAAAAACAAGTTAAACATGAATGAAAACAAGCTGTTTTCACTTGAAATAAGTACAAAAATCTGACAATAGAACCAGTGAAAATTTGCTTGGTAAGATTTCTTGAAATAAGAGGGGATATTTAGATAAATCAGATCTTGTAATTAGCTGGGAAAACTTATTTTGAACTATATTTGACCAGAATCAGGAAACGCTGTGTTACAATATAAGCCACACATGCTCAAAAGTTTTCTGTTTTCTGATGTTAGTAAAAAAAGATGTGTTTCATCTGAGATACACCTCAAAATAAGATTTTTTGACTTAACAAGATGATGCATTGTCTAAAAACAAGACCCGATATCTCACTGCAGTGTTACTTCTGAAGTTATTATGTCTTATATCAGGTGTAAAGACATATTCTGACTAGATGTTAGACAAATATACTGGGCAAGATTTCGAGTTTTTGTAGTGCATTTACGTTTTTTTGTGACAGTCGATCAATGGGGACTGTCCACGACACTATAAACAAATAAACTAAACTAACTTACACACAGTGAACTTATCCCAACCGTTACTAAAATCACTGTTCAGTTTCATACAGTCTGTCATCCCATAAATACAACTACAACACTGTCATGTTGAAACTGAGTAGGTTATAAAACCAGTGAGGGTCTATTAAAGCAGCTGTGTAATGCATTCTGGTTTAAACACATTGCCCACTCATTCAAAGAGTTACTTTTGGTTAGTATGCAGCCCCATAGTTAAGTCCCCATAATGGGACAAATGAACAGATGTTTGTCTTCGTGACACGATTAAAGAAGTAGACACACACAGAGTGACGGCAGGCCTACCTTGCACGGGCTGAGCGCTGACGTTAGCGTGCACCGGCGGGCCGTAGCTGACGGTGAGAGCCTGAACACTGAAGGCGTACGTCGCTCCTCGGATCAGATCTCGGACCTTCAGCCATCTCTGCCAGCTGCCCCTCACGTCCACCGTCACCAGTTTACTCACTCCTGCTCTCACACACACGTTAACAAAGTCAGTGTTTCCCCTCAACATGTTTTTATTTTTGTGTTTGTTGCTGTAAATGTCATTGTGGCCATGGCAAGCTGAAGTAAACCACTACCCCATGTTCTAAATAAGACTAAAAGCATTCCTAATTTGATGTTGTTGAAGTTTTATTTCTCCATGCAGTTTAAACACAGGGTAAATATAATGTGTGTTAGCAAATTATGAAAAACAGCAGTGTATGCATCAAGAGAGATAATGATTAAAATAATGATCTTAAATAGTATATCAGGGCCAACAAAGGGAAAGGTCGAAAGGTAAAAAAACTAAAAGAAAAGGGGAAATCCACTACTTGAAGTGCGAAAGTCACTCAACAACAAACCCTTGAATTTCCCCCAAAAAATGTCTTCTTAAAGGGGACCTATCATGCAAAATGCACTTTTGTACGTCTTTTATACATGAATATGTGTCCCCGGTGTTCCAGGGAACTCACCAAGTGTCAGAAAACACAACCCTCTCTATTTTCCTCCATACCCAAATCTCTAAAAAAGGGGCTGCAACGGATCTGATCAAAACTGATCCAGATTTGAACACTGTCCTGACGTCAGGACAGTGGCGCTACGGCTATTGGGCCAACTCCACCAATCAGGAGGAGACAGCCACGGCCATTGCCGTTCGAAAGCGCTGGAGACGCTGTAGTACATATTCCAGGCCTGTAGGTGGTGCTGTTCTCACAGAATCAGCCCTTGCAAAAACAGAGCTAACATTTTTCAAATCGAGCGAAATGAGGCATGGCTAAAATGCATGATCTGTTTGGTATTTTGAAAAAAAAAAAGTATAAATATGCCACTTTAAGTCATAAATATATCAGAGAAATTGGTTGAGATCAGGTTATAAAATTGATCAGCAACATTTGTTGCCTCTCAGGGCTTCAATATGCATATTTGTGTGTTTACAGCATGTGCGTGCCCACCTTGTACGGGCGCAGTGGGCTGGTAGATGATCCTGTAGCCCTCCAGCTGTCCATTAGGAGTGAGGGGAGCCCCCCAGGACACATTCACACTCCCCCCGGTCACCTCTGAGAAGGACAGGTAGCTGGGAGCGCTGGGAGCTGCGGGAACATGAAGGAAGACGAATCAAACAACGTAACAAAAGCTATAAAACAATACTTGTTGATTGTATAACCATGCTGTCAGCACTGCCTACCAGACTGCATGGTGCGGGCCCCGCGGGGGTCGCTGGGGGGGGCCGTCTCCAGCGGTGTTGAAGGCCGTCAGAGTGACCAGGTACGGTGTGTAGCTGGTCAGGTTGGAGAGCTGCACCCGGGTGTCTGGGACAAAAATCACCTTGACCTTCTCACTCTGGTTCTGCTTGTCCCGCTCCCAGTAGTGGATCTGCAACACAGGAAAACACTGTCAATAACACTGCCTGGGTTTTACTCCAAACACCTTCTGTCTTTTCCTCTCCCTTATCTCATTTCTGCCAACTATATATCTTTTGTATTTTCCCTTTCCACCTGAGGTCTCCTAATCGATCCATATAATATATAAATGCTCAAGCGCTGTTTCACAAGTGGGAGAAGTGTGTTATGGAGAGATATGTTTAGGCTTTAAAGAAGGGTGAAGTAGATGCCATTTATTGAACTGGATTGGCCTTGATGTATAATTATCTTCTTCTGTATCAAGCAAAAGTATCTTGACCCTCATCCTGAAAACTAGGGTAAGCACAGCACCCAGAGCTATACAGTACTATTTGTCAACTTTATACCATTGTTTTCTGAAGTATTAGTGTCTTAATAGATAGAATAAAATAGAATAGAAACAGAAGATCTTTGCGATTGCTCCTAATTAACACATTAATAACACAACTAAGGTATTGGTAAAATGTCCTTTAAGTCATAATTTCATTATAGTTTGTGTGATATTAAATGGCAGTTACAAGCATAATTCTGCATTTATGTCCTTATTAAATGGCATTGACATGAACATCAAAGAACTATAACAGAAAGCTCTAATACTGTATATGACCTGGGGCCTCATTTATAAAGGGATATACGCTCAAAAAATGGCGTACGCCAGTTTCTACGCAATGTTTGCGATTTATAAAATACTAACTTGACGGGAAAATGTGCGGTCCTCCACGCAAACTCTAACCCATGCGTACGCACTAAGCACACAAACGGGAGAGACGAGAAACTGTGACACCGTTGGCAGAAGGAAGAATGGAGAGAAATATGTGGAAATAATACCATAAATAAAATGTTACCTCTCATTTATCAAATATGAAGAATTCATTTTCAAACATTGATTAAAGCCAATCTTAAAATGATTAAACAAACGCCTGTTTGAGACTCCTCAGTGCACACAAAAACATAACTTACGGATAAATAAATACGGATATGTTATTTAAAACCACCTCGAATATGTTGTGTTAATGTTATGAAATGTTTTCTCATAAATTATGCGGTAAGCAGGAGGACAGAATTACGTCTAAACTGACGCCGTTTTGCATTTCTATAGGTTGTAGATACGAGCATGGTTTTATATACTATCACGTTTAATCGTGTTTTATGCCGTTTGCCAAGACTTGATAAGTCGCTCGTAAAACACAGGAGGTACAGTATGGAAACTAAGAACACCATATGTGGTAAATGGTACAGCTAATATAACACAACACATTAGTTGTATTTCCTTTAACTGGTGGATTATGGATATATAGTTGCTGATCGACAGCTGGAACACAAACCACCAAATACAACAAAAATAATTCAGATCCAGTCGTCATGACTCCACTCCGGAGGGATTCCCCGATCATTTCTTACAGTTTCTCATCAAGGGGGTGTCTCCTGTCCCCGGGACAAACACACTGCCTAAGGAAGGTTATGTGTATTTTCTTTGTCATTAACTTTTTTCGGACCACTTATTTATTTATTTTGGTGACGATCCGACCTCCATGCTGCTACTCTGGCTCAAACTGCATCCACCAAACAATATGATTTATCTCGACCTCCCCACAATAACCAAAATCTGACACGGTGTGAGATGTCTTTTTTAGCTGTTCTATCGTAATTTCCTGCGATCTTCTTCATGCAGTCAGTCAAAAGGAATGAATGAATGGGCGTTTCTTTGACTATTTATAGGCAAATATGGGCGTTACGAGTCGATTGTGATTTATCAAGGGAAACAGGCGTAGGGAGTGCCGTACGCACTTCCCTCGCCGGTACGCAATGTTTTGTGAATCGGAAAATGGCGGAAAATGTATGTACCTATTTTTGTGCTTTGTACTACGTAAGCAACCTTCCTACGTCAATCCTACGCAAGGCGTTATAAATGAGGCCCCTGGTGCCTAAGCATAACAAAGTCCCTGATAATTAACCAACAAGGCCTAACATCAGCCATGGTCGTTTAAGTAATTAAACCTAGATTTAGTGTTAAGAGTGCAAAGTATTTCGTATCCTCATACCACAACCCGTACATCATCCAACATGACATGTGCTCATTTGAAGTGATTCAGGTAATCAAACAATACAAAATGTATAATGTAGTCCATGTGTCACTGTCCATTCTCATGAGAAACAGATAAGCACTGACATGACCATTAACTTTCCGGACATCAGGCATTAATGAAGACACACAGGCTACTTTAGTCAATCACTGAGTTTAAACAGAACAAAGGTCATCTGATAATAGTTCAGTACACAGTACGGTGAGATCAATATTAATACCCTGGGAATGTCAAAATGTAATGACGCCAAAAATTGCTTTTTCAATAACACCTATTCAAAGCTATGATGAAGTAGGTTTAAAGTTCAGACTCTGTGTTAGTTAAATTTGTAGGCACATATGACCGACCCATTCATCACTCTTGTTTAAGTCTCATAGGACTGTGGTGATTTAAGAAATGTGTTAAAACAAAGTAATCTACAAATCCTGAATGTGTGACTTTTATTTTGTGGTCTAGGTCAGCGGTTTTCAAATTGTGAGGCGCGCCTCCCCGGGGGGGCGCCAGAGAGCTTCAGGTGAGGCGCAGCGTGAGAAAAAAATAACGAGAATTTCAGCTAGATAACTTCAGCTAACTTTATGTTAGCGGCAACATGGATCAGTTTTTTGTGAAGTTACCTAAAGTGAGAGAGGAGACAGCGTCTGGCAGAAAACGTCACTTGCACACTTTTGGCTGTCTGTGGAGACCGAGTTCCCCCACCTCGCCAAAAAGGCTGTAAAAGTGCTCATTCCCTTCACCTCCGCCTACCTGTGTGAGTGCGGGTTTTCCGCATTGACTTTGATCAAAAGCAAGTACCGGTCAAGCAGGGGCGGATCTACCGGGGTGGCATGGGGTGGCAACTGCCACCCTAAAAATAGCCTTGCCACCCCAGCTGCCACCCCAGTTGGCAGCTTTGTTTTGAAATAAAAGTTGTGGCTCATCGGACATTTATGAGAGAAAATCCCTAATGTCCGAGTGCAGTCTTGTAACCCCTCCCCCGGCCCTGGCGCGAGCGAGGAAATGTGATTGGCGGCGATTTCATTTGAACGGGACGGCGCAAAACGAGAAGCATTCGGACCCAAGCAGACGGAAGGAATGAGGTATTTGCGGTCTACAATGACAGAGAAGAGACTGTCAAGTTTGGCTGTACTCAGCATTGAATCAAAACGCACTAAAGCTTTAGATCTTAATACGTTTGTGAGGCGTGTTGCTGAACAAAATGGTAATCGCCGCATTCAGCTGTAATAGGCATGCCAACTTGATGCTCTGCTCACGGATGACTCGATGAGCATAAACAACTGTTAAGATGATGACCTTACGTGTGTAAAAAAACACAAAAAAACTGTTTTAAGTCCTGAGAAAGTCAAATAGGACGGTGTGTAAAACTACACTGCCCAGCCAAAAAAAATGAACCACTTTGATTTAACTAGGCCAGCAGGTAAGGGCATTCCACTGGATAATAATACCCCTGCATTATAGCAACAACAACAATAATAATAATAATAGCAATAATAATTGGGAGGGGGGGCGCGGCTGTTCTTATGTTCTCTGAGGGGAGGCTCACCTTCCCACACTTTGAAAACCCCTGGTCTAGGTCATACACTTTTAATGAAACAGGTTGTGCATGATGAGCAAAAAAAAGGCAAAGCAACAGACTTGATATCTTACTGCCAGTAAACAGCCTATATAAATGCATATGCAGCAACTAAATCAGTTTGATGCATTGAAACAGCTTGCCTCCGGCTCATTACGGCACTGGACAGGTGCTTCTCCGCCGTGAAACTCTGAGCAGCCACTTCCTTCTTAATGTGTACTTTTAAAATCACTGCATGTTTAATCTGGGCTCAATGTTGACTAAACATTTTCCTCCAATAACGTTGTACACAACAGCTGAGAGGCCAGTGAGAAAGGCTCGGTTTGACGTGAGAACTGCCTTGACTTTCCCCGGCACACACCCATCCATATCAGATGCTCACTTACAGCAAGGTTACAGAGGTGGTTGAGCCTCATGCATTAGAGATGAATCAGGAAAGTATCTTGGATACACAAGAGCCTTTGGGTGAGAGAATAGCCACAGCAGCTGTTACAGCACTCATTCTCCTGATGGTTACTTTATTTTAGGCTAAAATGTTTTTGCTAGGAGTGATACTTCACAGCCAAATGACTATGAGTCACAGCAGAGTTTTATTCTTGATTCAAACGTGTTCAACCACAGCACTTGGATGTTTTCTCTGACAAGCTTTCAACGACAATCAGCCCCCCGGGTCTCTAATCATACCGTGCAGCTCCTCAGCTCGTTTAAAAAGCTGTAATCAGATCATGAAATGGTTGCTATTATAATTACAGACAGACTGGACATTTCTTTTTTTGGACCAGTGGTCATTAACATGGATACCGAGTGAGAAGCAGCCAGAAAGGAATATCATATTATTGATTTGAACAACATGCGGCAGGGCTATGTTTCCACTGTTTATTTATTTATTTAAATGTTGTCCCACAAAAAATGGTTTGATTATTCAGATCTTTGGCAGGAATTGATGGGAAGAGTGATTCATGTTGGCCATTCAAGTGAATCAATGTCATGTGCTTATCTATAAACCCTAGCTGCTACACAGTCTTTTTCCTCCAACATAAAACGTCTCAGTGCATTTTGGTTTACAAAGAAAAACAAAATCCAAGAGCTACTTCCTGTAAAAGGGTTCATTTTGTTATTATTTCTAACAAGAGGCACTACATGAGATATATTTACACCTTTCAAAATTGGAAGTAGCAGCTTATGAGTAGCACTTGATGGCAGCATTATACCGCCTCTGTCCCTCACCGAGCTCTTACAATAATGAGATACAGAATAACTCATCCTTGTACTCAATTTAAATCTAAATGTATTACCTTCTGCATAATAGGCAACATTTCTTGTGATACTTTATTCTAATGGCTTAGTAAAAAGTCCAGACCATTCTGTAATCCACTCTCTACTGTAGAGGATCTATTCTGGTGTCTTTAACAGGAGTGAGACTATATCGATTTGAAGCTGTCGTGAATGAACACGATTATATTATGATTTGATGAGATCAAGAACCTTAAAAGGATTTTCGAACCCTCTCTGTTGTTAAAAAGTTGATTTAGGTTTAAAAGTGTTGATGAAAAATAGCACCTGGATGTTTGTTTAGCAAAAGGAGGAAACACTTTATCAATTTCAGTTGTTTTTCCTTCTCACTTCTATTAGATACAACTGACCGTCTTTGGCAGGAATAGTATGATGGATTATTTGTATGAAGTATTAGAATCTGGAAGTGGATACTACAAGGAAAATGTGCTGTTTTGGAGGGCTTGAAGTGACTCACTTGAACACATCTGCCCACACATTTGCAAACAAGCAACCTTTTACATTTGCTGTATGTCTGAAATGAACAGTGTTGAATGACCTGTCACCCATCATGTTCAGTGCATTTAAACAGTCCTCAAGAGCATTTCAGTAAACTGTTGAAAGACAGCACTGTTGCAATGAAGTTTACCTCCAGCCCCACCTGCCCTCTGTGTGAACAGAAGTCAGAACCTATAAATTCATTAAACATTCTTTCTTTGCTCTATTTCTCTCGTCTTAATCTTGTTAACCCCCTCTGCCTCCCTTCTCTGTGTCCATCCGTCTCTGGTAGCTTAAACGTATTCCCTCGATCCTCTCCTCTAATCAGGATTCTACAGGGATCACTTGCTCATCTCATTTCTTCACTCTGCAAATATTACATTCCCCTCTTTTTTTCTCCATTCCCCCCCTCCACTCGGGCAGAAATCAATGTGTCTAAAGCAGGACAGATAACCTTGTGTTTGAAGTAGTAAGAGTGAGGGGGTGGGGCAGGGGGGTCGAGGGGGAGACACAGGCAGACGAGTGATATTGAAACCATTAAAGGATATTCAGATTCTTCCTCTAACTTAATGCTCCTTACTTCTCTACAGTGCGATTGAAAGTGCAGCAGAGCAAAAAGCCTCCAAGAGACAAAGACACTTTGAATGCACACAGAAACACTGGGTGTGTGTTTTTTTAAATCACATCATAGTATTGTTTTGGTTTGTTTGGGTCTTTGTCTGTCATGTGTGTGTGTTTCCCACAAGAACATATTTGTGTGTGTGTGTGTGTCACCTTGTATCCTTGGATGAGTCCATTCTGGGTCTCCAGGGGGGGTGTGTCCCAGGTCACTTCCAGGGTGGAGGGAGACACAGCGGAGACTTTGATAGACTGAGGAGCCACCGATGGAGCTGCAGGAGGCCGAGGTGTTTAGTTAGACAGTTACTGTGTGTGTGTGTGTGTGTGCAGCTCAGTGTTAAAGTGGGTAGAAGGGAGGATATGTTCTACCCTTCCAATTAGACTGGGCCTAAGGCAGTAGCTTGTTACTCCACTGTACCGCACATTTGCATGAACACTCAGCAGTGTTCACCTGAGGCTAGAGAAAAGGCCATATCACCCCATTTCATCATCCCCCTCCAGCCTTTTTCTGCTTCCCCCTTGCTTATCCTTACCTCTCGCTCATCTGCATGTGATATGTATGGCTTACACGCACACACTATGCACACACTACACACACTTCTTGATTAGGAATGCAGTGTTTGTCTGATTGAGCGAGTGTGAGATTGTGAGGCAAATTGCAAAAAAAACGTGTTGCTGTTACTATCATATCGTACAAATGTGTTTACCCAATCTGCCTTGTGTGTGTTTGCCTGCTGTAGTTGTGTATTTGTGTGTGTGTGTGTGTGTGTGTGTGATTGAGAGTAATTTATTTGCACTCTTGTCTGTGTAATAGATCCATGGCTAGACTCTCTGGTGAAGTTTAACAGGGGTTGGGCCATCACTACAACAATAGATGACTTTGTGCAGCTCTTGATGATATTCAGATTTGTACAGATGTATGCGCAAGCACACTTTCCCACACACACACACACACACACACACACACACACACACACACACACACACACACACACACACACACACACACACACACACACACACACACACACACACACATCAAAGCAATGCCATTCAAAGGGCAAAGAGAGGACGACAGGAGGCGTGGAGAGGACAAAGCAAGTAAGAATAAAGAAGAAGAAAGCGAGAGACAGGGCAAAGATTCAAGGTCTTCTAACTCGCTTCTTCCAGAGTCGGAAATATCACAGTCTTTAAAAGCCTATTGTGTGCTGCGGATGAAATCCTTACAGCTACCGAGCTTATTGTGAACACATCCATCTCAATAACAACTGAGTAAATCTATCTGCTCATTAATACCATATGTTACGGTTTGAGGTCTGGAAAAACATGTACAGTAAACTGACCTTGAGATGGGATTGATGTGTTTAACTACTACTTTCAAGGTCATGGATGTGCTTTCATGCTTAAAATATGATATACCAGTAAGGGCACCTTGAGTAAGGTTTGCTTTGTTCTTTGTTTTTCCCTCACTTAAAAATACTGCTTTTGGATTTATATGTGATGCTCATGGCAGGTTCTTTGTTATATTTGCTGTGTATGATGAAATTAGTTTGTATGTTGGAGAATAAAGTACATGTATGTATGAAATGGGATGATAAATAATTCATAATAATAATTGATATCCCACTGTAACTGATGAGCAACAATTTAAAGATTTAGCTTCAAACGTAATGTTATTTGACCCACAATGCAACGTTTTGACAAAGCAGTTAATGCTGAAGACAGGGGAAAGAAGCAGCTAGACATTTAAGCTGTTCTTGCAAACCCTACATGTGTAAATGTTCATAAGCATTAAGTGTAAATCACACATATATGTCTAACAGCCTCCTCCTGTTTCCACCTACCTGCCTCTCCGACAGACACCTCCACTGGGGTGGAGGGGGGGCTCTCTCCGATGATGTTGTAGCTCGTCATAACAATCTGGTAGCGTTTGAACTTCTTCAGTTCTGCAAAGAAATTAAAATACTTACATTTACGTGTAACATGTATGCAAAGTGAAAATGTTAGTTGTTGTTGCTACTTGTTCTTATACTAGAAGCTGGTTGCTTATTATAAAGTTACTAAAACCAAGTCTTAAAAAAATAAATATCCCGGGAGCTTTTCTTCCCAGTTCCATTTTTAATTACTTACGTGTCAACTCAAACTCTGTTAGCGCGGCGCTGCTGACTGTCTTGAAGGTGCTCTTGGCTTTAGGGAGACAAAGATGGAGGGGGACATCAGTACATTTTAAAATGACAACGGCAATTAAATAAAGTGATTTTGTTTAAGAGGGGAGTGTTAAAAAGGACTTGTTTGTTTTAACACCTAGCAGTATACGGCAGCACAAGAACATTGCAGTTCTCGTTATAAAATGTGTTTTTAATCAGTTATACAGCCCACGGTAGCTCTTAATGTGGCTATAGACAGGTTTTTTTATATAAAGGATCACTATGAAGCAAGTGTTGACCGCACAAAATAATGGCTACAGATAATGAAACCATCAGCATTCAGATTAGTTCCTATAAGCCCGGCTGTCATTGTGCAATGATATATGCCGCTGGTACGGGGAAATTAAAACTAAAATATTGGCACAAAGCCATGGAAACAAAATGCAGTGTGTCCTGTGCAATGTTTGCCAACGGCGATTCACATTAAAAGAACAGTATCTAGCAATAGTTTCAATAGTAGCTAAAAGTGGCAGAATGACATATATATGTATACTTGTCACAACAAAGGAGAAACTGAGGAGAGGGTAAACTTATGCTGTTGGCAAAGTGGGCCTTTTTTCCCCCTCAAACTCCGTAGCTGTTTCTCCCTTCAACATTCACTTCTTAAAGTCCCAAATCATACCACTTGGAAAGGCTACAGGGATAAAAGCACGTCTATTGCCACTTTTACAAGCTGGCTAGATAGCAACATCTGATTGAATCTCAATTTTAGCTAGACATTTTAATGACCTACTTCTGTGTGCGACAGTATAAAGAAAGAATACATAAATAACACTGTGCATTTCAAGTTTTTAAAATGACACTTTCATCACTGTTAACTGCATACAGTAAGTGCTGAAAAGAAAAGCGTGACAGACATAGCAACACTAACTAAGTGGGAGTGGGGCTTAGCAAACAGTTGCTATCCGTACTACTCACTTGTAATGAGGGCACTTGTGGTGTTGTTTTTTGTTGCCTGGACTTCTGCTTCAACGAAAGTGGAAACGTTTACTTGGAGCTCTCTGTAATACAGCCGGTATCCAGTCAACACCCCGTTAATACTGGTGTCATTGGGTTTCTGAAAAACATGCAAACAAGCACACACGAGCACATGGAAGACAGTTCAGTTCACCATTTCTATCAAAGAAGGAATTCTGTACTTTGATCATTTTCATTGTCTTTGTGACTGACAGGACGCTGGCAGGCTGGCAGAGCAGTATTTTATCAGCAGAGTCCACTTTAAAGCGCTGCTGGATTGCTCTGGCTATAACCCCACAGACAAAGTGATGCTTCAGTGGGTTTGGCACTCTTGTAAAGGATGATGAAATTGCTGGTGACTTTGTTTTTCATCGCCTCCTTCTGCTTTGCCACAAGGCTAGAAGGAGTGAGAGAAGACACTTTCAAGCAGAAGAGGAAGAGTGACATACAGTAAAGTAGCCAGGCTGTATTTACTGTCGTTTCACCAGTCACAGTTGCTCTTAAACCACCTGTATTTTTCCAAAACTCCCCTTTCTCTCATTTTCCTCTGTTGTTGGACATGGCTGATGTTTGCTTCTCTTGCCCTCTAACATCTCTCCTGCTGGTATAACCTCATTAAGAGTTTGAACTGTTCTCTCCCCCTGCCAGAACGATCTGTCTCTCCCTCTTGACATCCCCCCCCCAATCTCTCTATGCTGCCCTCTGACCTTTCCTTTTCAATAAATAATCATAATTGCATCCACATGCAACACGTACAAACACAGTAACTCTGCAGGGGTCTTCTTCTTCTTCAAATAGGTGATTAACCTCCACGAAGTTTGGTTGTGTAGGTCTGTCTGTATATAATGTTTGTGTTTCTCAAGCATAATAGAAATTCTGAAAATACCTTCCACTGCACCAGGACTGAGGTAGTTGTTGTTGGTTTCACTGCGAGGATCACTGGAGGCTCCTCAGGGACTGGAAAGGAACACATAACAAAGGGAGTGAGGAAGAAAAGACGAGGCAGACAAACTGTCCATCCTAATATAGTCCTTTTTATTTATGTTTTAAAATACACTTTGTCATGTCTTCTTTCTCCCCCCCCCCCCCCCCCCCCCCCCACCAGTGTTCCCAGTCTCTCACCATCTTGCAGAGTTGTAACAGCCTCCGTCTCTTTGCTGAGGACACTGTCTCCTACATCGTTGGTGGCCAGCATCCGAAACTTGTATGATGTAAAGGGTTTCAGCCTGCCGACACAAACAGCAGATACATATGTAGAGATTAGAGGCGTAACACTGATAAGTATTACATTTATTCACATTGGTTTCAGCTTTACACCTCTCTCGTCTTCATAAATATCTTCCTATTTAGTTTTGTTAGAACAAGAAGTCTTGTCACCCTAGGAAAGTTTGAATTTTTTCATCTAAAAATTTCTATTTCTATTTTAATTTCAAATATATCTTTGGACAGATTCAGGCCTAAATTGATGAATTGGTTTCTTTAAATTAAAAGGCTACTAGGCTTTTTGCTCCATGATCCTCATGCAACATTTACAATAAGTTGATCAATGTGAATCTATTGGTAAACCAATTGATGCATGCATTTCATTACTTTAATTGACTCATAGTCTTGCGCAAATAGAATTTAATTGTGTGCAAAACTATAGCATGTAGACCAGTGAACTCACCACTCCATGTGAGTGTATACATGCTAACATGTAAGTATATCTGTAAGACCTTGAAACACATAACATGTTTGTAAAGTCTTCTGTTGCATTGGTTGCATCAGCTTATGGTTTTCTTCACAAACACAAAGGCACATACAATGCAAGAAACAAACAATACAATGACCTGCTCATCAAAGCATGGCTCTACAGCACCACAAGTGTAAAATAACTCCACTAGGTATCATTAACACTTTGCACTTTTAACACATTTTTTCCAAAACCATCTTCCCCCACTCTCACAGAAATATTTCTGCTCTTTCCGTGGCCTTTGAAGAGCAGACAAGGTCTTGAATAATAATTATCTTACACCTTTGCTAATTGTCTTCCCTGCCCAAGTATTTCTGCTGCCATACAACCACAACATCTTATCTGCATTTGTCCTCTGTGCAAGGTGAATGCATTAATAAGCACAAAATAACAATATACATCATTCATTTTGAAAACACTTGACTCTAGAGCCACTTACAATCAGCTGAAGGGACAGGCACCCGTTGTTAGGAGCCAGCTGAACAAGAGTTCTGTGCCTTATAGCATGCTAATAGTTTAAATCCTCCCTCTTCTGCTCACCGTGATAATCTGATTAAAAATGTAAAAGGACAGGCGGTGGCAAATAGCAAATTTGTCTTACCTATTTATTAGTCTAACCTAATCATAAATAAGAGTTAACAGGAACATTTTAATCATTTGTTCAGGCAGTAACAACAATTGTTACAAATGATTTAATGTAACACCCTCCCCCGTGCTTTGTCACTGCTCACACATCTACCTGTAAGGTCCTCGGCCTTATTTTCACGGGGCCTCAGGGACTTCAGAGCACCAGTGAGAAATTCAGCAGGCGACTGGAGAACTGCTCAAGTGTCCTCTTGTATAATAATGAGCCCCAATAAGGGACACGAAAAAACCCTGTGGGGTTGTGGGTATCGTAGGAATAACACATCAAAAGCACCAAGCTCAAAGAGGGTGGGGCACCAACAGCACTGGGACGACTTTAAGGACAGTGAGTGAGTGTGTGTGTGCCGTACATGTGTGTGTACATGTTCGCACCAGCCTGGGGGGACTTCAATGTTTTGGTTCCAAAGATGTCTCATTGGAAAACAACAATTAAGGGATGGATAACAAGTAAGTGTGAGTGTGAGTGTATTGAAAAGTAAGCTAATTCCTCCATCCGGTGCTGTAATCAGAGCATTCAGAGTTAGAATGAGCCCGAAATGCATCACAAAACAGCAGCAGCATCATGGCAGAGAGACTTTCCCTGAGGCAGGCTGAAACAGGCTGGTGCAGACACACAGAGAGCGCTCTTCAGCATCTCAAACAGCTCTGTGATAGCTGGCGAAGAAGGAGCGCACACCAACAGTCACACACACCAACAGTCACACACACACACCAACAGTCACACACACACACCAACAGTCACACACACACCAACAGTCACACACACCAACAGTCACACACACCATCCAAAGTAAAGCCTCATCATAGTTCTGCTACTTAGGCTTTCAGGGAAGTTGGAGCAGCCATCGAGTCTGACCGCCATCACCTGCTGCCTTAATGACAGCCTCAATAAGAGGGGGGGGGGATGGAGGGATGGAGAGTGCATGTGAAGGAAGGAAAAAATACACGACTTATGGTTTTTGAAAGCACTAGCTGTTGATGGATGGAGGGATGAAGGGAGGTGGTGACAACAAGAGGGATGACACATGAAAAGGTAAAAAACGTTTTTAGAGAATGACTATTGGACAAATGGCACACAGAAACTTGAAAGCACGAAAGGCAGAGAGAGAAAAATGTTTTAAGGGAAAAAGACAAAGAGCACTCCTGCTGTTGCTCTGTGATTAGGTGACTGAGATCCTCCACGTTTCTGCAGTGATTATGATTACTCTGCTCTCCCTGGTGGGGTTTTTTCTTCTCCGTGTTGCATTTTTTTCGCTCTAAAAACCTTTTTGGTATACTACATGTTCCAAATAAAACTTTTTCTTACTGTGTTCTAATTCTCTGTTCTCTGCGTTGAGTATTCACAGCCCCCCCTCGTCTCTCAGTCCACTCCTCTTCTCTCTCCGAGGATGCATAAACATTACAAGATTTTTTAAAGACTGCTTTAACTAATTCAAGTCTAGCATGTAATGCCAAACAAAATCTCCATGCTGTGTAAGGAAAGCACAAACAGTAATGTTGAGTTTTTATTCATGTTATCTCCAAGGATGCTTGAGATGGCCTAATTGACTATTAGATAGCCCCAACCTTCACTAGATACTGTTGCTATGCCTGTCAAGCTTTCCGTTCCTGCACAGCACAGTAGGCATTTCATCAGTTTACGGTGGAAGCTTTAGCGATTGTAATGCTTTTCTAATTTTAAGCAAACAGTCAAATGTATTGGCTTCATCTTGCTGTAGTTTGTGGATGACTTTAAAAGCAAAAACACAATTTAATCTTTTCCTTTTGATTTCCTGCTTTTTATTCCGGTTAGAAAACACAAAAAAAGTAATCACCCTCCATCTCTTTCTAAATTGGGTATTCACATCATCTGAAGCTTTACCTGCCTGCTGCACATAGTTACGGTTAGATTTTTAAAATGATTGTAATACTTTTGCCACACAAGCAGATACGTGTGTGTCTGTGTGTGTGTGACTGCACATATGTGCACATGTGTACCTGTCAGCGGTCCAGGCGGTCCCGTTGTGCGGGATGTCAGCAGTGTGTGTGTTCCAGTCCCCGTTGGGCAGCTCTTTGGCCTGCAGGGTGAAGTACCTCAGCGGGGAGGAACCTGAGCTTCCTGTCACCCAGTGGAGGCGCACATGACGAGATTCAACCCCTTCCTGAGGAACAGACAACTTCCTGGGCGGCTGGGGACGCTCTGTGGATGTGGTGAGATAAAAAGAGGGGGAAAGAGGCAGAGGAGAGAGGGGAAGAAAGAGGGAAGGTGAAACCAGGATAAGAGAGGGGGAGATGAAAAGAAAGCAGGAAAGGGAAAAAGATCAACACTTTTACATTTCTAGGGCAATTTTATTTTAAGTATTCATTCATACATAAAATCATGTAATTTAGGAATGTTACATGGAGAGGCTGTGTTCCCACTGCATACACCCATCGTGTGTGAGTTTTTGCACATCAAGGACAGAGGGATATTGTGTAGTTTTAGATATATAGTGGGATCACAAAGTAAAAGACAGAACACTGCAAGTCAAGAAGGTGCTGGATGCATAAAGATAGAAAATGAAAAAAGGTCAAAACATCTACAACACACTTATCCCTATGCAAATGTCTTCCAGACAGAGGTAAGTAATAAGAACACGCCTCCAGAACAGTGTGTGTATGTGAGACAGCAAAGCTTCTCCTTACAGTACAAATGTGTCTTCATTTAACAAAAGGCCACATATTGAGAAGTGGAACCATGATTAGACTTGTGCACTCTACTGTTAGTTAGTTTCAATTTAAGCCGTACTTTAGATGGAATTATATGAATTGCTACCTTAATGATCTTTCATTTTATCTTCTCTCCTGTCTTAGTTATACAGGGAAACGTTTTATGTTTGAAGTCTTTGTATTACACATTCATACATGTAAACAGTCAATTAGAGACCCAGCTTTCAATACTCATGGCTCAGAAATAACGTAAAAAAATCTATTTGAAGAAATATCATATACACTTAAGAAATCAGCTGTAGGGCCTGACTGCAGCAGCCAAGATCACAATCCCAGCTGCCGCACTTTGCTGCATGTCGTCCCCTCTCTCTCCCCCCCTCCTGTCTATCTGCGGCTACCAGGTCCAAAATCATATTCTTTTTTTAAATGAGCTGAAACCTGGTTACTTATATACTGCAATATGCTTCTCTTCTCATTAATTCATTTCCTTTAATTTGCCCCCTATCTGTAACTATGCACGATGAAACAAAGTGTCCCCTGATTAAATTGAGGCGAACATGGACCATATGCTGTCAATACCTTGTAACACAGGACAAGGGCAGCCAACAGTTACATCAGCTTGACTGTTGCAATACTTACATGTGTTTAAATGAAACAAGACATCTAACCACTGCAACATCAAAGAAACTATTTCTGCCAGTGTGTTGAGACTATTTGTCAGTCTTGCTATTCAATTAGAAGATAAAAGATGAATCTGGGAGTCAGTATCTTTGTACAACTGTGTGGCAGAAGCTGTTTGACAAGTCGACCAAGACACACCATCAAAAACATGTGGTTGAGCAGCATTACTGTTTAATTTCAGGGGCATCAGATTATCGATTAAGTCTGCAAAATTAAAGCATTATCGATTCTCTCTGAAGTTTAATTAATCTGCATTTATATTCTTAAACACATGCACAAGCACAGTGGCACACACACACACACACACACACACACACACACACACACACACACACACACACACACACACACACACACACACACACACACACACACACACACACACACACACACACTGGCTTCCTCCATTCATCCTTATCACAAGCAATTTAAGTCGAATCTGTTTGACTCCCTTCTTCCCTTGTGCCCTTATTCCTCAGTCCTTTTAAGACCGACTTTTCCCTTCCTCTTTTGTTTCCCTGATACCATCTGTGTTTCCATGTCGGCTTCTCTTGTTCCGCTCTACAGTTAAGATCATGTTCTGATAATACACTCATAATTGTCAGAACAAGTGATGCCTTTTCAGAATGTATTCTGCCATACAAGGTAGAGGAGAGGAGAAGAACAGAAGGGTACATGAAGAAGAAAAGCTTCTGGTGCTACCAGGATATGAAATAGTGTATATGTTTGTCAGGGGATGGATGCTGCTTAATATGCTGCTGTATGATGTCCATTACTGTATCAATTATCCTCTCTTGGAGACAAACACCAGCATAGATAAACCTCTCTTGAGAGAATTGTTTTCATTCATGCACATGCACACAGCCTCACACACATACACAGCCACACGCACACTCCAAAAGCCAATTTTCTTTTTCTGGGGATTAAGTTGGTCTCTTCTGCATCATCAGAAAGAAATCTCTATTAGGCTATTCTGTCTATCTCACAGTGAGAATGGGCCATTATGTTACTGAAGTGGAACAGGGATCCACTACATTCAATTCTTAAGAAAGAAACCCTGATAATGACGCTGCAGATGCTATGATATCTGATCCAATTAAAAAACTCTACACACACTGATAGCTCTGAATAGAATATCTGACATCATGATTCTAGGTTTTCATAAAAATTCGATTCATTGTCACATTTTTGTATAAGGACTTTTGTAGCATTTCGCTGCTTTACTAGACAGCGGTGGTGCCGGCTGACAGATACAATTGGAGAAAGAGTTCAGGGATGACATAAATCAAAGTGGGAGCCGCGTTCAAACCAAAGCTGTTCATGCGTTGGCCCACAGAGACACCAGAGTCACTATGACTTTTTTTTTAAAAGTGATATTTCACTTCGCTGGAATAGTTCTCTGTCAAACTTTAAAACCACCCGACACTTAAACCATTCTTCCATGTATCTTCATCAACTGACTTCACTATCACCGGCACACAGAATGTAATAATAATGCAAATGTGTTTTTAAAATGAATTGTAAGATACATAACATTATAAGACATATTAACAAAATCAGTGCTCAATATTAAATTAAATGTATGGTTACAGAATACAAACATAAAGGTGGCTAATCTGCACTGTAAATAGTAATAGCCATGCTTACTGAAAATACCTTATTGTACTTTACTTATTTCTCACTAACCTTATGATTTTACTCATTCAATGTGAGTAATTTACTCGATTCGACCAAAAAAGGTATAAAACTTGGTTCAACTGATCAAACTGTTTGTAACTCCAAGTTCATGGAGTGAAGCCAAGGGAACAGCAGGGCACATGGCAGTAGAGCACTACAGGCAGAGCTGCCAGTGTTTCCCATACATCGATTCATTTGTGGCGGGCCGCCACAATTAAATATCGTCCGCCACAAATAGATCTCATAATCTTTATTTTATTTCATTTTTATTTTGTAAATTGTAAATTATATTTAACCCCACGGATCCTCAACTCCGGTGTGTCTGAGGGCGAGACAGGGCCGGCAAAAACATAGTTTTTCATGCACTGGTCAATTTTGAGATTTTGTGCTATTTTGATTCCATAACATGTTTTCTTTCAGGCTTTTGGAAGGAAAACGTACAAAATACACATTTAGGTGTTTATTTTACTATAGTTTGTCTATTTGCGTCTGTAGATTTCTCCTAAATTCACCAAAAGTTAGCATTCTAACGTAACATAAAGTACCGCGACCGCTGTTTGCACCATGTAAGTATCGTTGGAAAGCTCAGTCTCTCCTGCACAATCTCATCGGATCCAAATATGGTCATATCCTTTGTATCAGCAACCAATCGTGAAAGTACAAAGGGGTCTTAAACCAAAAAACTAAATCTCATTGGCTGGTGTCAATTTCTGACAACGTGATTCGTTCAGATGCGTCACATGGTGTGCTCAAACACTTCCTGGTTTAGCTTTGGTTGGACATTTCTTGTATTTACTTGATTACATTAAGGCAATCGGTTTCCTTAGTTCTACTGAGTAAACACAACTTTTCAGGTAAGTCAGAGGAACTTGGTTTAATTAAGTTGACATCACTTTAAAAATAAAGTAGTTTGGACTGAACACTTAATACTAATAGTTCAATTGACTTCACTTTTTAAGTGCAACCGGTTTCCTAGATATTTTTCAGTAAAGTCAACTTATCATTTATTACAGTGTGGATATGTATTTTTGAAGATACTGTATCAATATCGTTGAGTTAAAATGGGATCAAACTTTCTATAAAGTCATAGGTTTCACCTGGAGTGGCCAACAGAGATTTATAACAGGACTTTGCAGTTCCCCTCAGCCTATACAGAGGACTGCAGGGGGATATAAACTAACAAACTGTACAACAGAAAGTTAGCAGCTAGCTGGTAAACATCGTTGACTATTTGGCAGCTAAAGAGCCAAATATTTCCCTCAGGAATCGATGGAGATTAAAAAACAGAGCTTAAAGCAGAGTGAATGTTGGATCTATGTTCCTCAGAGCGACACAATGTTTCTCCAGAACTGCAGCATGTGTAAATATGGCATGTGTTTGTTCATACATTAATTTAAACATTTTGAGGTTATAACATATCAGTGTCACTGTGGCCAGTAGAAAAACATCTGTTAATGCAGGTCTTAAGCACATATGTAAAATGATTATACTGCATTTTCTGTGCTGATGTTTTGAAGCAGCGTATCAGCATTGAAGTGTAATAAGACTAACAGCCTGTAGCTGTAACACTTATATTGGTTGATGTGCTGTGAGGTGGACTTGCATTATTGACTTTCATTACTTGTACCTTCAGCTAATACAGTTAAACAATGCATTAAGTTTTATGTGATTGGAGCTTCACAGTTTAAAAACCTGTTGGGCTGTGTTACATCATAGTCAACATAATGTCTGTTATTTTAAGAGTCTGATGCAGGCACTGTTGAGAGGAGGCAAGCAGGGGAATGGAGATATGGTTTTAACAATGTTTACAAAAGCTTAAAATGGTAGCCTTTCTGAGTGGAAAAGAGTCACAATACAGAAATGACTCATAGTGTTTGTGTATCCTGGTTGATTTGGACAATTAAAAGTAAATTCACTTAGTTCAATTCATTTAGAAAAACATCAGCCTTTACAAGACTATAAGTGCATTTGCTTACTTTATTTACATGTTTCTTGACCTGCTAAATAACTCACAGTCTTATAATAATATATATAATATGAACTGTGCATATTTTAACCATTGAACAGATAAATGAGTATGGGATTTGCTGAAGGCTTATTTGGCTTGAGTTAAAATGTATTCTCAATGAGCTGAAAGAAGTTGATTGGAAGCGAGAGGAGCAGGAGTCTAGACAATATGACATTAAAATGCCACAACCTCCGAATCTGAGTGCGCTTAAAAACCTTTATCTGTTTCTGAATTGAAGGAAAAATACCGTTAGTGCTCATGTAGGATGTGCTCTTCTTTCTGGTCCCTGACTGTTTATTGGAGGATAGATTTCCAAGGGCTGTTTTAAGAGAGTTATTGTAATTGCTCAACGTCCTCTCTCACAGTCATGGGCTTTCATACTCATTGTTTGAATGTGATTACATTCCTGCTGTTCATAGTTTAATACTTCACAATGAGGCCACCAGTGATTGCTCAAATTAGATATAATGTTAAAGACAATTTAGCAATATACCTGCTGCTCGAAAAACAAAATTATTAAAATTGATATAGAACCGCTGATCAATACTAAGTAACTACTTTGGTTTGGAGTAAAGATGTATGGCTTTTGAATCATGTATAGTCTGTGCTATCTGTTTTGGCAAAAAAGACATCCCAATTACTGCCCTTCCAACACGTGACAGTCTCATTCTCTTTCTCACCTACTAAGTGAACATTTTCACTCGCCTACAACACAGCACGATACTTTGTGTCGCAAGACAGTTGAGTGTGATATGCCGATAATGCTTGCTGTCTCTCACAGCAAGTACCAGCAGACTGAAAGCCACAACTTTCGGTACCATTATACTTGAAGTGTTATGCGTCTTTATGAGAGTTTTTTTCGATTGTTTTTGACTGTTGTCATTAAAAGGGGTGACTATGGCACAGGGGTTAATTAAGTGCCTACCAATCAGAGGGTCAGCGATTCAATCCCAGCCTACAGACCAATTTTCTTTGGTCTGTGAACATTTTCTAGATATTTACCAAACCCGGCTAGACGGCGGCCCATTCATTTTAAATTGATTTCGGTTGCACGGACCCCTCGGTGGTTTTTGGAACTCTTAGATTTTTAAGCTACTGTAGCAGGTCTATCTGGTGATTTCAACATCTACATTTGCTGCTGCACAGTAACCATGGATTCTGCACGTCCAACTGTAAACTACTTGTTGTTGAAGCACTGATAATCTGAGCTCCTGGCTTCTCTTTCTCTAACTTTATCTCTGCCCCGATCTGCAGAGATCCCTCATTTTTGAAATGCTAAAACTTCAGCTAACCTTGTGCACTCTTTCTGCACTGGCAGCTTTACTGTAGGCAATTACAAAATATAAGATGGAGGCGTGTGGTGCAGTGGGTTGTGCGTTGGTGTTCGGATCAGGGGGTCACAGGTTCAAACCCCACTGCAGTCAGCATCTCGTTGTGTCCCTGGGCAAGACACTTCCCCCCCAAATTGCTCCTGTGGGGACTGCCCGCAGTATTGATTATGTCAGTCGCTTTGGATAAAAGCGTCTAACAAGTGACATGTAATGTAATGTAATAAGATTTGACCATCTGGAAGTCAATGTGAAAAGAGAGGACAACATAACCACCAATAACTGCAGTTTCTCCTGCTATAACCCTTCTTGATGGAGAGTGCAGGTACAATTAAAATCATTAATCAAGTGCGTCCAGCCTAAAATTGACTCATTTACAGAATGTTGTGTCTAACGTAGTTCATATTATACATATTATTTCCTTATGAATCATTCTAATTGAATTTAAATGTCATTACAGATTATTACATTGCTTTGGTACACATGCCACGCAAGATACATGATACTTATATAGTTAGTGGGGGTGCATGAAAAAGGCAAGTTTGTCATTAGTCGAAGCTAGCAAGCTTACACCACATTATTCTTATAACATTATCCAGCAATGTAGATAAGTGATTTTGTACGGAAGCAAAATAACACACTTGTTATATAGGTTCCATTAGTGTGTGATTCAATACTCTATCAGAAATGATTCATACTGTTTTCATTTCTATCTCCTATAAAATAAAGAGAGAGAAACTTAATTTCATCTTAATCTTCCGTGCCTCAGTGCATACACAGTACACACACTTGATAGCTCTGTTTTTTCTGTCTGGAAATACACCCATCAGTGACCAACCCCATAATGTTTATCCCTAAAGGTGTTTTTCCTCAGCTGACATTTTGACTCAGGGAAAATATAAAATAAAAACAATGATGACTCCATTCTGTTTACACCTTAAGTCATGTACTGTATACATTTTGCTGCTGCAACCTAGAAAAAAGGTCTGAAAACCCTAAAAACCTTAAAGTTTTAAGCATTTCATTATTAAAAAACAATAATAAAAGTTACATTTGAAAAAACACCCACAAGTATTATTTATAAACATATTACATTTTTGGTAGATAAGATAACTTCTTTTTTATACAGTTCATTGTCCCGGGTCATTATCCAAAATAAAGAAACTTCTCATTTAGCCTCCATTTTGTGGCAACTTGAGAGTTCAGGTTCCTATTATGATTCAATAGGAGTGGTAAACGTATGCATTATCTACAGAATCAGATCTGATAGCAAACTAGAGTTTATGTAAAGCTAAAGTGTGCGTCTGTGTCCTTTACCTCTGCGCTCAGTGGTAACCACCAGGGCTTCCTGCTCCCCCCCCCCAGCCCACGGCGGTGCGAGCGGTGAGCCGGAACACGTAGGCCTGTTCGGAGGAGAGTCCTGTGACGGTGAACTGTCGAGCGGTGGAGCCCACCTCCACTGTAGTCCATCGCTGAGGGTCCCTGCTGTCCAAGCAGTACGAGATCTGGTAGCCTAGTGAGCGGCAGACGGAAAGACAGACGGAGGAGGAAGACAGTTGAAATCCGTGTAAAAGTCTTGTGTGTCAATTCGTTGTTTTTTTTGTGGCCTACTTTAGATCAAAGAGCCCACAGGAATCAAAGGCAGCACCATGTGAGATGGGGAAAAAACCTGAAAATCTAACCACACAATGCCACATACCACACAGCCACATTTTCACAGAAACAAAAACAAACAAACACACATCTCTGCAGTTCCTGAGAATGTCCATATCTGTTCTGAAGAGATAAATATGTAGCTGCTTTGCTGCTAATACCTCTGTAAGGATGAAGCCATTATACTCTGCATTTCCCCCAAAAAACACACACAAAGCAATAAGTCATTGCTGTCATAGAACGTCTGTGCTCATACACACGCACACATTTGATAAAGACACACAACCTCTCCCTCTCCTTTGGCTGTGACCCTCAGTGTACACGGCGTGTGTCTGTTTTTCTGTCTCATGTGCAGTAGGCCATGTAATAACACTAACACCCTTCAACACACACACACACACACACACACACACACACACACACACACACACACACACACACAAACCACTGATCCCCGACCAAGCTTGCCACAGGCTACTGGCCACTCACAAAGGCTCTCAATATGAAGATTGTATTGTACACCAATACACTAATCCACAAACACACACAATTGCGCGGGTGCGATTGTTTCACAGTAAGACTGTCAGGATGGTAATCTGCTCAAAGGGGCCTAATCTGGTTGTGCGAGTGATAATCTCATCAGATAGTCTGATTGTATATTAATATGAATGCAGTGTGGGGAAGATTATTGGATAACAGCTAGATAACAAATCCTCGTGCCAATTGGGTCAGAGCACAGCATTATGTTGTGAACTGAATATCATTAGGACGTCGCTGCTATCAGATACATGAGGCTACATCTCCATTACAAAGTGACTGCTACTGAAAGCCCATTTCCATTTTGAGTTGAATAAAATATGTAGCATACAGTATAATTCAAAGCATAAAGGGACAGTTAAAAAAAACATATTGTTCCACTGACTTGTTGTAATAGCAATATAGATTATTTTGGTGGGACTTGCTGAGTGCTGAAGTTGATTGGAGATGTCTGCCTTCTCTCGCATATAATGTAACTAGATGGCACTTGCCTTGTGGTGCTCTAAGTGCATACATTTGTATACACTTGTTGTATTTGTTTGTTTAAAGCAATGTTTCTTTCCAAAAATCATGACCAGGTTCAACAAGATAATCCGAAAAACCTTGTAGTTAGTGGTTTCTACTGAACTTCACCCGCCTACACTATCACTGTGCTGAAGGAAGCGTGCAGCTTATCGTGGACGAGAGGATTGAGAGTGATATATTTGGTAGAATAAAAATAGTTGCTACATCTCCAACACTCTGCAACTCACACCAAAACTATCTAGATTGATAAATATCCCTACAGGTAAGATTAAGAAATCTTGCATCTACTGTATACAAGCTTTTATTTTGATTTTAGGTGCTCATTGCTTGCTGGCCTTGTCTGTAATCATGAAAAACTGAGCGTTGGTAACGAATTGGTCTTCCATTTCTACACTATATATAAATTGCATAACATTTTATGTCGCTCATTTGGACCAAAGTTTCACCATACTTTAGATCTTTGGATAATTTCCCCTCATACACCGGACAGCCCTGAGGAGTTCATATCCAACACCTCTGTTTAAGCTTGTTAGAAATCCCAAATCATACTGAACAAAGAGACAACCAAGTGAGTTTAAATAAGGAGTTTTTATTTAATGATCTTAATGGTATTTTTAATGGGTTGATTCGTTTTGCATTTATATTACATTTTATGTTTATTAAACCCCCAAGATGTACTAAACGCTAGATAATAAATGCATAATTGTATTAAGTAAGAATAATTATGTCTTGATTTGCATTATTAATTTACTCCTGTGTTTACTGCTTCTGTAATTTGTGAGATTTTCCTTCTCATCTACAGGAAAATAATCACCCACCCCTGATTAACTTGCTACAAAAACAAACGGTTGGAACGGCTTTTGGATTTTCTCTATTTAAAACACACCAGATGTTCTTTGACACATCATGTTCAATTTCCTATTGTAATAATTCTAGTATCCTTTTTTTTAGCAGAAGTGTATAAAAAAAAGTTTGGGATGTTAACAGGTAGTGATGCAATAGGTGAGAGACTCTGAAATGCCATTGCCATTAAAGCTTTCCTGCATTGTTGAAACACAGTCAGCACACTCAGAAATCCAGCCGGTTAAAAGGCATAATTACTTTTTAGTAAGTACTTAAGTGTGTGACTTAAGTGTATGAACATACCCTAGACTTCATTATAATCAGTATGCAGCAATGAATAGGGATGGGGCTTGTGGCTGTGAATAACTGTTTTCACCAAAAGGTCACATGAAAATAAAAGTGCCTTTTTTGTCAAATGACATGTCCACCTTCTGCGGCTTTGTTTCTCCTTTGTCCACCTTTGTCCTTCCCCCTATGGGCTGAAAACCCAAGGAGAATTAAGGCAGCCATGAGCACTATGGGAAGTGGTGCACTACAGTTTATCTGCATAAACACACACACACACACACACCGCGTTCTCAGCAAGGACACAGCAGGACGGCGCGTTTGTGTGATCGAGAGAGAGAGATTTGCCCTCCCACTCATCTTTCTGTCACAGAGTGGTGTCGCACTAAATGTCCTCCCCCTTACAATACAGTCACACATCACTCACACTGTCCTGCTCGACTCCCTCCCCCACTGAGAGGACACATTCCACTCCTTTCTCCCCCTTGTGCAACATACACACACACCTGTCCCTCCTCTCACCTCCATACATCTCCTCTCTGCTGTCTCACCCCTTCTGTTCTCTCTATTTCCAGCCCAGCAGCTCTCACATTCCTCTCGCCTCTACCTCACCTCTTTTCCTTTTCATTAATCTGTTGTCTCTGATTCACTCCACATGCTGTGATTTGCAGTTTCAGTAACAAGTGAAATATGTGGGTGTTTATATATAAGGCTATGTATGCACTGGGAAAGGAGTCTTGCTTCAGCAGCTATAATAACCTTTTTTCCAGGTACAAGCTTCACTGACACACACACACACACACACACACACACACACACACACACACACACACACACACACACACCCACACACACACACACACACACACACACACACACACACACACACACACACACACACACACATTAACACCAGCAAATGTCTGCACTGAAGTGGAGAGTAGAGAAAGCTGACCCGTGTTTGAAGGCTAAAAACAGAATCAGCTTTTTTCCATTTTATTGCTTTTACTTCCTTTCTTGCCTTAAAAGATCACAGCGGTATGTGTTGCTGTATGTGTGTATGTGTGTGTGTGTGTGTGTGTTTACAATTGCTCACTCTTTTTCTCTTTAAGACAAGCTTTAGTCATATTAAGTAAATCCATTGACACTACAAGCCTGCATATATGGCTTATTAATTAAAGGTTGCTCCTAAATATCTGCTTTGTCATATGTGTGTGCGTGTGTGTGTGTGTGTGTGTGTGTGTGTGTGTGTGTGTGTGTGTGTGTGTGTGTGTGTGTGTGTGGGTTTGTTTGTTTGTTTTTGTACCTAATATGATGCCGTTGGGGTTTGTGGGCGGCTGCCAAACCACCCTAACTGATGACAACCGAACTTCTGGAAACACCATCCTGACAGGGGGGCCTGGGACTGGAGAGAAAAATTGAGAAGGGAGTTGGCAGTATAATGAAGCAGTAATAATATATACAGAGAGCAGTGGCAAAACAAGCTCAAAACAATGACTCCTTCAAAGCACTCATTAGCAAGAGAGTTTCTCAACATCAAGCACTTGTACTCTTATAAGTTAGTATGTTCACAGACACATCTGCATATGCACCGCCACTCACACATGCATACACACATCCAAACACGCACACACATAATAGTCTAATACATTTTTAAGAGGCATGGCACTTCTAAAAGGAGCAACATAAAGAAATGTAATTTTCTCTCAACCTCACACCGTCCAGATAAAAGTACATGTTCCACATCACCAAATACATGTCAGCGCGTGTGTGTGTGTATACAGTACTGTATGTGTGTGACAGACTGACAGACGGGATGGAGGTTCATTATACACTGTGGAAATTGACTTCCCCACTCTTGTTTCATCCTGAAATGAGAAAAACTTTTCATACGTGACAATGTTTGATAGAAGATGTGCGTGTGAGTGTGTATGACTATGTGTGTGTATGTGTGACTATGTGTGTGTGTGAGAGTCTTCCTTTACGTGTGCTTGTGTTTCATTATTCAAGGAGACAAGACCGGGCTGCTGGCATCCTGAACAGTCTGTCATGGTTGTATCTGAGGGTATCTGCACACATGGCCCACACAAACACACACTCATACACAACTTGTTCTTAAAGTCTTGGCTGTGGAAGGGGTCTGAGCGGTGAGCTGTACCCAGTGGATGTAGGTGGGCTGAGGGCAAAGTGTAGAACAAACTGCTGGACAGAAAGGTCAGTGATCAGAGCGAGACACAGTGAGACATCTTACCGTCCTCTCTGGTTCTGAGCAGTAAGGGGCCGCTCTGTGGGCCGTCACCCATCCGTGTGTATGCCAGCACCTGCAGCTCATACACTGTGTATTCTTTGAGACCACTGAGGATCAGCGTCACACTCCCCTCTCCTTCTGCCACCTGAACTCTGGGGGGACCTTCTGAGTCTTTCTCGCTGTAAAACACCTGGACACAGACACGCAAACATGCATAAATGTCACAAATGTAATCACAAATAAGGGTGATCTAAAAATAAAAATGAACAGTTGAATTGGATATTTGCACAAAATTGTCTTTTTTTCTTAAAGGTTTGGTGGCTTAAAAATGATAAGTTTGGTGATACAACTATATATGGTCAAAAAAAAAAAAAAAATTAAACGAACTCACTAAATACTTTAAGACTGTTGCAACTTGTCTGGAGCATTCCCAAGCTGTTTCTTCCTACCTCAGATATAAATATTTAAATATCTAATCCATATTATATTACTATTCAATATTAACACTGGATCACAGGACTACTACTGTGCTGCAAGGTGTCACTTGTAGTGATGACCCCGCCCATCCCTCAGTTCTCCCCAGCTGTTACCTTACTGTCTCACTGTCTGTCTGCATATCTTCTGTTTTGGTTCACTGTCACTGCTCTCATACCTTTGTGTTTGGCCACAGTCAGCAGTTGTTTTTATAGTCAAATCTTTAACATCTTTTAAAGGTCCGTACAGTGATTTTTGAGTTCATGCTGCCCACAAGGTCTGTTAAATAACCTTTTGCAAGTTTATAAACAGGCCACAAATATATAGTTGAATTTACAGTGAAACATGAAGTATAAAAGATATGGGCAATTACAAGTTTTTCCTTCTTGCATTTCTATTCATTCTGTATAAGTTGAGTATTTCTGCACAGATGCACACAAATAACACAAATATTAGTACACTATTATTTGTATAATTAAATTCCAGTGGTGGCTGTGTAGGATTGTTTTTAGACTTGTGTTATTATTATGTGTTATATACATTTCTAATAACTCGAGAGTGTTGGGAAGTCTAAAAGTCCAATTATTTAAAAAAGATGGTTGCAATCCTTTTTTAAATTCACAACATGTTTTGATCTAACAAAATATTCAGCTTCAATCCATATTTGTTTGCATTTAGCTTTTTAAAAAACAAAATGTTCACAGCGGTCAAAAACTGATTGCTTCTCTACTTGTAAGGCGCCCACTGACGAGTAATATTCCTCAAAGAAAGTGGATTTAAAGGAAAAAGACAAACTTATTTAAACCGATGAATCCCTTCATTCAAATTGAGGATTTGTGTTTACATCAAACATTCCAAGCTGTATTTGAAAACCTCATGAGAAGGTTTGAAATATTTTTAATTTACATTTCTTACAGTTTTCTTGCTTCAGATTTGGTGTGCGAGTGAGTAGCTGTACTGTACAGTATGAGGAGTTCATTGTGCCCACTACTGTACATTTAAGTCAACTTAAAGGGGACCTATCATGCAAAATGCACTTTTGTACGTCTTTTATACATGAATATGTGTCCCCGGTGTTCCAGGGAACTCACCAAGTGTCAGAAAACACAACCCTCTCTATTTTCCTCCATACCCAAATCTCTAAAAAAGGGGCTGCAACGGATCTGATAAAAACTGATCCAGATTTGAACACTGTCCTGACGTCAGGACGGTGGCGCTACGGCTATTGGGCCAACTCCACCAATCAGGGGAATGTGGGGTTGGGCCACGGCCGGCCATTGCCGCTCGAAAGCGCTGGAGATGCTGTAGTACATATGCCAGGCCTGTAAGTGGCGCTGTAGTCTGCCACAAAAGCAGCGAAGAAGACTTCCCGCCCATAGTTACCATGGTTACCCTTCTGTTTATTCTTCGCTGTGGCTTTTTTTCTCCCTCCCCCGAGGCAAGCGTTTGCTCCCGCTCCAATGCAATCCCTCCCCCGTCGAGGCAAGCACTGTAATTCTCTCCGGTTAGTCCACCAGCAGATGACAAACACCCACCTCTCCGCCTCTTCCAAGGAACGAGGGGACCGTGCGGCAGAGTTTCAGTTTCAGTTACTTTCGCCGGTCAAGATGTGCGTTAAAGTTTAAATCTTCCGGACAAAATTAGAAAAGTGCCGGTCAAAGGTCTTCTTTGTTATTTATTGAGCTTTAAAACAAATGAATAACGACTCTATATAATAAAACACGGAGGACGGAGATCTCTTTTTCTCCCCCTCTTCTGACAGCCCAGCAGCTGATCAGAGCACGTCTCCCCTCTCCTGCAGGGGGGCGTGGCCAGCAGAATCAGACCCGTAGACAGCAAACAGCACATAGAGCGAAATGAGGCATGGCTAAAATGCATGATCTGTTTGGTATTTTGAAAACTGAAACGTATAAATATACCTTATATAGGTATGGCCCTACAATATATCATTTAAATATAGCATGATAGGTCCACTTTAATTTAGCCCCAAATGACACATAATATATATACCTAATCATTCACAATCTGCACAGCGTAACATATTATAATGAAGAAACATGTCAGCCAGCGGATTGTTGATATGTTTTTGACATCAATGGACGTCACATCGAGCTATGGATACAGAGGCAATGCCTGTTGTTTTTTGCCTTGACAATGAGAAAAATATAGAAAATCATGAAACCTGACTTTTTACTGAAACGTCTACAATAAACCAATCCTGAATTAAAAAAGTACACCAGTGCCCTTTCACTGGTAACAGCATTACGTCTCAAAAACTGTTCGTTCCTGTTCTTCTCTCTCCATTTTTTTATTTTCATGAACTCCCTGACACACTTAAAAAACAATTTGAAGTAAAATGTCAGCTCTTATGCGTTGAGAAACAGAAAGAGTGTGTGGCAGGAGAACTATTAAACATCTACTTGGGAATGGGAGATGTGAAGAGCTACCGCTTGCAGCCAGTTCCCATCTCTAGTATTAGCATGGTAGGCATACTTCTCAGTGTGATCCTCAGGAGAGCACAAGAAAACACACATATGGGGGGTTTGATGTGCTTTGGGCATGGTGTATGATATGACCTGAATTTTACACAACATTTTAAGATACTGGATGGTACTGGTTCCTATCACACAGTCACAGCCGGTTTTTCTTAGTGGAATTATGTATTTTTAACACAACCGTGTCCATGCATTGGAGGATAAATGTCCTTCCTTTAAAGCTTTCTTCTGCTGTCTTTTGTTTGGGCGGTGATTAAGAGCTGCACTCACTGCCAGGTTTACATTAGCAACAAATATTACGTGTGCTTTTCTGTGTAACATTTTCCTTTCACAAGATGTTGAGGGGAGCTACATATATTTGCCACTGAACAAGAAAAGTTATATTGCAAAAAAAACAGAATACTGTTACTTGTCTGCCTTTCATTCTTAAATCAAACAAGGAGGTGAAGTACATTATAATAAACCCCTGGAGGGTCTGCGTGGGAGTGAAAAAAGGAGAAATGTGACTGCCAGTAAGTGGTGCACTCAGGTAAAAATGTGTGCACCTGGCACTTCACCATCAACAGTATTCATCCAGCTTTTTCTTAAAAACCTGCAAATGGGAGTATGTCAAATACGTCACCATCAGGAGGTTCCAGCATGACAGACTTATCCAACTGAGTTTGTGAATATAAAAAGAGATGAGCACCAATTTGGCAGACATGGATCGATTTGAGGCTTAAGTGGGTCACTATTTTGGACTTACTTTAAATACTAGTGCAGAATGTTCAAAGCCTATTCACACAATGCATATATATTTAACAAATCACATTTTCTTGCCTAAACTGCAGCTTATGCTTTATATTTTAAAGCACTTCCTGAAACCAACAGGCTTCATGGATTATTATCTATTTTTCATAAATAAATAATCCAGCTTTGTTTTTACTATGACATGACAAGAACACTGTTTTATGAAAGGGAATTAAAGATTAAAGCCTTTCTTTTGTGCATTTGAACAGTTACACACACGCCCCCCTGTAGCTGGGTGCTTTTAAAAGCAGTTATGTTGGAAGAACAAAACTAGAGCAGTTACAGCCTATTACGTCATTTGCTTAAATTAGTTCTTGTGTGCTGATGTCTATGTGCATCTATGTGTGTGTGAAGGTATTGTTAAAGGTGATAATGGGCTAGGGGGGGCAAGTGAGCACGCCAAGGTGGGATTGTGTGTGTGTGTGTGTGTGTGTGTGTGTGTGTGTTGTATAAACCTTATAGCCAAGTATGATTCCATTCTTCTGTGCCTGAGGGAGAGGAGACCATTTGAGCAGGATCCTGGTGGAGCTCACTGCCTCCGCCGTCACATTCACCGGGGATCCAGAGGGAACTAGAGAACACACACACACACACACACACACACACACACACACACACACACACACACACACACACACACACACACACACACACACACACACACACACACACACACACACACACACACACACACACACACACACACACACACACACACACACACACACACACACACACACACACACAGATTACCAACAGTGGACTATTATGCCACACTGACAGTCAGTTCTGTCATTTTAAGAACACCTGAAAAAAAAGACATTCTTTATCTATATATATTCTTGTTCTTTGTCACAAAGGACTCAAAGTGTATGCTGAGCTGATGAAAATCTCTCTAAACCTTCTTTATGTGTTTTTTCAGAGCAGAGCAGGCGGAAAAATTCCTTTAGTAATTTGATTATTAAAAATGAATCAATGCAAAGAAGCCTTTGTTTAAGGCCCAGCCCCCAGATCCCAGCCGACAGCTGGTTTGAGGTGGCGCTATGAACGATGCAGAGATTGGTTTTTGAGAGCAATTGAAGGGCTGTCGCAAGCAATCCTGAAACAATTAATAGTTTGGATAGTTGTAATTGCTTATTGCTGCTGGACAGCATGCAACTGAGAAAGAGAAAGGCAGAGAGGGAGTGATTGTTTGTGTGTGTGTGTGTAAGGGAGGAAGAAAAAAACAAACTAACTCACTTTTATGGTCCATGAACTCAATCACTTGAAAGTCACGATTGATAGGATGACAGAATGTATTTATATTTTCTCTTAATTATAATGTTGATATTGTGTAGTGGGTTTTTTGCCCATATGATATCAACTGGGACTTATTCCTTTAAACAAATCCTCATTTGCAGAGCCATAACCTGCTAATGTCCCTGTGAGCTGATTGCAAAGGCATACTCTAACAGGGATCTCTTACACACAGCAAAGTACAATGTCACTCTGAACCAATCTTTGATTCTATCTCAATCCTTTCCCCCTCCCTGTCTTTGTCAATCTTCCCCTCACTGGAATATAGGGAGAGTATAAAGAGCAGAGAGAGGTGGCAGGATGAGGGGAGACTCAGGGAGGGAATGGGCACTTTAATCCTCACCCATCTTCTACGCTGGTAATACGATATTGGATAGATCTGTTGGGTTTCTGGGAACAGGAAACAGGAGAGAATGAGGTCTGTGTTCTCACCAGATTCTGCAGTGAGTGCAGCGACAGTGTGGCTCCATGGTCCGGATCCTATGGAGTTGTAGGCCTGTATCTGAACCTGGTACTGAGTGAAGGGGTTGAGGCCCTCTACGGTGGTCTCACTGGTCCCCCCTTCTCTCTCCACATCCTCTGTCCTGTCCTCCCCCTGGCCGTCAGTCCTCCACACACGCAGCCGGTATCCCACGGTCTCGGGACTGCTGTTGAACTCGGTCTCTGGAAGAGGCTGGAGGGCAAACAAAGTGAAAGTGGAGAGTTAAAAGATTAAAGAGAGTTAGGGTTAGCAGTCTGATTTGCAATTCAAGGGAGAGCAGTTCGATCCCACCCCCTGCAGTCAACATGTCGAAGTGTCCTTGGGCAAGGTACTCAAACCCAAATTGCTCCCGTAGGGATGTCTACAATAATTAAGTGTATGGGGCATTCTACCGAATTAGTGCAAAGTGCGGTCCAACAACAAGAAAAACTATTTAACAAAACAATTAAGTATTCAGACATAGATATTTACTAAGAATATGTTATGGTCTATTTAAACATAAGGCATTCAATGATATAGTGATAAGCTTAATATATACAAAAACATCATTTATAGGGTACTTTCTATTGGGAAGTAGCTGTCCCCAACCCTGACATCTACATGTCATGTTCTGTAAATAACACTTAAAACATTTTATTTTATTTTGTTCAATGGTGTATTTAGAAGATCTTTATGATTACATTCAAACAGAAGTTGGAATATTTAGATTTATTGTGGGTTTAATTTTTTAATAAAAAAACTATACTCAAAAAATCATGTCCCCAGTTTTCATGTCACTACCGAAACACAAGGGGTTTTAGTCCAATGGCTGAGTCTGGTTTTTAGCCACACCCCTGCATTTTTGACTAGGCAGTGACACTGCATCCCTGTCCCTCATGGCTGAATAGCCAGTAGCTATATCCCATACTTTTGATATAAATCTGTTCCAAAATCTGAAAATCGGCGTGTAACCTTAAGAATTGTCACTACCAGACATATTATCTTCAAGTAAGTAAACTTTTTCGGGGTTTTATGCAAAGTATTATGTTTTTATGTGTGTAAACCTCTTCAAAAACGTGTATGCTAGCCATGTAGTTGCTAGCATTCTTTAGTTATGCTCAATTTTAGCTAGAATCGTCACTACCGAAACAGTCACTACCGAAACAGTCACTACCGAAACAGTCACTACCGAAACATATGGTTACGTTTCGGTAATTGACATGATTGTTTCGGTAGTGACACAATGGAATGGTAAGCAGGTAAATCCCACCATTTTGAAATAAATGTGTTTTAAAGTCTGAAAATCAGTGTGTTACTTTAAAGGTCTCTTATTATACTATTGTTAGGCATATATTATAGGTCTCAGATATATAAAAAACATGTCTATGAAGTGTTTTGCTCAAAATACCAAACAGATCATGCATTCTAGCCTCATTCCCCTCTCTTTCAGCCTGTTACTAAAGTGCTGATTCTGGGTCAGTAGCTTCAAACATTCACACTTCAACATAAGGCATGTTATGAGTTAAGATTAAGCAATAAGGTTGAGGGAATATGATACAACCTTGAGAACAAAATACTGTGGCCACTACCAAAACACTGGATGTTTTGTAAACAATAAAGTATATTGACTTATCAAATAAAATGATATGATACTGGTTGGTTTAATGTATGTTCAATTTCAACAATCATCAACTCTGGAATCAATATGATCAGTATTATGCATTTTACAAAGAAAGTTTGCATTATGATTTTTATGAATTGTATAAATTGAACTTTGAAATTTGATTACAAATTAAATTGCATTGATTTAATTGTGAAAACCCTAAAGAAATATTTGTTAAAATACTATTTAGAGAAGGGAAGGTAAAACAATCTTAACAGGTTAATATAATACTTTTTTACTACAGTGTATGTACTATGTTTCGGTAGTGACCATTTTTGGTAGAGGAAGAACATTCCAATACAGTCTGAAAATACGATATAAAAATGTACGGTTCTTTTACTAGATATGTGTAATTTAGATATGGTACAAAATATATACTGTATGGACAAAGTTTTGGGAAAAAACATCCAAAATGTCAAAACATTTCCAACCTGACTTTGGTCCAATTCGGTAGAATGGCCCGTATACATGTCGCTTTGGATAAAAGCATCAGTTGAATAAGATGGAATGTAACATTTTTCTAATGTATTTGTTCATGGCAGTCATTCCTGAAGATTATATCACCATAATGGAGGACTAAAGGAAATTCTGCCTCAGTTATATTTTACAAACACTTAAAAGAAGATGAACCTTTATTAATCCCCCTAGGGGGAAATTCAGTTTTTGCAGATAAAAGGGTAGTTGGATATGTTCTTGTAAAAAATCTGAGTTTTTGTCATGTGATGGTGTATCACTATAAAGCAACTTTAAAGGGGTGTCCCAAAGTTAAGTTTTTAGAGTTAAGTTTACAAACTCAAACTCATATTAGCTGCTTAAAGATATGGCCATTTTCATGATTATTTTCAAGAGAGACGTCTTAAAATATTGTGCTCCTTGTTCCACAATGGCTTAATAAATGAGTGCCAGTGTGCCGATCCTGAACTGTGCAAGTATCTTATAATGTGTCAGCACTTTGCCACCCTGTGCTGTCACTGAGCTCGGTGAATTTAATTAATTTAGACTCTGATTGATGGAAGAAGAACGAACCACATAGAGGAAGAGCTGAAAGGAAGATTGAACGTGAAACCAATTTGAGGAAAAGTGTGATTAATAAAATGATAATTTGGTGAACACATAGCACCTTGTTGCTCAATGAATAAATGTGACACAGTTCCCTTCTATCACCCACACGGAGTGATACCCTTAGTTTGTTTCTGAGAAATGTGATGAACATAGAGAAAACACATATATTTGGAAACACAAAGTCATAATACAAAACACACACAACAACTGAAACACACATAAATCACATCCATTAAATACTGTATGCATCGTATACTTGCACACATTGAGATGCAAAAAGAGACAGTGTTCAGAGAGAGAGGGAGTCAAAGATAAACTCTCTAACAAAGCCTTGGTGCAGAAACAGATCAGAGTTTGTTTATAGGCCTAACATGACTATGCCTTGAGTATAAAGCATTTCAATCGTTTGAGTCAGCACCACCTGGTTCCACCAGAGCAACACGTGCCAGTGAAAAAAGCAGGGCCAAGAACAAAATAGGTAAATGTGAATTAACCAAAGCTTTATTAACTTGTCAAAAGAAGTGAGATCATGTAGGAACCACATCACCTACTGTAACAAGCTGATTTGGAAAATAGCTTTTTAAGGACCTTTAAACATTATAATACACTCTTAAAGTCACTATGTGTACAACACTATGAACTTTGGTACCCTGCAGTGGTAGCCTCAAAAAAAGACCCAAATAGAGTTGGGTCCTGACGACATAAGTGGAATATCGAGTTTAATTCTCCACAATGTGATCCGAGACACCCAAACACACACACTCACAAGTGAGAAGGCATTACAGTACGTAGCGCTAAAGAATATGGTTATTTATGTGACATGTCTAACTTTAAAGTACTTCCTAAAAACCTTTTACTGTCTTCTCCCCTTTAACATCCCATCTTCTGATCTTTCGCTCTCTGTCCACTTTTACTTCCATCCAATCTAATTTCCTGTCACCCTGCCTCCTTCTCTTGTCCGTACTTTTTCTCTGTCACCTTTCCCCCCCTTCTCTGCCTGTGAACTATCATGTGCGTATGCGTCATAGGCTCATGATCAGTGTTCAGAAGTTTAGTTTGTTCACAGCAGGTTTTTCCATAAAAGTTTTAAGCTAACATTTTACAATGGTAGCTCTCTGCTGCGCTGCGGATAAGGATGTGGAACACTTTAAATACCCCAGTGATTTAGCTCAGCTTAGCATTTAGGAGCCATAATACAGAATGTCACATTAGCTTTATTACCCTTAATATGCAGCTTAGAATAATAGCCTTAGCTAAAACCATTGTGATAGTTCCATTACAGCAGAAAATCTACCATAGCTCAGGCTGAGCGCAAACATGTAGGTAAAAGCCCATTAGCATTCTGCACAGGTAGCCCATAGCGCCTCAGTGTCTGTGTCTGATTTGACAGGCTCTTTTTCTCATTCCGACTCTTAAATGGAAAATACTCTGCTCTCCATTCATGTTATAATAGAAGATGGGATGGGGGAGTAAAAGAGAGAGGGAGGGAAAGAGAGAAGGACAAAGAGCAAGGAAAAGGAGCGCAAAAGAAAAGACAGTAAGGAAAATATTACATTACAGTTTGTGTTGCTAGCAGTCAGAGCGCTGAATGGAAAATGTGACAGATTAGCATTAGCACTGACAACAAGGAGAAACAATGATTATAGGCTGTCAGCTACTCAACCTGTTCAGCCCTGCTGCTGGTGAGTGCACCTGCGTATGTACACATGCACTGATATAAAAAAGATGGGCATTCACACATATATGCAGAGCAAAGAAACACAAAGAAAATATCCAGCACTATTTGAATGATTATAAAAAGGTAGAGAGAGATTGAAGTGCTTTCAGGGGAAAGTGTGTATGTGCTCTTGTGTGTGTGTGTGCTTCAGTACCTTCCAGTTGAAGCGCAGACTCGTCTGTGTGGCAGACAGCAGGGTGAGGTTAGATGGGTGTGAGTCAGGGGCATCTTGGAGGGTCTGAATCAGCCTGGAGGGGGCACTCATGTTACTGGAGCCGACAATGTTCGCCTGCCGCATCCTGAACCTGGAGAACGGAGAGCTGGAGGTTAAAGGGGCACTCCACGGAATCTACACAGCAAGTTCAGTTCATTTGTCATTTGTAGTGCTACTCAGCCTGAGAAAATGGTTGTATGATGTCTATTGCTGCACCCAAGGGTGTGCTCCAAAGTTTGAACAAATCATTGATGATGAATTATCTTGGGGACTTTTTAACTCCTATGTGTCAAATTGTTGATAATAGAGATGATATTGAGCTGCCTTTTGGGCGAAATAGGAGTATGCAATATTAATTTGGTGAAGTACGGTATCATGTAGGTCTCCAGTTGGACATTGGGGTTAGGTTCTTTTTTAAAGGTGAGCGGTTGGTGTCATATTTGATTGATTACCCTGCGTTACTGTAGAAGCAGTAACTTTATTCACAGTTTCAAGAGTTTTGTGCTCAATATCACAGAACGGCAACACAACCAGACGTCACAGTACTAGTAAAATAAAATAAAATATTACATAAATTAAATTATTTCAGTAAGGGCGTTTGTGATATGTGTTATTTATTTAACAATGAAAACATATTTGACTGAATAGCATCCTTCAGCTGGAATTCTCCACCAGAGGATTTCTGAAAAGACCACTGGCATTTCATAAGATGTCTGAGGATGCCAAACATTCAGTCAGAAAAAGACACACACACACACACACACACACACACACACACACACACACACACACACACACACACGTGTCTTTTTTTGCATACATTTAAAGCTTCTATTGAGCCTCTAATGAAGCTCCAATCTCTGTGGTCATTTTCTATGACGTCATCATCCTAAAATATATTTTTTTAAATCCACAAACTAAATTCTTAATTTGAGTAAATGATTCATTGGATTGAATAAGTACGTTTTTTTTAAACTTTAATGAATATAACTTAAGAGTGAGCTTCCTTTTTTGTGCAACCAACAGTAGGGCAAGACGTTTTTTGGTTGTAATGAAATAGATGCAGCCATTTGATTTAATTTATATTAACATCCTAATGCTCTGGAGTTATTGGAAATGTTTGGATCACATGACTTGGAAACAATCTTTCACCACTGGAACCGGGAGTAAAAGCATATTCAAATGGTATCGTAGAAATCCAATGTTAATGGCACAGGTACACATTTGAAGCTTCTTCCTGTTCGGTAAAACCACAAGGGAGTGTGTGTGTGTGTGTGTGTGTGTGTGTGTGTGTGTGTGTGTGTGTGTGTGTGTGTGTGTGTGTGTGTGTGTGTGTGTGTGTGTGTGTGTGTGCCACTGTGCTTGTGCATGTGTTTAAGAATATAAATGCAGATTAATTAAACTTCAGAGAGAATCGATAATGCTTTAATTTTGCAGACTTAATCGATAATCTGATGCCCCTGAAATTAAACAGTAATGCTGCTCAACCACATGTTTTTGATGGTGTGTCTTGGTCGACTTGTCAAACAGCTTCTGCCACACAGTTGTACAAAGATACTGACTGTGTGAGTGAGTGATAAAACGTGTGGGTGTTCAGAGTGCGTGACAGAGACTACATCTATGAGTTCAGGTCCCTGTATAGGGAGATTGAGAGCACGGCGTAAAGAGGATCTTAAGGCGGAGGTTTGAAACACAGACAAGTGCATCACTTCATCTAATGTCCCAATGGTGTCGCCTGTGACAACATAATCCCTGTGAGTGTACAACATGTGCACACACACATTGCGATCCCATTACAGATGAAGGCAGCGATACAGAGAGCAAGAGGCAGAGAGAGACTGAAACATACAGAAAATAAATGGAGAGATTGATTTTTTTTTAAAAAGGGAGAGAAGAGGAGGAAGTGTTACTGCTGTTCAGTGACGATGGATCACGTTTATAAACTTCAGGCTCCCCACGGCCCTTGAGCAGGGATTAAAGTCACTCCTCTCTCCTCCTTTCCCTTGTCTCTTCTCCCCTTTAATGTTCTCCGCTGCCCTTCCCACTTTCTCATCACCTTTCTTTTCCCCTGCCCTCATCCTTCTCCCCCCCGCTCCTTCCCTCTAGCTAGTTGCAGGAGGGTAATAAGGATCTGCATGCAGCAGCTGTGAAGGTGCTGACAAACAGAAAAGTCTCAGATGGAACTGTCTCTCCGTGTGTCTGTGTGATTTATCTAACTTCACCTGAGTCTTGCAATACTGCAGAAACTGGCGGAGAGTGAGATGTGTGTGAGTGAGTTTGTGCGGGTGTGTGTGTGTTTGCAAGTGGAAGCATTTGACTGTGTCCTTGTACGTGTGTGTGTGTGTGTGTTTGTTGCTAACCTGTACTTGGTGAATGGAGAGAGGTTGGGAATCTCCACACTGTCCGCATCAGGCTGGTTGTCTTTCTGGTAGACAACAGTCCATATTTCCTCCTTTCTATCGTCCTTAACAACCTGTTAAAAAACGATATTATATGTTATAAGAAAAGGTGGTGCAGTAATGACGTATTTTTGCAGGCTGCCCGAAATGTAAGAAAAAAAGAAAAAGGTCTTGATATTGTTAATTATTATTTTTAAGTCACGTGACTTTTAACCATATATAGAAGCTTCGGACATTAAGGATAGGGAAAATACTGTATGTCGTATTACAAAGGTGAACATTTGTTAAGCATGTGTTAACCACAGCTCTTATTTCAGGCATCTGACCACAAACACGTGTGAATACCATTGACTTTGAGAAAAAAGGGAACTGGAAGTGGTAAAATGCTAACTAATTTACCCGTTTAAGGACTTAACATTTCCAGCTGAGTTTTACAAAAAGTGCAGAAACACTAACAAGGACACACGCACCTGGCCTTCTACGATCCATTGTGATATGCCAGTCTTGCCATCAGAACCAGGGCGAAACCGGAGTGTTGCTGTGCGAGGGCTGATGTTGGAGATGACTAAGTTAGATGGGGAACCAGGAAGCTCTGCAGATAGAAAACAAACAGAATACTGCTTTATTCAAAGCTACAAAGAACTACATATAATTGTGCTATCATGCAGCTAGTACTTGGAGGTCACTTTTCTCCACATGCATTAAGCATTTCATGTATTCTTACAGGTAAGTACAATACAATTTTTGGACAAAAACCAGCAGGATTTAGCACTTATAATACTGTTATTTGTGATGTGTGAATAGTTGACTGCTGGTGGTGCTATTAGCATTCAATTTGAAATAAAAAGGTTTTGTTCAAGCAGAGAAGGACTGCAGCATCACAGCATGGCACACTCTTTCAAACGGACCAATCAAAAGCAATGCAGAAGAGAAATAATGATTTATAACGACAGTTCAATGTAGGGATACAAATAGGTACATTGCCAAAACTCATAAAAATAAAACTGCAACATGGCTCATCAGTAAAACACCTGCAATAAAAATGGATAACCTGATGAGAAAAGTCCTGTCGCCATTAATGACTAAAATATAAAGGCTTTAAGTTAGAATGAGCCAAGAAAATGCTTCCAGTCCTTTTAAAAAATGTCTATGGGTCCTTGCTTGGCCATGAAAAGGAAAATAAGAGATTTGTTACACAGAGGAAACATGTTAATTTTACTTAACAGCTCCCTTATCTTTCTTACAGTGCAGACGCTTTTCTGCTTGCTCTTGCCTCTGCTTACTTTTTATGCTGATTTTCCTATTCTTATTCTCTGAAAACTTCGAGCAGCGGCTCCTGGACATTAACTTATCACTGGGACAGTTATTCATCGTAAATAGACGGAGGGTTTCAGCTATATTTCAACATTTTTACGACAACCTCAGTCTTACAGTAGCGTGGCCTAGCAACAGCTAAAGCCTGGTAGGCTACTGCATGCTATTTAGCTTAAGCTAGTTGGTAGCAAAATGCCTCCGTTCTCTACAGATGACTTCCACATACTTCTACAGAAGATGGCTGTGTTGGAAATGAAAATGCAACGGTTGGAAGTTAACGTGGAAGTGAATGGACTATGTTGTGGGAATAACACCACTTTACCAGTGTTGCAAAATAATGGAAAAGGGTATGCTAACTCACAGCTAGTTAGCAGCTACAAGGTTTCCAAGGAACAGGAGGGCTGTGTACTGGGTAATAAATCTACAAGTGGTAGTCCTCCCTGGAACTCTCTGGGTGCAAAGCCTAAGAGTAAATCATTTCCATGGGATTTGGGAGGACGAATAACAGGCAGAGCCCAGCGCTCTGAAATCTGTGATGCGACCGGCTGGCCTGCATTGTTATCACCCAGGAAGAGTGCCTCTTCAACCCCTATTCATACTAGGAAACAGCCGTGGACAGCTGCTAAAGGGAGAACTACAAACAATCCTCCTAAACCACCAAGTGTGCCAATCCAGAACAGATACGCTCCGCTGACCGAGAACCGGAGATCTCTTTCTGATGACCTGGATAACCTGTCCTCTTCACACAGCAGGGTAAGGACCAATAGCTACTCCAAAAGTAAAAGGCTAGAGGGAAAGCTAACGACTGGGCCTGAAACTCTGATTGTGGGTGACTCTGCTGTAAGAGATGTAAAAGGTCTGTGTAGTAAGAACAACACCAAAGTACTCTGTTTTCCCAAGGATATTGTCTCCGACTTGGCTGAGAAGATCCTGCATATTGGGGCTGAACATCCGACTGTGAAGAATGTGGTACTACATATTGGAACAAATGATGTTGTGAAACAACAGTCAGAAGCGCTGAAAGAAGACTTTAAATGTCTGTTGGAAACGGTCAGCTCTCTAAATGCGGAGGTGTTCATCAGTGGCCCTCTACCGCCAGTCAGAAGAGGAGTGGAGAGATTCAGCAGACTGTTTGCACTGAACACGTGGCTTTCAGCTGCCTGTACTGACCATTCTGTCCATTTTATTGACAATTTTAACTTTTTCTGGGATCGCAGACATCTTTTTAAGGCAGATGGAGTTTGCCTGAACAAGTCAGGAGTGAAATTGTTTATCTCTAACATATTCAACTGCCTGCATCAGCAATCTGTTCCCTCTGCCAAGGACAAGCGGCAAGAGGAATCAAAACAGGAGAAAGACACAACACATCGCGCAGAAAACCCTGAAGAAGTATCACTGCACCTGTCTGAGGAATGTTCTGATTATGGGAGACCTATGACACAAATGGAGGAGTCTCCACTGCCCGTCACCCCCCCCTGTCAACGCCTTTGAGGATACTCTTCATTCATCCCCCAGCTCTCTCTACACTCCGCTCATCCTTTCACCCTCGCCCTCCCCCCTGGAGTTCGATGACCGCATGAAGGCGATATGCAGGGTTGGCAGCATGTCCTTTACCCCCGCCCCTCAACGACGCCCACCAAAATCACCGAAGACAAGCCTACGTCAACCACCTCCCCCCCCTGGCAGCATGTCCTTTACCCCCGCCCTTCCACAACGCCCACCAAAATCACCGAAGCAGAGACGCGCACCATCTCCCCCGTCTTCATCACCGTGCCTACGTCAACCACCTCCCCTCCCTTCAAGAAAGCATCTGCAGTCTCCGAAGCCTGATAAGGATGTGTGTGTACAAAACGCAACAAACTATTTCTGATATGTGCTGGGTCCAGGCTCAAGGGCATATGGCACTCTCAACTCTTTCCAGGACATGCCGGGGCCCTGCCTGCCAGTAGCTTTGCCGATATCTGTGTTGATAGGTAATAGATTAAGAGCGGTAAATCAGCTTAGAAACAGGAAGTGCTCAAACGTTTGTGTGAGGTTATCAAATTTAGCAGTGATTCCATGTCAGCCACAGCTTGTCACAAATGTTTTTACTGATAGTGTATTTAACAAACTTAAACTAGCTTTATTAAATGTCAGGTCTTTGGCAGGAAAAACATTTTTAATCAATGATTTTATCACTGAGCACAATCTCGATTTTATGTTTTTAACGGAAACTTGGATTGAACAAAATAACAGTGCAGCTGTTCTTATCGAATCAACCCCTCCCAACTTTAGTTTTATGAGTCAGGAAAGAATGCATAAGAAAGGAGGTGGAGTTGCTATTCTGTTCAATGATTCCCTTCAATGCAGGAAGACATCTTATGGGGACTTTGCTTCTTTTGAATATGTGGCCCTTCAGCTGAAATGCTCCTCTCGAGCTCTGTTCCTAAATATCTATAGACCACCCAAATACTGTGCAAGCTTTTTTGATGATTTTACTGAACTGCTGTCTATAGTGTGTATTGACTTTGACCGTCTAGTCATTGTTGGTGATTTTAACATCCATGTTGACAACCCCCAGGACAGAGGGGCTAAAGAACTGTTTTGTGTTCTTGATAACTATGGACTGACTCAGCATGTGGCGGAGCCCACGCACAATAAGGGGCACACTCTGGACTTAATTATCTCAAAGGGTCTGAATATCTCAAAGGTTGTGGTGACTGATGTTGCACTCTCTGATCATTCCTGTGTTTTCTTTGAGAGCTCTATTTCTGTTCACAAAAATGTTCAGAAAGAGGTAACCACAAAGCGATATTTAACTGAAAATACTAGGGAAATGTTTACTCAGAATTTTTCATCCACACTCTCCCCTGCTAACATCTCAGTAAATGAGCTAGTAGATCATTTTAATTCAAAAATTAAAATGTTATAGATACCATTGCTCCAACTACGGTAAAGGAAGTGATTGGCAAGAAAATATCTCCATGGAGAAAGGCCATGACCGTGAGAACAGAAAAAAGAGAGTGTCGAAAAGCTGAACGTAGGTGGCGAAAAACAAATCTCCAGGTTCACTTTGAAATCTATAAAGAGAGACTTGGCCTTTATAATTTGGAATTGAAAAACGCACGACAGTCTTTCTTCTCTGACATCATTACCAAAAACAAAAACAACGCACGTGCCTTGTTTGCTACCGTCGACAGACTAACTAACCCCCCAGTGTCAGTAGCCTCTGAATTTCTATCCACCAGGGCGTGCAATGATTTTGCCTCCTTCTTCACTGACAAAATTCAGAAAATTAGACAAGCAGTCAGTGCCTCTGCATCAGGTACAGCAAATGTGTTGTCCCTATGTCCACCTAATATCAATTCAAACACCATGACACAATTCCATCAGATTAATGGTAAAAACTTAGAGGACATTATTCAACTTCTGAAATCCTCCTCCTGCTGCCTTGATATTATTCCAACAGGATTTTTCAAAGATGTTTTTCCTTGCATGGCCTCAGATCTACTTCATATAGTAAACACATCTCTTCACTCAGGTATTTTTCCAGAGGCCCTGAAAACTGCAGTCATTAAACCGCTCTTAAAAAAGAATAATCTAGATGCTTCAGTAATGAACAATTACAGGCCCATATCAAACCTGCCATTTCTAGGTAAAATCATTGAAAAAGTTGTATTTCAACAGTTGAGTAACTTCTTGCATTTAAATAACTCTTTGGATGTGTTCCAGTCAGGATTTCGTCCAAACCACAGCACTGAGACTGCTCTTGTAAAGGTCTTCAATGACATCCACTCAAACACAGACAGTGGCAGAACTTCAGTGTTAGTATTATTAGATCTCAGTGCTGCATTTGACACTGTTGACCACAACATATTACTAGACCGACTGGAAAACTGGGTGGGACTTTCGGCAACAGTTCTAAATTGGTTTGAGTCCTACTTAAAGGACAGAAAAAACTTTGTTTCTATAGGTAAATACACATCTGAGTTGACAAATATGACATGTGGGGTACCTCAAGGCTCCATCTTGGGGCCTCTTCTCTTTAACATCTACATGCTACCACTGGCTCAGATAATGAAAAACAACAAAATAAGTTACCATAGCTATGCGGATGACACACAAATTTACGTAACAATTTCACCAGGAGATTATGCTCCAATTCAAACACTGAGTAAGTGCATTGAACAAATCAATGACTGGATGTGTCAGAACTTTCTCCAATTAAACAAAAATAAAACTGAGGTAATGGTTTTTGGAGCCAAGGCAGAACGTATAAAAGTTAGCGCTGAGCTTCAGTCTGCAATGTTCAAAACAACAGATAAAGCCAGAAATCTAGGTGTAGTCATGGACTCTGACCTGAGTTTCAACAGTCACATTAAAACAGTTACTAAATCAGCCTACTATCACCTAAAGAACATATCTAGGATTAAAAGACTAATGTCACAGCAGGATTTGGAAAAACTTGTCCATGCTTTTATCTTCAGTAGACTCGACTACTGTAATGGTGTCTTTACAGGTGTTACGATATCCGATAGGACCCAAACGCAGGACACGGCAGAGTGTTGGAAAAAGGTTTATTGTGAGGTGGAGGAGCGTGGAGAGTAATCCGGTTGGAATGATGACTGGTGGCTGCAGGTGATGGTAACTAGGCGGCTGGAGAGTGATCCTGGAGCATAAGAGAAACAGGTGAGAAACGTATTCCATGTACAGAGAAATAGCTTAAATCGGCTAAGAAGGCTGAGAGTTACCACTGGGGTTTAAACAACGATCTGGCGCTGACATGTTGTGGAGCCTCCGCTGATATACCATTAGTAAATGGCTGAATGGGAATCAGGTGTGTAAGCTGATTGCAGCAGGTGGAGATTTGCAGCAGGTGGAGATTGAGCCGGGAGCCAGGAGTGACAGCCACCACGCCCACACAGACAGGGAAAGGGAACACACACTCACAAGGGAGGTGGCTGAAGAGTAGAGCCACCACAACAGGTCTCACTAAAAAATCTATTAGAAAGCTGCAGCTAATTCAGAACGCCGCTGCTCGAGTCCTCACTAACACTAAGAAAGTGGATCACATCACTCCTGTTCTGAAGTCCTTACACTGGCTTCCTGTGTGTCAAAGAATAGATTTCAAAATACTGCTGCTGGTTTATAAAGCTTTGAATGGTTTAATGGTCAAAATACATGTCTGACCTACTGCTAAATTATGAACCATCCAGATCTCTCAGGTCTTCAGGGACTGGTCAGCTTTCTGTCCCCAGAGTCAGAACTAAACATGGTAAAGCAGCATTCAGTTATTATGCTCCAAATATCTGGAACAAACTCCCAGAAACCTGCAGGTCCGCTGCAACTCTTACTACTTTTAAATCCAGGCTGAAGACTTTTCTTTTTGCCGCTGCTTTTAATTGAACTATTCACATCTTAAACTGCACTGTAACTTTTAACTTTTATCCATGTATTTTTTCTTTTAATGTTTCTTTTATTATCTTTTCTTTTTAATGACTGATTTTAAATGCCATTTTCATAATGTTTTCCATTTTTGTAAAGCACTTTGAATTGCCTTGTGTTGAAAGGTGCTATATAAATAAACTTGCCTTGCCTTGCCTTATGCCACAGCTGAATAGCTCTCTTGGTCAAAGCAATTTAATTCATATTTCCAAGGTCAACAATACAATACAAAGAGATGAATCTGAACACCAGTGGAGGCGAGACGTGAATTAAATGCACAGTTCCCTAAAATACATCTAAGGCTATAAATGTTTGAGTATGCAGCACTCATACATGTGGGTTCATTATTCCTATTCCAACATTGTTCCATCTCCGTGACAATAGTGAGTGAAAGCTAGGAAACGTGCAAGGTGGCTGACCAGCGGTGGCAGCCTGAATGACACAACCACTCTGGAGAGAAAAGAGAAGCTAAAAACATGTGAGCGTTTGGCTTAGAAACCCCCTCAATCCAGAATGTTTTGTCCATTTCAAGGTGCATCTGGTTGACTGACTGAAAACGTTGTTCCAAACCCAACAATACATCTAAAGTATAAAAACATTTCCACACAAAGCTGACAAAATACTCTTTTTTATCTTCCAGTTCCCAGCCTCCCACAAAGAAATGTTATTAAAATGCAGAAAACATCAACTTATTTCTTTTTTTCGTGATGATAACTTCAGGTAAGATAATTACAACAGCCGCTCTTCTTCCTCCGCAGGCTGAGGGGGTTCAACATGGACTCCAGGATACTCTGCAACTTCTACAGGTGCACCATAGAGAGTATCCCTACTGGCTGCATCACGGCCTGTTACGGCAGCTGCACCGCCCTCAATCGTAAGGCTTTACAGAGGGTGGTGAAAACTGCACAGAACATCAGCAGGACGGAGCTGCCATCCATGGAGGACCTTTACTCCCAGCGGCTCAGGAAGAAATCCCTCCGGATTATAAAAGACCCCCATCACCCCAGCCACAAACTGTACTGTCTGCTGCCGTCTGGCAGGCGCTACCGCAGCATCCGGACAAAAACCACCAGACTCAGGGACAGTTTCATCCCACAGGCAATAAGACTATTAAACACCTGAACTGTTGAAGCCAAATCTGTTAAACACCTGAACAGTTGAAACAACATTCCTAATATTAATCTGGCTGCTACTTAAAAATTATTTTAAAATCATTTATCTATTTACCTATATATCCTATTTCAATAACTTGCATATAGACTCTTATTGCACTATTTCACTTTTTTAAAACTATTTTTCTTTTTGTATTACCATTTACATTTTTTGTGTTGCTCTGATTTTCATCAGCATAACTACACTGTAGCTATGTTCGTATGACTAAATAAAGAACCTTGAACCTTACAAATCAATAAATAGAAGAAAATAATTGTAAATCGAGTTATTAAACTTAATGTACAAAGAAAACGATGGTAGTATTATTGGTGCAGTTTGTCCCTTTGCATGTGCTGCTAAACATCATTGCCTGAAAGTTTGAATAGTTGCTTTTGTCACATTCACACTGAGAGCTGCCCTCAATTTGGTCAACAACAAGCAGCCCGGAGGACTTTTATTATTCTAAATTATTTCCCCACGGTGGTGAGTTTTTCTTTTATTGTAAACTGGAATAAATCAAAGTAGAATAATAATACGTTTTGTATGCACACTTCAACCAGAACTAAATATTCCAATAAAAGGTTTACAACTCCACCTTTCAAATGCCACACACAATTTACAGCTGGCTCTGAATGGACTTCCTCCCTGACTGCATCGGTCAGGCAGGTTGCAGGCAGCACGTTGGACGACTGAGTGTGGGCTTGAATCCTGTTTTTCTTTTTAAATGATGTCCAAACAAATGAAAAACATGACTGCTAGTTTCTGTTAATGAGATTTGCATAATCAAGCATCATCACACTCCACTTTGCTCTAATTTGTCTCACTCATCACAAGCCCGAGCACTTCAGACCCTCTCTCCAGCCACTCGTCTCCACTGTGTTGGTTGACACTTTGTATCTCTTCATGTTGTAAGTGCGGCTGTAATCCATCCTGCTTGCAGCATCACAAGCATCACATTAGCTGAACATGGCAGAATAAAGTTGCAAAGCCAGTGTTTTCAATCAAAGGCCGTTTGTTGTAACGCGCCACTACACTGGAGGCATCAGATAGATGATATAGAATCTTTTATTCTTTTGTATATTAAAAAGAATACATAACATGACTCAGTTATTATGGAAACCATTGAATATTTATTTTCCGGATAGAAAGAGGAACATGTGAGCAACAAACGACAAATGATAGCTTTCAGCCACTATTGCTCTGAAAGTGCATGCAGCAAACTTGTAAAGGGTTATAATGTGGACATGTTGATATCAGCTGCCTTGCTCAGATGAAAGACAAAACTCTCTCTCTCTCCATGAATTCATGAATAAATAAACAAGACAAGAATCTATGCTGGGTGGATCTCTCTCTTTCTCTCTCTCTGCTCTTTCTTCAGTTCTTTTTCCTAATATCCAGTCCTCCATCTTTCCTTCAGTCTTTTGCTTTCATGAATTAATGAATAACTTCAGAATCTAAGAAATGTCTGTATCCATCTTGCTTTCACTTTTTCTGCTTTTATTCATAAATTAGTAATCAGAAAATGTTAGGACAAAAATTCAGCTGTACGAGCAAAGTTGTTCTTTCCTTTTCTTCCTCTTCCTCTCAGTCAATTTCTGAGGGACTAGGTTCTTGTGTTCTTCGGATATGCTTTTTCCTCTGTTCTTTCCTTGTTATGTTTCTCTATCTACTCTTCTTCTTCAGCCGTGCTCTTTGATTGTCTCTTGCCCTTTCTCTCCCATCTCTGCATTCACTCCACATTGCCATTTGCAGTTAATCAGCACTAATAATGATTGTAACTTGGCCTAAGTCCAATCGTGCAAACTCATCATGAACACAAGCATGGCGTGCACATGGAATACACACATTAAACCACACACCAACACGCTCTCAGATAAGCTGTAAATGACTAACTTAGATGTGACTGTGCATGTGTGGGTGATGATTCATGGATGCACAATAACAGCCACTTATCAGCCTGAGGAAAGACAATGGCATCGAGCGAGATAATAACTCATATTTACTCTGCTACACGAACACAAGAGAGAATCTGAGGGAGTGTTTATTGTACCTGGTGGGACTCCAGTGGAGATGGTGGAGGGTGTGACCACGCCCCGTCCTGCGGCAGTGAGCGCGGCCACCTGCAGTGTGTACAGTGTGGTGGAGGTGAGGCCAGTCAGCTGGTGCTGCAGGGTGGAGTTTGAGAGTGTACGTTCCACCCGACCCGACTCTACGCCTGGCACTTCCCACCACAACACGTAGCCTGCAGGGTGTAGAGCACACACTGGGTTAATAAAGGTGAACATAGACATGAGCGGACATGTGTGCACACAAACACATGCACACGCACACACAGTATAATGAGAGGTTCAGAGCCAAAAAGGAGGAAGAGAGGGAGGGAGGGGTTACTACAGAGAAAATCCCCGTCTGTCCGTACGCATCTTCACAGTCATGCATCACACTCCACCACCTTCAATTACGTGTGTGTGTGCATGTGTGTGTCTGTGTGTGGGATGCCACTTGTAGGTAAAGCCCTGGAGAGGGTGAATGGTCCCTCATCTGTCTCTGTGCTCACCTGGAGCTGGACGAAAGCAGGTTGAGGAGAAAAGAGTAAATGTGGAAGGTGACCTTCATTAAATAACTGTGTCCCCCCCCCCCCCCTTACACACAATGTGTAAGCAGTCTGTAAAGCCATTGCATCCTGATGCTGACACACTGTGATCTTGTTGTGTAGGTGCCTGATGAATGTCCGGCATGGTGCGGCCATGTCGACAGCACACACATACATACGTACATAATGTACGCATACAGACACACACACACACACACACACACACACACAATGTAGTGTAATCGCATAATTCACAGCACCATTCTTTGAACAGAGCTATGGACGAGCTGAGGCGAAAAAGATTTTGGGAGAAAAGTGCCTTAAGCTCTGTGATGCGCCACACAAACAACCACCCTGGGTGTTGGGATGCGTGGGATGAGGGCATGTTGGAGATAATGTGAGAAGACAAGCTGCAGAGAGAAGGGATTAGCTGATGATGAATCAGTTGTACACACACAGTGTCGGAGACAAGGGGTGTCCGTGGACGCCAGACACTAAATAAAAGACTAAGTGAAGATTTCTGAAGAAAATATAAAAGTTTTAGGCTTCCTTGCTCACTGCTGCCTCAAGGGGATGCTTGCCGCTTTTTCAGTTCAATTTGTTATTCTACACACTGTTTTGGTCCACCTGTGAAGAATCCTTTTTAATTGGAAACGCTGGGCACATAATGTTTTATCATTGTGCATTTTATTTTCTGGCAAGAACATACTACCTTAATTTAAGCTCACCTTACCACAGCTGTTAGTGGGACTGAAAATAATGTCTTAAAATTAAAGTTTCTTGATTATAGAAGAAAGATGGAGGTGGTGGAGGAATGCATGAGTGAAAATGCTTTTACCGGTGATGATGCCGTTCTTATCTTCAGGCTCTGCCCAGCTGACTCTGAGAGACGTGTCCAGGATTTCAGTGAAGCTCAGGTGACGAACAGGTCCAGGTGCTGGAAAAAACATACATCAGATTTAATGAGTAATATTTTTATTAAATCAGCAGTACGGTTTTAGGAAATCATGCCATCCACACGAAGCACACAAACCCATTGTATATGCAACCCATTACTTTCTGCCCTTCAACTCCACACACTACCTCCTAATCACGTCAGCATTGACCACCACGCACACACATGCAGTCAGGTGCAAGCATGCCTGTCATTTCTCATTTCATGTAGTGCTCTCTAACCACTCTCCCTGCAGAGCGATTAAGCTATTCATCTGAGACATTCAATAACACTCACACACATACACACACACACGCAAAAAGCTATCATCAAGCAAGAATTACACCCACCGTTAACCCTGAAACCCACCCAGCACCCAATCAATACCAGTCCATGGCGCTGTGAGAGTGTGTGCATGTGCGTGTGTGTGTGTGTGTGTGTGTGTGTGTGTGTGTGTGTGTGTGTGTGTGTGTGTGTGTGTGTGTGTGTGTGTGTGTGTGTGTGTGTGTGTGTGTGTGTGTGTGTGTGTGTGTGTGTGTGTGTGTGTGTGTGTGTGTGTGTGTGTGTGTGTGTGTGTGTGTGTGTACACACGTCTTCTAATATCCCTTTCCCACTCGATAATTGCTGGTTGGTAATAATTGCTTGTCGGTCTGGCTATAGGCTATTGTGTTTATTTGATGGTGCGACTGTGTGCATGTGTACTTGCAACTGGGAGTGGCAGCTATTATGTTTATCCATGGAACAGTAGGCTATAAATACCAGTATGCCTGGAAACATAGAAATTAGAAAAAGAGACAGTCGAAAAAAAAAAGGGGGGGGCAGCTAAGAACAAAAAGATTCAAAAGTAGACTAAAGAAAGTATGAGCCTGAGAGACGACATTGTGTTCACAGCTGTGACTCACACTGATAGAAAACAGCTGGACTGAACGCAGAGCAAATCAAAACACTTTCATTATTATTCACAGGAGAGGCTGATGGCGTTCTTTTTGTTCTGGCTTTATTCACATTGAAGCATGAGTGGGTGTTTGTGTGTGTGTGTGTGTGTGTGTGTGTGTGTGTGTGTGTGTGTGTGTGTGTGTGTGTGTGTGTGTGTGTGTGTACTCACTGTCCTCGTGTGTCTGCAGCAGAATGGGGGAGCTTCTGGGGCCGTCTCCAGGTGTTGTGAAGCAGAGGGTGGAGCCAAAGTACCAGTTGAATTTCTTCAGTCCGCTGACCAATCCTGTGTGGCGAGAACCAGGGTAGTCCGGGGTGATGGTTACCACGATAACCTCCTCTGGAGACTTCTCTGGCCACACCAGCAGCTGTGTCGAGTGAGAGAGATGGTTAGTGGAGATGTCTAGGTCAGTAGCTGCAGTGGCTCAGTCTGTAGAGACTTGTCTTGGGTCGCTGGTTCAAGTCCCAATAAGATGTGTCCTTGAGCAATGCACCAAATCCACAACTGCTCTATGGCGCCATAAAACATGACAGTTTGCAATGACACCGCTCCATAAAGAAGATGCATGTGTTTGAGCATGTGTGTATTCAGACCTCATGTGTATAGGTCCTGTGCATGTGTGTACTTGTACTGTCTATGTTCATACTAACAGACCACAGAAAGTGGCTGCTTCTTCTTAAATAATCCATCACAGTTATGAGTTTATTGCACAGTATATATTGCAGCTATCATATACACATTTATTCATCGTTTATTTTTTGGAATAGTCTTTCCAACACTTGGTGGAGTTTGTGTGCAGCGAGGCGAACAGTTGGAAGTGATAGGATGAACACAGTTAATGACCATGAAGCCATTCACACACTTGTTTGTTTTGTTTTAATGTTATTATACTTAAAAGCCTTGCAAGCTACATAATTTGTGCATATTTAGTTCACATGTCTAAACTAATGTTTCACACAGTGACTTTAAGTTGCAATAGTCAGTCAGTTATTTTGTTTAGTCATTATTTTAATCAAGCAGTATTAGCTTGAGGCTACCAAGTCCAAATATTGTTATTCAGGCTGCGTTTATGAGACAAAACTTCGTACCAGTTAGAGCTATTGTGAATCTTCTTATGAATCAGGCTGATTCCCATGGGTTTATGTCATTAAAGTTTAAAATTGCCCAATGCTATTTACACATTTTCAAAATGGCAAAACAATAGTCATGTTTCATTTCCGCTAAAAGCTTTCTGCGCTCCAAATATATTAAAATGTAAGCATTTATTTACGTATGAATTTGGCACTTTACATAAATTCCTGCTAAGAGGTCATTATCAGTCATAACAGCATCTGAAGTTTGATTATTAGTACGACTAAAGGCCTAATGAAAAGTGAATTTGCCTGTATTGTGAGTCTTAATTCATATTCAGAACCACACTAGTTTGGTTTGCATTATTGCTTTATACACAAAAACAACAGGGAAAAGCACACACTTACATATTGAGATAAGCCATGGGCAAAACTGTGATGTGGCACAATATTTATAGTTCCTAGTTAGACATTAACTGGCTAAGATGTGAAGTTTTCATCAGAATAATGCAGTGCAATGGCTTAGAGGTAAGCAAAAGAGCTGTTTATACAAAAGCTGCATTTAATTATAGAATTTAACATGTCTTTTTAATAGCATACTGTTGGTTAGACATTTACATTCATTAGCAGTGCGTTGCCGTCGGGATGCAAAGCAAAGCCTCTGTTTGTTTCTGAAAACGCTGACCTGTATGCACATTGTCTGAATACTGTGTGTTCTCAATGCTTTGCAAACACCACCACCGTCCAATCTGTTGTCTTAAATCTTCACTGTGTTGTCAGCTATGTCCTCTTTCATCTGGTCTAATTCTCTGCACAGTAAATTATGTAACAGAATAGTAACCAACGCTGTTGATTAGGCAACAGGCTTGTTTCTGTGTGCAGTGTTACTGATGGCATACAGAGCATGAGCCACACTCATGTTCTCCACACTGTCCTTGTACGGCATGAATTCCTATTATCACAAGGGCAGCGATGTGCGAAAACTTGTACGTGAGGTCAATCTTCACTTTGATGAATAATACAAATGACTTGATGAGATTCAGTTGTCCTTACTGAACAGCGTCGGACAATCTTCTGCTGCATCGTAAACCAAGACAGCGATATATCAAAACATTGTTAAAGTTCATTTAATCAGCTTTGTGCAGTATTTCCTATACACAACACATTATTACGTATAATCACGCTGACAGGAAGGAGGCCAAACAATGTGGTGGGTAACCTTTGGTCCAGACTATTAACCATGAGCTTTTGAAACATCACCATGCTCTTCATCTCATCCTAACCTTCAGACAGGCGCCTCTCATAAAGGAAAGTGTTTAGGACTCCCACGCTTCTCAAAATACCAAACCACAACCATCAAAACAATGCAAAAATCATACGTTCATAAGTCCTATAGTTTTTCAGATTAAGTGCAAAGCTCCAAAACTTGAATAATGTATCAGTTAATATATATGCCCATAAATAGTCTTCTTAGGGGAAAAACAGAAGCATTAGGATCCCATATCTATATTGCATGGATGTAGTTATAGCTAATAACTGTATACAATGTCAGTTTTGTCTTTACATTTTTCTAGGATCTTTTTTTATACACTCTGTAATGGTTTTAACAATTTATGCCATTTGGCTCTTAATTACTTTGATATGCCATTTGTCTTTTTAATATCCTGATTCATGTTATGTATTTTATGGATATATTCATCATCGCCACATTTGTTCTATAGCAGGGGTATTCAACTAAAATTCAACGAGGTCCAGTTAAAGAAAATCTCCCCATGCAAAGGTCCGGAACATCAAAATGTCTAAGTTGCTTTATGAATTAGTGTGATATATATTGAAGTAACCTGTAGCTGTATCAACGTCTGCATGTAATCAACAACTGACTGCCAATCAAATAAAGAAAGTACAATTCTAAAACAACAATATTTATTGTCAATTAACATTGTACTGATACAGATATACAGTAAATACTGTGGATATGTGTAATGTTCCTCTCGGGCTGCATTTAAAAATTAAATAGAGAAAATAAATAAAATAGCTTTTGAAAATGTGTGCATCTTAAAAGTGCTTAATTTTAGATAAATAAAGTGGAGCAGCAGCTTGAGTTTCCCTTTTTCTTTGTTAACCGTTTCACATCATGACCTAACAGTTTCAGCCGATGATAGAACAATATCAGTCTTTACACATCAGAACAATTGAACAGTTTTAAAGTTTCTCTTTCTTTCCCTCTTATATTGCAGTCCCTCACTCGCTTTCTTTTGTTCAGTGCAAGAATTGAGCTCGAGCTTGTCCTGCCAGGAGTTTGTAAATCTGGGCTGAAATGGTGTCAGGGCCATTCTCATACACACATGCAGGTGCTCATTGGTTAGCCTGGAACGATATTTAGTTTTAATTTTGATCCTGGTGGACTGATCATATTGGGCTCTGAGAATGCTAATTTTTTTGTGACCTCAGTTCTGACTTGAGAGGGAATGTTTGGTCAAACACTTTGTGTTTTGTCTCATAGTGGCGTTTTGGCACTTTTAATGAGCGCCACGGTCTCTGAACAAATGAGACACACTGGTGTTGTGCTCCCAGTGGGCATGATGAACATGAATGAGTCCGTCCACTCAGGATTAAAAGCTCTGTTCTCACTGTCCACTTTCCTCTTCTTGGAGAGCGCCATGTGTAATTATTTGTCTCTCCCTGTCTGCCGCTAACACGCCTGTTCACTCTCCTCTCCGCTTCTCTCCCTGTATCGCTAATTATTCTCTTCACTCACTTTCCTCTCCAATTCTCTCTGCCGCTCTCTCATCTCTTCTTCTGTGTTTCTCTCCCTGTATCGCTCACTCGTCTCTTTCGCCCCCTGTCGGCAGCGGTTAAATAGAATCGCCCCGTCAAAATTGAAATCCCCTATTAATGTATTGATTATAGGTCCGGGTCCGTATAGGTCGGCGTCTGGGTCCGGACCGCGGTCCGCCTGTTACTGAACTATGTTCTATAGTATTTCTGCACTGGTAAAAAAAGTATCTGGACTACAGGTTCAGTTAGCTCTTAATATATTCCCAGTTACATTTTATATGTCTCCATTATAATATAATATTTCCGACTGTGTATCTATATACTGTCAAGATTTTTGAAATAAGTGATACAAAAACAAACGTATATTGCCTGATACACTAAAAAAGGTTTGCTCTATCACTGTACAAACTGCCTATTATCTCTCTGAAATAAGAACCCAATCAGAAATAAAGGAACTTCCTAACGGGATCTGTTACCCAGAGAGAGCTAAGTGGCTGCTTTCTCTCCCCGCCTAAAGGGTGCCGCACTGCGAAGTCTGACATGGTAAAAGAAGGATTTGAATTGTACTTCATTATCAGTACAGTACAGTTTGGGTGCATTAAGAGTGTGCTGATCTTGCACCCTCGAGCATCTGATGCCACTCCTCGTTCAAAGGGTGCTGGATGATTGGGTCTGCTGTTGAGATAGTAACATGTGACTTCTGGAACTGATTGCTATGGAAACCAAAAGTGTGCTGAAGAACATATAACAACACAAATTGATCTGCCACATGCGGTACATCATGTATAGGGCAGAATTATTTATAAAGTGTTCCATATACTGAGCTGGTTAGTGCATATACTCCATATACTGTATATTTCTGCATAATTTGCTGTCAATGCATCTTTTTTTCAAGACGAGAATTCAAATGCAATTCCATTAAAGTGGCAATCTGGAAGATTTCCATTTAAATAAATGTCTGTCAAGTCAAAATCTATCTCCCAATGAGGTTACACAATAGTGATGCAAATATTGCAAAATGTATACAGTTGCTGTATTATGAACTGTGTATCTGTGGCTATATTCCTAGGAAGAAATGCTGCATTCAATTACTGCTAATGCAAACCAAACATTTCCTTCTTTTGCAGCTTCACATAAAAAGCATTTAACTGGCTAATCTTGACGTGACTTTTATTATTATATATTTTATTATCACAGGAAATGCAATGTGTTTTTTTTTATAGAAGGTTTCACACTGGCTGCTATGGATCATTAAAATGCATCCACTAAACAACAAAACTGTCATTTTTGTTGCATTATTCATAGCTGATTAGTTTGAAATATTGCAGGAACAGCCAGTGAGCTGTTGGATGAAGAGCTGCAGGCAACAGGATGGACACCTCCACCTTCTCAGAAAGGTAACACCCTCCTTCAACACCACCAACCGCTACTTTCACTGTCTCTATGGCCAATTATTGCCTGACTTCTCTTGCTGCCCCCAGTATTCTGAGACATGTTGTATTGAACTACATTTCCTGTTACCATCAGTAAAAGGGCTAAATTAACCAGGACTCAAATCGCAATTTTAATGTAAAACTCTTGCTCTGTTCTTCGTCAGTAAGTATGTTTAGATAGATGGATAGAAAGATAGCTGGAAGGAAACATTTTAGTAAGAAAGAAAAGAGAACGAAATAATTCAACTTGTCTTGAACTCCTCTCCACTTCAACAGAAAAACTAAAGTAAGCCATATGAAGACAGCTTCAAGGACATGGAAAACGCATCAGAAGTGGCTCTTTGGTTCCCCCTCAGGATATCATTTATTCTTAAGGGTATTGTATACAGTCAGTGATCTGTGGGGGGTGAGATGAGATGAAGATTTGCTTCATATCCTCTTTTAATTAATATCATTATCTACTGTCCTCTTACCGGCACAACACACCAGAAGAGGCACATCCACATGCAGCGGCACCGAGAGGCTCCACTGATTCTGAGTGGTAAAGCGTGGTATCCGGAGATAGCATCAAAAAGCCACATCAAACAGAAAGAACGCCATAGAGTATTTATCACCGAACAAAGACACAAACATCCACACGCACACGGACCCAGTGACGCGCAGCAAGAATGTGATGTGTTTTCTTTGTCATGTTAATCCGTTCCTTAGGGGTTGGATGCCACAATAAAGTGACGAATAAATCACCTAGCAGAATTACTACATACAGTATAGATCACTCACACTGTTCAATCCTTAGCTCTCACCCTGCTCCCCATTATCCTGCTTCTTCATTATCATCTCCTATTTCTCTCCGGTCGCTTGCTCCCTATTTTCTCAACACGTTCTCTTCACTTTCCCTATTTAATCCTTTCTCTTTTTCCTCTATCAGTCATTTTCATTTCTACCTGGAGCTGATCCCTCACTTGGCTGGGCTAAGCGTTTGGGTAAACAAGAGCAAGGCAATGCATTCTGGGACATGACCTATGAGTTGGAAGTCCTATGAGAGGTTAATAAGGTTTTTCACCAAATGTACCCACTCACCAGAACAGAGGTGAGGCTTTATTTTAGAAGCAGCTATCTCTATCTTAATTTAAACTGTGGAATTGATGAAAATAGATGAATGTTTTATTATAGACTGTTTTTTGAAATCTTCTTTAAAAGATCCACAGATAAGAAGACTTGGAAATGAGAACTTAGTATTAATAAAATACTGGCTCTTTACTTATCTGCCGCGATGCATATTTAATATCATTTTGATTTTAGTATCGGGGCAGGGGTTGTTTTTACTTTTAAGAAAATTATGATGAAGGATGAGTAACCTTATGAGGACATTAGGCCTACATTAATTTTTCTGTATCATTAACTTACAACTAAAATAATTACATTACTAATCAATCTCTCCATGCAATAACGGTGAGATGCAGCCCACATGAAAAAAACTGAACGTACAGTTCTATGCTTGATGTTTTACCCGAGTTATAACACACACACACACACACACACACACACACACACACACACACACACACACACACACACACACACACACACACAAGCACAGAGGCTTACCTTGTATCCCTGGTTGATGCCATTAATAAACTGCTGAGGCGGCGGGCTCCATGTGAAGCGGATGGTAGTCGAGTTTATAGCCAAAACTTCCACTTCCTGCGGAGGTGCTGTGGGAACTACACACACAGATCACACACACACAAACACACACGCATTAACATTAAGCAGCAATGTGCCCACCACAGGGAAGTAGATGATTGTTTGGATACATTGGAAAAATATACAGTAACAAACCTGGAGCCCTGAGCTGCACAGGTACAACAGGGTTCTCAGGGTTATGTTTTTACTTTTTAAACAAGTGGTGGTTGGACATATATTATACAGCACCATATTTCAGTATTTCACATTGATATTCAGTTCTTTTTTTAATTAAAAAAGATCTGCTTAGCTTGCAAAAGTTAAATGCCAAACCTACGCTGATATTCTCTGCTGCAAAATGACCTAATTTTTCAATGAACTTAATCTCATCTTTTGTGTTAAGCATTCTTGTGTTTCAGAGCATCAGTTAAGGAAATACTAAGTGAGATTCGGGGACAGCCCGGGGCGCTGAACAATGACGGCCTATAAAGACAGTGAATATGATGAATTAAACCTATTAAGTCTACTGGTCAAAGATTTGAGAGGCAGACAGTGGAGGCAGAACGTCAGATGACTGGCTGGAGTTCTTGGTTCAGACCTGTAGCAACATCTCTCTCTCCTCTTTCAGGGTCATAAGTTTTGATCATTCAAAAAAATACAATTTATTTGAAAGTTCAAGTTTTTATCCTGAACTTTGAAAAATACAATGATGTATTCAAAATAAAAATAAGTATTTGAAATCATTTTTTAGGTTGAATATTATTTTGATTCAGTTCATTTTTTTGAATAAAATATTTATTTTCAGATTTCACTTTTATACATATTTTGATATTTGAATCCTTCTTTTTTTCAGTTGCAGATTTTTCGTTTTCAGATTCAAAACAATTATTTTTTCAGTTTCAAATCTTGTTTTTTCAGGTTTCACATTGCTTTTCACCTTCAGATCGTTTTTCACTTTCAGATCTTTTTTTTTTCGCTTTCAGATCTTTTTTTTTCGCTTTCAAACTTTTGGCCCTGATGTTGCTTGGGGGGCGGGGCTTACCAAAGAGTAGTTTGGCATCCTGATTGACAGGCCTCCCTCTGTCATGTTGCCTTCATGGATGTAGGTAGCGTGAGAAATATAACTCAATACTTTCTATACACAATACTCCCGTGATTGGTGGTAAACAAAACTGATACCAGCGTCAAAGTTCCGTTAAGCGAGCTGTTGAGCATCGTAGTTGGCAACAATCAAGGTATAAGCGTAATAAACTGTGCTAGAATGTGAAATTACGTATCCGCAACGAGCCAGCAGGTTGTTCTGGTGGACCTGACGGACATCCCCCGCTGTCTCACGGAGAGATACCGCAGGTCCTTCCTTCCTGCAGCGGTCAGACTATACAACCAGCACAGCCCTAGTAGACCCCGCACAAAACAACACAGACTATAACACCTCTTGTTGATAAATACCAACTATGTGCAATATTTGCAATATGTGCAATATATATATGCCGTTAAAAACTGTGCAATATATACCTGGCTGCTAAATCCGCAGAACTGTTACAGGGTGTGTATTATGTAAAATGTGTAACTTTAAAAAAATATATAATTTCTTTTTTTAATCTTTAATACTTTTGTTATGCATGCTTTAGGTAACATTAAGCTGTATTTGGCTCTTGTCTGCTGTAACAATGTAAATGTATCCCCTGTGGGACTAATACAGGTATTCTGATTCTGATCGCAAAAACCAAGCCAATACTATGCTGCGTTCATGGAGCTACGTGGAAGTGGGGAAGGACAACACTTGATTGCGGATACGTAATTTCACATTCCAGCACAGTTTATTGCGCTTATACCTTGATTGTTGCCAACTACGATGCTCAACAGCTCGCTTAACGGAACTTTGACGCTGGTATCAGTTTTGTTTAACACCAATCACGGGAGTATTGTGTATAGAAAGTATTGAGTTATATTTCTCGCGCTACCTAACATCCATGAAGGCAACATGACAGAGGGAGGCCTGTCACTCAGGATGCCAAACTACTCTTTGCTAAGCCCCGCCCCCCAACCAACATCAGGGCCAAAAGTTTGAAAGTGAAAAAAAAAGATCTGAAAGTGAAAAACGATCTGAAGGTGAAAAGCAATGTGAAACCTGAAAAAACAAGATTTGAAACTGAAAAAATAATTGTTTTGAATCTGAAAAACGAAAAATCTGCAACTGAAAAAAAGAAGGATTCAAATATCAAAATATGTATAAAAGTGAAATCTGAAAATAAATATTTTATTCAAAAAAATTGCTGAACTGAATCAAAATAATATTCAACCTGAAAAATGATTTCAAATACTTATTTTTATTTTGAATACATCATTGTATTTTTCAAAGTTCAGGATAAAAACTTGAACTTTCAAATAAATTGCATTTTTTTTAATGATCAAAACTTATGACCCTGAAATAGCTCCATAGCACTGCAGCAATTTAGTATTGCATTCACATGAAGTTTTAGAAATGGAAAGAGCCAGGTTATAATAAAGAATTGACAACACCATAAATAATCGAAATCAAAAGACAAGTTTTGGATCTTGTCTTTTAAATAGTATAAAAGATATGCTTTCTGAATGCCCACTTCTTCCAAACTCCACATCTATACTTTGTATTGTGGGTTTTCTGTTAATAAAACATATGCAATCCGAAGCTGATGCTCGGTTATTTCTTTCAAAATCTCTGTCTAAAGCCAAAGAAAACACTATCTCACAAACTGCATAGTACTTCATATAACCAATAAACTGAAGTTATAGTGCTAAGTTAGTGAAGTGTAACTATTCTAACCATGGGAAATGTATTCACTTGCTTAAAAACATCTATACATTCTTCTAACAATCAGTGATAAACTAGGAGACCAGTTTTTCTGTGTTTGAATTTGAATGTCAGTTCAAAGACTTGAACAATAAAAAATGAAATAATAAGAATTTGAAGTCGAACAAAAGCAAAAATAGTAATAATTGAGAGAGTAAATAAAAGAGCAGCAATAAGTCTGTTTGAAGCGTGTAAAACTTGGCCGTGGCATTCATCATCCACCAGAGAGTGAGATGGAGAAGACAGGGTGCTAAGAGAGATAAGAAATTGTGTATATATTACAGCGGTTTCCTCTATGAAATGTAGGGGAAAGTAAACAGGATGCTGTCTGGAGTTAAAATTGGTAAACACAAGTAATGCACTGATTTATTCCTTCCTATCCAAGTATCGTCCACTGGGCCTCATGTCTTTTCTTCACATTTTCCTTCATGGAAGTGTATAAATGTTCCTTTATATGTGATTATTTATGCATTATATAGAATGCATCACGGCAGCAGTCAGCAGAGAAAGAGGGTCCATGATAACGCTTGGCAAGAGGAGAAGAGTGTGACCGTGAAATGTGTGTGTGCATGTGTGTGTGATATACATACAGTATGTGTGTCTGTTGGCACATGTGATGGTGATTACACTGTAAGGGGTTTATGCTGATGCTACAGAGCCACAGAGTGATGAAGCACTGTTGCATGATGGGAATGCCCTTTACATCTTACGTTTGAGCCAAAGAGGCCATGAGACACAGAGAGAGAGGAGAGGGAGAGAGAGTGAGAAGAGAGCCAAAGGAAGAGAAGACAGAGAGGGAGAGGGAAGATGAATTGATGTGAAAGATGCTCTCCCTTCCTCCCCCCCGCCACGCTGACTATACTCCTGGGGATCGGCTTCTAACCCCTCGCAGCTCACAGCCGCAGATAAAACACTAAACTCTGTGCTCTGGGGGATCCTAATATACGCGTACGGCTGTGTTTGAGAGAGCGGGAGAAGAGCAGTGTTATCAGAGTCCAACACTGAGTTCAATCACATCCTCTCAGAGATAGTGAGAGAGAAATGTCCAATCCATCGCAGACACTCCCATTAAAACACATTAGAATAATTAATGAGCCTAACTCCATCTCCCGAGTCTATAAACCTGTCCTGAACTCTTGTAATAATGACAGTGAGTTTTATGTGCACATGTGTGTGTGCGTAGTCCAACCCGTCTTTAATAATGATTATATACTGTCGAAATAAAAGTCAGGACATTTTTAGAAGAAGATTTACCCCAACAACTACTTCCTCTCGTCTCCCTTTAACGTCTTCACTTACAATCTCCCGTCTTTCACTACATTCGCATTGATTTATGTTTGAAAGACTTTGAAGTGTGTTCTTCTGCACAGCCATGTTTAATACAACACACTATAAGTATCATATAATATATTTATAGAGCAGCACAGACATTAACTTCCTCCAGCTCATCCTGTAGCACCCTGAGGTGCTCCTTGGCCTGATGGGAGGTATAATCCCTCCAGCAAGTCCTGGGCGGCCCCTTGGGTCTCCTCCCAGTTGGTTGAAGCTGATTTATGTGTTTGAGGAGACGCCTCAGGAGCAACTTTGACTTGAGTGTGAACTACATCAATTGGCTCCTCTCAAAGCTAGAATCCTCATCATATCACTGAGAGAGAAGCCAACCAGCCTTTGGAAGGACTGCCGCCTGAAACTGTGATCTCAGTAGTCTATCCAAAAACTTACAAAATACCGAACCATTATTAAAACATGTTACCATTACAGAAATGGATGTGTAGTGGCTTTTAACTAGGGATATATGCAGCCACATAATTGCTTCAAAATATATCCACATTAAAAGCAAATCTGGGAACATTTTAAATGACTGGATAAAGACAATGAATATGATCAATTAAATCTATTAGGTCTAAGTTAGATTCCTGGCTGGAGTTGTTGATTCAGACCTGTAGCAACATATAGAATAGAATTGGGAAGGATGAAACCCTCTTTAATGGTCACACATGCAGAGCACACACAGTGACATTTGTTCTCTGCTTTTAACCCATCCTAGTACCAGGAGTCTAGTACTAGGAGCAGTGGGCAGCTATTGTACAGCGCCCGGGGAGCAATGGGAGTGAGGGTGGAAGCGGGGTGTCCGGTGCCTTGCTCAAGGGCACCACGGCAGGGCAGGAGGTGAACTGGGATCTCTCCAAGTAGCAGTCCACACTCCATATTTTAGGTCTGGTCGGGGACTTGAACCGGCGACCCTACTTTTTTAAAATGTTTTTATTTATTTGACAGGGACAGTGCACATTGATTGACATTTCTGTAAATGCGCTAGTTAGCCAACAGGCTATTCATCATCTGCAGTCCCTGGACAGATGTTGAAAGTCATCAAATACAGCTACACTGACTGAGCCACTGCCGGACATATCACGTTCTTTTAAATAATTGTGTTTGCTACGAACCCTATATATAAGGCCTTTATATCTATGTGAACTATTCTCTTCCTTATTATTAATAATAAAGGTCTATCCTTTTATTTTGCTCTGCAGCTACTGTCCATTACCCAAGCTTACAACCACCGAAACGTGGGGGTCTTGCATCTTACTCATATAGGAAATAAGAAGACGTAATTGTGTGGGATCAAGTTTGGTATGTTGACTTATCAGCTCAAGTATGAGAAATAATTGCTGCCTTATTTCCACATTTAAATAATCTAGTGCTTTGCAATAAATATATTTATAGTTTTTATTTGACCATAAAGGAAGCACTTTGAAACACTCCAAGTTTGTCTCAACCACATGTTCCTCCAGGGCAACATCATAACAAAGTGGGAACATGTGTGCGTTTAATGGGAGATTGCCCACATGTGAGGTCTTTTTGGTCCAGGATATAATTGACTCTCGGAGCGAGACAGATCTTACTCTGTGAACTTCGTTAAAAGAATGTACATTGAAAGTTTATGCTACTATAATGTTTATGCTAGTATACATTAAGTATGGGGATATGTGTGCATGCATGGGTGGATGATTGACATAATGTCTCAAAATGTCTTGGTACATTTGCTTTGTCCTTCAAGCCTGTGATATAAATCTGTGTGTGTGTGTGTGTGTGTGTGTGTGTGTGTGTGTGTGTTTTGTTAACTCACCTCCCTGCAGAGTGTACTCGGTGACAGGACTGCTGTAGACGCCCAGGCCGGCTCCAGTGAAGGCAGCCACCTGGATCTGGTATTGAGTCCAGATGATCAGATCCTTCAGCAGACAGTAGTTGGTCTCTGGGCTGCTGATGTTCTTCTCCTGGTAATCCCCTGGCAGCCCTGCCAGACGGTACCTACACACACACACACACACACACACACACACACACACACACACACACACACACACACACACACACACACACACACACACCACACACACACACACACACACACACACACACACACACCACACACACACACACACACACACACACACACACACACACACACACACACACACACACACACACACACACACACACACACACAGAAACACTTGTAAACTTGTTTTCTTGTAGCTGAAGTGACGGTGATTCATTATAAGTTAAAACATACACACAAATGGAGGTGGTAGAGCAGATAAGCCTGAATAGTTGGGGTTTTGTTGCCTGTCTCTTCCTTCTGACTTTTTAAGTGCCTTTGAGCATGAAGATAAACGCAGAACTGCTCCTGATGTTTACTTTATATATGTTTCAAGAAAGTACTTTTTCTCCCCTCTGGTAGGAAGCTGCGGCCCATCGAGACCAAATCCTCACCCCAAAGGTCTCATCAATAAGGCCCGGGACCCCCACTGATACCGACTCTTATCCCACCCCATGGGATCTTCAGGTTGAATTAAAGTTAAGCCTACAGATCTCACTATATGCATTACATTATACCTTATTTATTACTATTATTATTATCTATTCTAATTGTGCATATTAATATTGCACATGTGAACATTTGCATATTCCATCCTCTTCATAAAACATAGCTTTTATAAAAAAAATTAAATAACTTCTCAAATTGCTTATTGCATTCTATTTTATATGATTCTTGATGTTTGCAGTACTTGTTTTTATCTCTATCATCTCTCATGCTTCAATGTTAAGGATCAAAATACAAACCAAATGTCTTGTATATATAAACCTACTACAAATATATAATGAATGCATTATAACCACATTTTAAAATAGAAATTAGAACAAAAGAAGTGAATAAATACTTTGAACATAGCACACCCCAATGTCATAAGTATATATTTTCCTATTTTTGAATTCAGTAGTATTTGTAAATAAAGTATTTTTGTTTTACCAAACTACAATTGTCAACGATTTACCCACAACAGTAATGACATTTTTTTTCATCTTGGTTAGTTGATAAATAAGACAACAGGTCCCCTTAATGATATACAAATACATCATCATACTAGGGTGCATACTGTATATGTCTCTGAATACACATTGTAAAACAAACAAACCCTTTTCCTTTCACACAGTATCGCTTTGTTGGCCAACTGAGAGACAGAGGATGTATTTGAAAGGATTTTCTGTTGTAAGTTGCCTGAATCATGACCGAATGCCCTAAAGAATAAAACCCTTTAAGGCCTGGTAGACATCTCCGAATAGTGCACCTCCAAGGCCTCACTTTACTACATGTGATATAAATGTCCACTTAAAAGGATATATGACCCGACTAGACAGGGAGGTGTAATACCACTTAGGTATTGTACATATCTGATGGAGCTGAATGGAGTAATAATCCACATGTCAGCGTTTTAATACGGAGCGTACCCCGCAACAGGATATTTCAACGTTTCACCGGCTGAGTCAGCGCTCTATCACACATGCAAACTGTATACACACACAGGAACACACTCATGCACACTGATACACAAAGCGAGAGGGTGCTGGGGGCTGACAGAGAATCTGTATTGGAGAGGAGATAACCCCTTTCTCCTCTCCCTCCACCTGACACACTACTACTCACACTGGGGGAGGAGGGGGAGGGGGAGCACATATTAAAGCTGGAATGATACAGTAGAGATGTATGAGCGTGTAGTTTCATGTTCAACTGATTTCTGAAGTGGAGACCGACGATACACTGAACGAGGATAAAGGCCTGGTAACTTCTACTGCAATTATATGCAAATTGTGTGTGAGGCAGCTGATGACAGTTTGATTACACCCAATGTGTCACACTTTAGGTAGACATCACAGTGAAGGACAGAGGACCAAGGGCAGCCAGAGCATCTGCACTTGTGTCTGTGTGCGATTGTTTGTGTGGCTATGAATCTGATAAAGAGGGATACAAAAATATGGTGTAAACCTAATTACAATATACATGATCAGAGATGTTCTCTAGGGCTGGAACTAACAATTATTTGGTAATGAGACATTAGGGATGTTCACTTAATAATCTTGATCTTTTTATTAAAATAAATGTCTGTTAAGCCATTATCTTTCACCGAATGAGGTAATTGAGATTGACCCCATGGCCCACCGACTGAACGCCCTCGTATTTGCAGCAACACAGTTTGAATACCTGGGAGGTGAGACCGAAAAAAACCTGCCTGCATTACTGCATATCGTCAAAGGTGCCACCGAGAACAAAATCTTTGAGAATGTAATTTTAAAATGTCAGAAATTCTTAAAAAGGCCTGTCACAATATTCCAAATTCCATGGCGTGAAATTGCTTAATTTGTCTGTCAGTCAAATTCATATAAATGTTTTATATTTTCAGTGGAATAAAAAGGCAGAAAGAAGTATGTATACCTGAGTACATATCCTCGGAGGACTCCATTCAGCTGGGGTTCAGGTGGGGGCTGCCACTGGACCATGATGGACTGGTTTGTCCGTCCACTGGCCACAATGTTCTTCGGAGGAGCGCTGGGTGCCTCTTCCCTCAGCATCAATCTGACACACACATAGAAAGAAAGAAAGAAAACACATACTTTTTAATATGTTTATTTGGTGTTTTGTAATGAGAACATTTGTATTCCTTAGTGTTGGCATGGTATCTGTGCGTTTCATCTTATGTCCAACATATCACAGCCCAGGAGCAGTTTATTTCTTAAGTAGATTAAAACAATTATTTTCCAAGAATCTTCATATTTTCTAGTCTGCGGGTCAGACTGTCTGCAAAAACATTATCATGTTTGTCACTGGACACACATGGGACAAAGCGGCAACTTATAATGGAGAATCATCTCACAGCTTAAGCAGCTCTGATTAATTCCTATTGAATTCTAGGCTCATCTCTCTTATCCCTCGTTCTCCACTTGTGTCATGCAATTTCATTTACTACATTTGCTTTTCATCTCAAATGGCTATATTGTTCATTTGTTTCAAACAAACCACCGCGGCTGCTGATGGAAACGTTTAACGCATCACTTCCAGCGCGCCAGAGGATTTCTCCTGGTAATGATCGAGCTGACACTGGGTGTTTAAAACAACAAATGTAAAAGCGTTCATGTGGTCGGTATAAGTTTAATCACAACTGTGTTTTATTAACTGGCTGATCATAACAACAAACATGCACTTTGTGTCTGCTTATGGCAGATTACTGTTTATATATATTTATTTTCACTTAAGGTTTTTCAATTTCAAAGTTATACACAATAATTCTTTGTCTGAGCAGTTTTCTATTTCAAAGTTACCCCTACCACAGTAGCCTCGGTCAGCCAGCTCTACAGTAATACAGCAACATATATTTAATCACTATTAATTGAAAATGAACCAAGAGCTTGTCTTTTTATTTCTAGCAATCCTTCACCCTCTCTGCCCTCTTCAACTCTCCTCTATGTCTCCAAACCCTTTTCCAATCTTTCCATTCGACACTTTGATCCCCTACTTCATTTTTTCTCTCCCATCTGCAAACTTTCACCTTTCATCCATCGTGTCCTTTGGCCTCAATTATTTCATCCGTCTATCTTTTACTCATTTCCCTCCCACCTCTTCTGCGCTGTAAACCCGCGCATGCCCCACCGAGATTAAGGCTGGTCAGCCTCTAGCTTTACTGTAAGCAGCTCAGCTAACGTAATCAGACCCATATGTGTCCACACACACACACACACACACTTATAAACACACCAAACACATTTCTACCAGCTTAAGACAGACTGCTACATCCGATGGTCTTTTCCCTTCCATGGATTATGTCTGGAGATTTACATCCCTCCGCCCCCCCTCACTTCCCCTCTGTGCCCCATGTCTCCCCGAATGATTCTCGATGAGCTATTGAGCCATTAGCCGTGGTATGCCTCTCTGTATTTGTGTGTCTGAATCTTTATGTGCCTATGAATGTGTGTACACATTCATATGTGTGTTTGTGTGAAAGTAAGGGTGTGAAAGCTGTTAGCTGGAGACTTGCGCAGGCGGATATATGGCACAGGCCAGTGGTTTTACAGCTGTGCTTTACTTCCATTAGGTTAGGCACTGTCAGACAGCACCAGGTGTGCCTACACCAGAGTGTGTAGGCAGGAACACACACACACACACACACACACACACACACACACACACACACACACACACACACACACACACACACACACACACACACACACACACACACACACACACACACACACACACACACACACACACACACAGGCTAATGGGCCTAGTGTGAATGAGATGGGCATTAGTGTAGCCGCTTGGAAATGAGGTATATATAATCCTCAACTATGCCACTGCTTTTGACTGAAATTGATGATGCACATTAATGCACACACACAAATGCACGCTACACAAACACCCACACACCCATACAGTATTGAACAGATGTGGTCATTCACTATTTGCCTCGACGTTAAACACACACACGCACACTGGCATACTTATACTGGATAGCAGAAACTTCATGTGAGTTGCCTGATTTCCCTCCCAACCGTTTACGGGGTAAATATTTCATACAGTGGGTTCAGTGTGAGGACAGCAACTTCACACCAGAGACCACAGTAAATATACAAACTTTAACCTAGGCATACACTTAGAAAAAACATCTAACATACAAACTAAAAGATAAACATGCACTGAATCCAAACAAATCAAGCACAAACTGTAACTTTGTCTAAACGCTGTGTGACATACTTTTCTGTCCCTTGTTATTAAAGAAAGAGCACATTTTCCGCAGGAGCTTTACATGTTTTTCTAGTGTGTGTGTGTGTGTGTGTGTGTGTGTGTGTGTGTGTGTGTGTGTGTGTGTGTGTGTGTGTGTGTGTGTGTGTGTGAAGGGCATGCATTTTGTGAGTTGCTATGCTGTGGGAATTACTAAAAGTTCTATCTGTGTCATTTTCCACAGTTTAATGCCCACTGGCTTTCTCTGTAAATCCACATACACACCGACTGTTAAAGTTAATGGTGTTACCGGGATGTTAAATCTGCCTCTATTCAAACAGGATAGTAAAAGTTTGATCCAGTATGGGTAGGAAACGGGGAGAAATGAGCAGAGGACAACAGGAATAAAAAGGAAGAGAGAGAAACCATATATGACATGATTGGGTGAAGCCAGCCGAATAGATGAGATTATTTTTTTTCTTGTTTGACACTTTGAGTCTTGTCTGCTTTAAATGTTGTGCTGTTTGCCTGAGGCTAAAAGCAGCACAAACAGAGGAGGCTGACACAGTAAAGAGACTTTGTCGGGGAAAAACAGAAGCTTTGTGCATTTTCTCACAATGAATCCAGACAAGCTGAGGCATACATTTCCAACTGTGCTTATATGTGCTTTATGTTTGTCACTTCAGTAAAAACAGTTTGATTTGTAGTGACATTCCCTCGTTGGTCAGTGACTTTTCTTACTGCATACCAGCAACAATGCTTCACAACAAATACAATCTGATGCTCGATGCTCTGTCCTTATTGTAGTGTGGTATGCAGAGCATAAGACATAGTTCATGTAATAATATGAAATAAGAAGAGAATTTTGAATCAACAGTTGTAACACTGGCTGACTATGGTGACTGCTTCTTAGTCACACCTTTTACACAAAAAGGCAAAAGATTATCACAGCTTGTGTTTACATACTGTACATATACAAAGCACTCGATGATTTTACACAGTTAGTTTAGAAGATGAAAGCTGCAATGTCAATTTTAATGCTTCCCTTTGATGGTCACTAATGCAATCATCACTGACAATGTTTCAAATTATTTGTGTTTGAAAACTTGCCTGACATTAGGTTTGTGTAGGTCAGTGGTTCTCAAACTTTTTCTGTCAGGCCCCCCAACACAAATAGTCACGTAATGGGCCAAGTTAACATTTATTAAAATACATCAATATGAACGTGAGCATTCCTTTAAAAAATAAATAAAAATCACTTTGCTAGAACAGTGATAATATAACAATGCTCCATAAGTCTGTGTGCTCAAAATAATAATAAATAATACAATTGTGCAATCGCTTTGCTAGAACAATAACTTATAATACTTTGCCACTTTGCAATCTGTACAAAAAAATGAAAAGAAAGAAAATGCTGATATTTGGCAAAAAAGTGTGTCTCATCACAGCATTAGTGGCTGCAATGAGCCTGTTTGGCACTGCACATTTTTTTTTAAACGGGGTTGCAGGCTTGACCTTCCATCCTCATCATGTACATTACACATGGTTTATAAAGCTTTGAATGGTTTAGGCCCAAAATACATGTCTGACCTACTGCTAAATTATGAACCATCCAGAACCCTCAGGTCTTCAGGGACTGGTCAGCTTTCTGTCCCCAGAGTCAGAACTAAACATGGTAAAGCAGCATTCAGTTATTATGCTCCAAATATCTGGAACAAACTCCCAGAAACCTGCAGGTCCGCTGCAACTCTTACTAGTTTTAAATCCAGGCTGAAGACTTTTCTTTTTGCCGCTGCTTTTAATTGAACTATTCACATCTTAAACTGCACTGTAACTTTTAACTTTTATTCATGTATTTTTTCTTTTAATGTTTATTTTATTATCTTTCCTTTTTAATGACTGATTTTAAATGCCATTTTTAAAATGTCTTCCATTTTTGTAAAGCACTTTGAATTACCTTGTGTTGAAAGGTGCTATATAAATAAACTTGCCTTGCCTTGCCTTGCCTTACACCTGTGTCCTAGAGCGCCCTCATAGGTTTCTAAGTGTAACTACACGACAGAACAGTTTAGTGTTCTGCCGGTCATGCCGACGCATAACAATTTCTTTTTTTAACACATTTTTGTCATAACAATTTTTCCTCCTGGTCTCTCGCGCCCCCCCCTGTCATGCCTCTGTGCATTCTGACGTTAGCATTTAGCTTCAACTAGATTAGGTTTGGGATCTGGACTTTGGAAGTGGTTATATTAAATGATCTTGGGCAAGAATATGTAACGTTCCCATAAGGGTTTTGTTTTATGTTAAGGCCGAGACCGCCTGCCACACCCCAGCCGCGGAGAAATGGTTGGGTTCACAAGATCCAACATGTGTTACGATAATACACCTTTATTTTCTAGAAGAAAAAAAAACATCTATTAAATTGATCATACATTGTTTTAATTGTCATGATGCTAAAATGACTTGGAATACAAATTAATGTTGACCCTGTTATTTTGCATGTTAATACAAATATGAATAATGTAAGGAGGAAAAACTCACAAGACAATTATAAAATGTCATTTCTTTATTAAATCTGTTTTATTTAAAGGGGACCTATCATGCAAAATGCACTTTTGTACGTCTTTTATACATGAATATGTGTCCCCGGTGTTCAAGGGAACTCACCACGTGTCAGAAAACACAACCCTCTCTATTTCCTTCCATACCCAAATCTCTAAAAAAGGGGCTGCAACGGATCTGATAAAAACTGATGCAGATTTGAACACTGTCCTGACGTCAGGACGGTGGCGCTACGGCTATTGGGCCAACTCCACCAATCAGGAGGAGACAGCCACGGCATTGCCGTTCGAAAGCGCTGGAGACGCTGTAGTACATATGCCAGGCCTGTAGGTGGTGCTGTTCTCACAGAATCTGCCCTTGCTAAAACAGATCTAAACATTTTTCAAATTGAGCGAAATGAGGCATGGCTAAAATGCATGATCTGTTTGGTATTTTGAAAAAAAAAAAAGTATAAATATGCCTTATATAGGTATGGTCCTACACTATATTATTCAAATATAGCATGATAGGTCCACTTTAATGCCTTGCAATGTCACAGTAATAGGGTTCAAGGTAGATTTCTGAAGCTACATCAATCTCTACTGTGAGAAGATTCTCTTTTTCATTTAGTCTGATAAGATAAAATAAGATTTCTAGATTTGGTCTCATTCTGTTGTACAGTTGGTTATTGTTGCATGATGGAAATGTTTTTTTTACACAATATTAGATGTATGGATTGTACATTGGTGATATGAGTCTGGTTTGTCTTCATGTTTTACTTTCTTACACAATTGCTATCTAAGGGATCTGGCAGGAACATGTAGGACATATAGCTTATTAACTATTTTTAGAAAATTCCAACTAACTAAGGGCTACACAGTATATGTGGACGCAGCAAGAACTGTGATTACAAGAATGTGAAATGCTTGTAATCACGGCCATTTTGATGGAAAAACCAGCTGTTAGCAGAGCTTTTATCAGAGAAAGCCTTCTCGCTGCAATCCTCTTGATGTTTCCTCTATAGTTTTAATAAATCACTCACTATGCTATAGGCACCTTTCACATCGATGCAGCCACAGTTCACCACAGACATATCATTCAAGATTGACATGCTGGAAAGCAGAGGACTAATCTCTAGTCAATCTTTAAAGCTCCTGCAGCATTACTTTTTTACATTGAGTGTCTGTTAGTGTGCATGTGATAGCATTAAAAGAGTATTTTATTTTCTCTCGTCAGTTAATACAGCATGTTAATGTCTGAAGTGTTATGATTCAAACTGAATTAAAAATAAGAGCAAAGGCAAAGAGAATTGAGACAGATGCTTTAAACTTCTGATGATGCCGGAGTGCCAGGCATTAATGCATAATCTGTCTCTCCTCTGTAAATGATTCCTCTTTAAAGATGGTAATGGTGTGAGTGTAGGTCATGCATGAACAACTCTGTGTGTGTGACTCCAGCTGGCGTAATTGGATTCGCCAAGAGAGATTCTGCATTTAGAGGTAATGTTTTTCAACTTTGATCACATTCATTCATATATTCTTATTGTAGGTAGATCTCCAAAGACACTTTTTCCTACACCAAAGCAATCATTTGCAAGCTATAAATAAGAAAAAGTGAAGCAATACAGAAGAAAAAAAAAGTATAAATTAATGCTGTTTTGATAAAGACTTCTACAGGACAAGAACAAAATGCAGAGTGCAGAAGCAGCTGGAAGTTCAAACTTTAATAAGGGCTTTTTGTCATGAATATTACAAGCTTCTCCTTCCCTCTGCCCTGTTCCCTCACTCTGCCCACATTACTGCATTTTGTCATTTGGAGCTCGCAGCTTCTGCAGGACATTTTCAATCCCTCAATCTCCCGTTGTGTAAAGTGCCGCGCGCGCCTTGGCATCTACGAGTGCTAATGTGCACGTCTTATCCAGGCAGACATCCAGCAGATGAAAAGCAAAGTGTGCATGGTTACATATGAGACAAACACTGAAGAAGAGAAGTATCCATCTGCTCTGATACACTAACAAGTGATAACTTGTCCATCTGCCAGCCTTTCATTTAGACAAGATTAATGCAATCTATTCTCCAGCCCCCAAAACAAACCAACTTTGGACTGTAGACTGGGTTGGACACAAACAATACACTGGAACATGCAGGAGCAGAAGAGAGGCGCAGCAAGGACAGGGATAATAACTGCCAATAGGCTGAAGAGGATAAGGAAAGATAGAAGGAGAATACAGAAAGATTCAGGGGGATAACAAAAGAAATAGAAGAAGTACAAACTGAATAGAAGGAAACTGAAAGGAGAGTGTCATCTGAAGTGTGTGAATGTGAAGCGTTCAGAGTCCTGTTGTTATTGAGAGTCTATTTGGCAAAACCACAACTGGCTTCTGCTGCCTGGTCACTCTTTTCAGCCAGACAACACCGTGATTGTGTGTGTCTACTTTATAAAACTCGGCCACATCTGTTGTATTGTGTGTGAGTGTCACATATTTGGTGTATGTGCAGATTCAGGGGCCAAATTGGTAGTAAGCCTGCCAGTGCCACACCTACTTCAACCCTCTATCACTCTATCCAGTTCCATCAGTGCTAAAGCATCATAATTACCCCCATTAGTGTTTTCTCATCGGATAAACACACACACACACACGAACAAACATCTGCAGAGCAATCTATTTCATTTTCAAGCCAAACCACAGCCTCTCTTCCACACACACAGACACAGATCTTTTAATTTATCATTTTTGCTGTTCCGTTCACTGCATGCAAAGGAAGCAGACTGGCAGGGAAATACACACATGTACACACACACACGCACGCATGTCCCACACACATCCACGGCAATGGATGTGATGAATATAAATTGCTCATTGCAAAGGAAATTGATTCTAAACAAAAAGAGATGCTTTGTTGGCCCTTGCCTTTTTAGAATCCATCTTTGTTTCATCAACACTCTAAATGCTGTGTCCCTATCCCTGATCATGGCAACGCACTCGCACACTAAGATGCACAAATTAGAGTGTGTAGGCGTGTGCACATTATCTCTTTTGACTATAGAAGGGTTCCAGGTTATTCATTCCCAGTTTGTGTAAGGCAGTGTGACCAAGTTTATTACACAGTGGTGGAACAGGGTTATACAAATAATGTGTATTTCTTACACATCACAGCAGTGCTACATTCTATTTTAAATGTGTTCATGCTATTTAAGAAAACCTTAGTCTTCACAAGTAAGTTATGTGTGTTTAATAAAGCCTATAGTGTGTGTTGAAGATTTGGGCAAATGATCAATGTGTCTTTAAATGTGCATATCATACACTTACCTCTGCGTCTCAGCGCTGTACTGACCCCGGCCCACTTGATTGACAGCACAAAGCCTGAACTGATAGGTCCTGGCAGGTGTGAGCCCCCCCACTGATACCTCGCTCACCACAGGATCGACCTCTGATAGGTAGACCTTCCATGGCGAGTCTAGACAGAGGACACAAAGATTAGATGCTGATAATATCTGGCTGAGGCAGGACAAACAGAGACGCAGGGACACTCAGGGCCCATAAATCACAAAGAAAAGAAAGGGGGAATAGATAAAAGCAGCAAGGAGGGAGAGAGAATCAAGGGGGGGGTAAGCTTGAGAGAATTATAAGAAAAAAAATATCACAGACCTCAATGAGAGAGAAAGTTTGCAGGGAAGAGGGGGATTAAAGAACCACAGATGCTTCTCTATATTGTTGCCAGCTTGTTGCCAGCTTATCTCTCAGTGTTCACCTGAAGGAACCACAGAGACGCATTTTTACCGTCGCACCAGCCAGACGAGGGGTGTGTGAGAGAAAAGGACGTTGCGTGAGCCATTAAAAGCAAGGCCAGCGAGTGTATTAGAGCAATTGTCTGACATCAAAATACATTCTGTTTAAAATGGGCCATTTTCTCTAAATTACAATCCAAGACACACTCACACACGCATACTCTGAGATGAAAGCATGACTATACACTCACACAAACAGACACCTAGTAATCAGTGTCCCCAAAATTCTCATCCATTTTTCACTTCCTTTACTGACAAGACTATCATTATTTTGAATCAGTATTTGGAACACTCAAAAACACTGATTGCATGAACCTTGAAGTTATATTCCTGTCTCCATAAAGGTTATGGGAATAATTTAAAACTACATTTATTGACATTTGTCCATCAGCTCGTGCTTGGCCCTGCCTGCTACGTAAACCTATCAACGTGATTAGCTTCCAACAGGAGTAACAGCGATCTAGAACCATCTCCCTACAATCTGTTTCTCCTGTCAGTCTATTACTCAATCCCTCTCTTCCTCAATTTCTCATTTGACAGAGAGCCGGCCTGCTGTTTAAACATCTGTGGTAGAGAGAGGGAGAGACAAAGAGAGAGAGAGGGTAGGGGTGGATGGAACATCAGAGTTTATTTATAGGGAACCTGGATGTACATTTACGTAGGAACACAATTCTCCATATGTCTGCCTCTTGTAAATGAGTGTGTGTCAGAGCATGGTAGACAGCGAGCGAGCAGCTGTTTGTCGCTCAGGGACTATAAAGTATATGCCTGGACACCCACACACACACACACACACACACACACACACACACACACACACACACACACACACACACACACACACACACACACACACACACACACACACACACACACACACACACACACACACACACACACACACACACACACACACACACACCACACACACACACACACACACACACACACACACACACACACACACACACACACACACACACACAGACACGTACTGTTCTCAGAGAGCTCCAGCAGGTAGTAGAGAAGAGGGGAGTTCCCATCAAAGGGGCGGAGCCAGGAGAGCAGGACGGAGCGGGAATCAGAGTCATTGAGACGAGCCGTCAGGGAGCGAGGAGAGTGCGGCAGCTCACTGAACACAGAGAAGACAACAAAGTCCCAAAAACATGAGAACCAAGATTGATATCACCTGACAGACCATTTGAACCAAGTCTTTCGAGAAAAGGTTTGACATTTGGGAAAAAGTAACAGAATTCACCATCACCGACTCAATGACCACCTGTGTTTTTATTTACAGGGTTGTATTTTCGTTTTTATTTGACTTATTCCCAGCCGCGGGCAGACTCCAGTAACCTCAATGAACCAAGCCAAGAAATAAAATATGACCCCTGTAAAACCACAACGTATTCTGTTTACACCTCTATTCTTTATAAATTAAACAAATGAAATATAATTATGGTAATTTATGGGTCTTTAAAAGGGGCTGATCTTTTTTTTAACCCTCAGACAGAACAAGGCTCGCTGTTACCTTGTTGTTGATTTTTTTTCGCCGGTCAACATGTCCGTTAAAGTTGAAATCTTCCGGACAAAATTAGAAAAGTGCCGGTCAAAGGTCTTCTTTGTTATTTATTGAGCTTTAAAACAAATGAATAACGACTCTATATAATCATATATAAGAATAAAACACGGAGGACGGAGATCTCTTTTTCTCCCCCCTCTTCTGACAGCCCAGCAGCTGATCTCAAAGCACGCTCCCCTCTCTTGCAGGGGGGCGTGGTCAGCTGCAGCTCACAGAATCAGCCCCCTGCAGGGCTGGAAAGAGCAAATAGAGCGAAATGAGGCATGGCTAAAATGCAGGATCTGTTTGGTATTTTGAAAAAAAAACTATATTTATATACTTTATATAGGTATGGCCCTACAATATATTGTTCAAATATAGCATGATATGTCCCCTTTAAGGTATTTAATTTGGCAATAAGGTAATAAAAACATTTTCTTAGACAGAAGTTCAAAAATCATTACATTTGTGTCATATAAAAGAAGTCAATGAATGAATTTCCAGGACTTTTCAATAAACATTAATTATTAATAGTGTTTATTTTTCAGTTTGTGGTGTGTGGTGAACAAAGTTGGCTTTCACACACAGTTTAACTCCAGGTCTAGTTAAGAATCAGTTGCAGTGTATGTTGCAGTTGCAGTGCATGTTGTTGAAATATGGCTGTGGTTTACTTTTGTTATTGTGATAATTTATTCTGTCAACAGCAAATGTATTTCACCACATCTATTAAAAAACAATCTCCAGACACTTGGCCATCCCTGTGGATATTGGTACACTTTCGAATAGATTCATTCAAATAGATTTCATATTCATGAAAGCAATAAAGAGTGTCCAGACATTTGATTATACCAATTTTAGTGCATCATAACTCTCTTTCAGAAACTGTCGGCTTGAAGGAAGAATGAAAAACAGATCTCTGTGTTTCTCTATGTGAAAGCGAGCTGATATATATAAACATATCATATACAGAACAAATATATTTACAACAAAAGCATATTGAAAGACACACTCCCCTTGAGCCTAAACTAGCTGCATTCAAAATTCATAAGCTCATAAATTATTTCTAACTCTGACAGGCTGCCAGCTCTTTAATTGCAATAAATGTTCGAAAAAACATAGACGTTTTTTGTTATTGCTGGGTGTGTGGTTTTATGTTTGAATATTTCAGTGGGTATTTAGTTGGAAAACGATTGGAACAGAAATAGAGAGAGAGGAGAAGAGAGACGTAACGCTAGAGGAGGAAGGAGACTTCACCACGATGAAGCATTGACGGTGGTGAATGAGGCGGGTGAGGGGGGGGGTGCTGCGAGGGGAAATGAGAATGATGTTTTCTTTTCTGAGCTGACATGATCATATTAATTAATGGATGAGCTTAGAGAATGTTGGAGCAACTACTTTAACACAGCCCGCAAAAAACACGCATGCATGCACGCACGCACGCACACACACGCGCACACACACACACGCACACACACCCACACACACTCACAAACACATGCATGTGTCTTGCGGGAGTTGAACCAATAACCTGCTGGTAATTAGTCTGTCTCCTCAGCTGCCAGCGTCTGTTAACCTCCACGACCCGTTGATACTGAGAATGTCAGTCACGCGCCTTAATGCACACCCCCCCCACACACACAACCACACACACACACACACACACACACACACACACACACACACACACACACACACACACACACACACACACACACACACACGCACGTATAGAACTCCCTTCGTTCCCCATTTGTTTTCACACAGCCAAAAACAGAGACTCACTTCCTCCCTCTGAGTTTGACATGTGTAACCTCTCGTCGCTTTATAATTCAGAGGGAGTGAACTCATGTTCTATATCTCTCCTTCCCTGCAGTTGTATTAATATATCATAAGTGCCTTTTATAAATATATTATACAAGTACCTATTAATATATAAAGGCCACTAGCAGTAGCCACTGTTCTCTCACTGTGGCTGTAATGAGACATTGAGGGTCAGAGCGGGGGATAAACTTCTGTGTGTGGCATCTTTTTATCCGAGCATCAGGAATGCCTGCTCATACCCAACACACAAGGGGACATGTCTGGAATATTTTCACCCAAACCACATGAAAAAATGCATGCAGATAAACACGCTGTACATTTTATACTTGAAGACTAACGCATGTATTTCATAGCAGATATGACCTTACACTTCTATTATTACTGTCTAATAACAACTCACAATTGCACACTACTTTCTTACACCTTACAGTTTTAATGATATAGACCTGTGTTTGGTTTATAGGGCGTCTGACAGGCTTTTATTTGAAACAACCAGTAATTTTATCAGATGACTGCTGAGAAATACAGAAACTAGTACTTTATGTTTGACAATGTACAGAATTACCTATTTGCAGCCTCTCCTGAATTACATCCAGCATAGTCAATATTGTTTTTTCTATAATGCTTAACTCCAGAGCAATCCTTGTTGTCAATCATATCTGCGATTTGAATCAGCCATAGAGCTAGCTATGGATTGGTTTGTTTTCCCACTTGATTGCGACACAACAAGTCAAAGTCGTTATTGTGCCTTGTCTCTTAATCAAGAAAACCATTCTAGCTGGTTGGATCAATGTCTGTTCTGTATTTATCTGCATTTGTTATACCACATAAATATCGTGAAAATCACAATTCAGACAATCTGAAGATTATTTTTTGTCAACTGCTTAGAGCAGACAAACTCTTGTGATCCCATTAAATGAACAGAATATAGCTTTAATTAGTGTTTGGTATGTTTGGTAAAATCCTAAATCAAATCATACGTAACATCTATTAATACGTAACAAATATATTCAATTTCAGAGCAGAAGTAACAGCCTTCAAGGGTCAAACTCTGCACATAAATCATTCAGCAGTGCACAGTGAAGCTCAAACATTCAACTGTACGAACAAGCAATACTTTGAAATGCAAACGTCTGTGTGTGTGTGTGTGTGTGTGTGTGTGTGTGTGTGTGTGTGTGTGTGTGTGTGTACGAGAGTCTCTTTAATCAATTTTTTCAACTCAAGGGTCAAATTCGCGTGACGCGTTCTCGTGGTAGCCAATCAGCGGTGAGGATCTCAGCCTGCTGTCACTGACGTTGAATCAGAAAACATCAGCCGTTAGCTGTTAGCACACAGAGCTCACAGCTCCTCATATCTGTTCAGAAACTGGACAAAACACAGACTGTCTGTGTCATGGCGAATACAGTCGCTGTTGTATTTGTGTCTGTATCATGTTGTTGCTACACCGTTAGTTTAGCCTGATCGATCCGATCTCCATTCAGAAAACACGCATTTAAAAGGTTTCTCTCCTGCCGTCTTGTCTGCAGACTTGTCAAAGCATTAATTCATGGTTTTTACTAACCGTTATCAGTATGTTGTTACTTCGGCATCATTTTGAAACGTGTATTACAATTAAATCACGGTAAAATATGTTCATTTTGTTGTAGTTGGTTTTTACCACAGCATTTACATGGAGATAAGCCCCGCCCCCTCTCCAGCGCGTCCTGTTTGAATGACAGGAGTAAACACAGCTGACAGCCGCGGTGAGACTAGAGCGATTAGAGCGTCCGGTGTGAACGCAGCATAATGCAGTTCAGAGACCAGACCACTGCTCTGACGCTTTTAAAGCAACTTCGAGATTTTAACAGTGTGAGGGGCACAAAGCCCATGGTGGCCGTAGGACGTACAATTATTTTCGGGGCTTAATGGCCAGACCAAGGGGCCATGGCCGTCGTGAAAATCCTACCCTGGTACTTACGCTCGCTACTTTGAGTGCATAAGTGCATTTCCACTGACAAGTACAGCAAAATAAAGTGCACTATAAGTACATCAAGTAAGCAAACAAGCCAGCAGATATGGCAAGCCACAGATATTGGTCAATGTTGGAGGTAATACCAAATGCAAAAAAAATGTTCAGAACGTCATTTCTTTTTGACAGACTTTGCAGGTACAGATTAAACACAGTTTAGTACATGGATGTGTCCTGACGTAAGTATTACAATTGAGACTAAACAAGGGGCAAACAGCTAGCCTGGGTCTGTTAGAAATAAGGCTGACGTGGTCAAAACATTTCGGCAAAATTTGAACTCACATGACTTCGAGGCGTGCAGACTGAGAATCGTTGCCAGCCCGTGATTTCACAGTGCAGGTGTAGTCCCCAATGTCACCTGACCACGTCTGGCCAATAGTGAGGGAGCCCTGCCGCATGGAGACACGCCCCCCGCTGCTGGGACGAACCAGCACCCCCCCACGCTCCCAGCTGAAGCTGCAACAGAGGAGGAATACATGTACTTTATACTGTGGTTATCTACAGACACACAATGAGCCTAAAACAGAGAGAGAAGCAAACACTGTGGAGTATAAGAGTATTCCTGTGAGTGACCACACACACAGAGAGGCAGGTACCTGATATTGACTCTGGGGTCATGTGTAGCAGTACAGACCAGAAGAGCAGTGGTTCCTTTGATAACTCGTTGGTCGGTTGGAGGCACAGAAATGACTGTACGGCCTGCAAAAAATAAAATAAAAGATTAAGAAAAATCAAGATAAGAGAGAAGCTGGAGGATGAGCGGAGACAAAGGTGGGATGAATAATAAAAGGCAGAAATAAAATGTGTCTAATATTCTGCTCTAATGGCATGAAATACTGTATCATCTAAAATGTGTTGTTTTAGTGTATGCTGCACGAAAGTAATAAGAAATTAATTAGTAAAGACTTTAGCCCTGAACTATTGAAGCTAAACAGCACTAAAGCTTTTTCTCTCACTCTCTCAAACATAGTACAGACACACCTTGAAAACGACTTAGTCTACCATTGTTTTTGTGCTTTGTTCAACTCAGGTCTTTCACATGTTTTATAATCTCAAGAGAAAAAGTATAAATTGGATGCAGTGTGGAGTGTGTCTGATCAGTAACTCAGTCCAGGTATATTTGGGATGTGACCAGGCCACCGATAGATGAGTATAGTTTTTATATACCACAGTGCTCAACAGAGGAATGTGGTTAATCTAATTCAATAGCATTTAATCTGAAGCTGCCAAGATATATATACAAAAAATCAATAACATTACCAGCTAATCCATCATCCTCTAACCTGGCCAATCAGATGATTACTTCACCATTACACCAGCCCACTGCATCAATAAACAATCACACCGCTGTTCACCCACCTGAGCTAATGCCATTTGACAGCCTCGGATAAATTAACTGTTCCATGTCTGTTTTAGTCTGTTTAGCAAATGTGTATTGAGCAGTTTAGTGTATTTTTGTTTGTGTGTACATTGTGTGTGTGTTTGTGTCTTACTCCAGACGGTGAGCGAAGAGGTGGAGTTGATGCTTCCCTCAGCGTTGGAGGCTATGCACGTGTAATCTCCTGAATCCTGGAAGCTGATTGGCCGAATCTGCAAACCGCCTGTCTGCAACAGCGTGAACCTGGGAACCTGGACGGAGCCGCTAGCTAAGACCTGAGATCCTACAGAGAGAGAAAATAACAAAATAGCCTTCAGGTGACGAAAAGTAATTAAGTCATTAAGCACATTTTTAATTACAAACACATCATGTCAGTGCGTCTGTCGTGTGTGTGTGTGTGCTCAGTGTGTAAGGCAGAGTGTGTGTTCTGTTACCTTTCCTCCAGGTGATGGCAGGTTTTGGAGCTCCGCTCGTCTGGCACATAAACAAAGCCGCGTTTCCATCAGTTACTATTTGGTCAGACGAAGGGAATGTAAACGTGGGGGCCATACCTGAAACATGGGGAGAAAGCATAAGAAGAACGAAGACGGATAGACGGCTACTGAGAGGAGAGAAAGTGAAGCATAAAGAGAAAACTGAAGAATGGAAAAAGATAGAATGACAGTGTTGATATAAACACAAATGCCTCCTCTGATTAATGGAGCCTTTATTCATTACCTAGTGCTACGTGTGTGTGCATGAATGTGGAAAGTGGTGGTGTGGAAGTTCCATGGGGACTTTTAATTATAACGCTCACTAAACAGAGCGTAACTCTACTGAGACAAACCCTACGTGCAGAAGTCTGCAGCTGAAACGCACTTCAAACCAGGCAGACACTTTCACTTTGATTTTAAAAACAAAATAGTCTTCAGTTTCAGGTAGGGATGTGTTGGCTTGTCATTTTGCCAATACACAGGAGACCAACTTTTCTATTTTCCAGCCCAAACACGGCTAAAACTCAATTTGCAAGGCAAAGCAGTGAGCTCATCTCTTCATTTTTAGAATGAAAGGTTATATCAGCTGCAAATATCTTTATGTATGCTCAGGACAAATGTGGAGCGATACGGCAATAACAATACAGCTGAAATAGTTATTGGTTAGCTGAAAGTTAAATAAATAAAATAAATAAATTAAAGCCTTTTTTCTTAGTTTTCTGAAATAAACGGATAATATAGAAAATAATCTGGAGACTTGCTGAAGGTAAAACAATATGAAAGTTGCAGAAACGATATACGAGACAAAACAATTGACAGGCAAATAAAGGAGACACAATGGAAGTACAATAGAGGAGTACATTCTGACACATGAGAAAGCAAGTTAAAGGGAAAGAAAAAAGTGGCATCTAGACTAGAGAGAAGACATGCTGCTGTGGATGTGGATACACAACTTGTGTTTTATTGTGTGTGTGTGTGTGTGTGTCGGACAAACTCACTAGACACTAGGAGTTGTGCGTGTGCCTGAGTTTCTCCTGCAGCGTTGCGAGCGAAGCACTGGAATATTCCTCCGTCTCCCGGCTGCACCCGGCGCACCGTCAGCCCGTTCGCCGCGGTGACTTTGTAGCGAGAGTTGGCCAGTTTGGAAAGAGGCACCGCGTCCTTATACCACTCTATCCTGGGCTGGGGCACACCTACACATGTGCATATACACAAAATACAAAACACACAACAGGGAGAATATGTTCAAATGTCCAAAATCTTTAATAAAATGTTACATTTCCTGAATAAAAAAACTGCTAAACTCACTGCTGAGCTCCAACTAAAACAGTCACACACTCTTTAGACCGTTCTTTCTTCTCTGTTATCCACTCTCTTCCTATAAATATGCATGTGGGCATAATGACTGCTAATAATATATTGATTAGAGGGTGTGAGTGGTAGGGTAAGGGTGGCAGCAGGGGCAAAAAAACATTGTGAATAAAAGATGTGGGCATATGCAGCACACCGAATATCTACAGTAAGGGCCTCCACCTGTCTGACAGATATGCCAGATATGACAGGCAAGTGGCTTACGCAATTACTCCGTCTTAACCCTCACCACCAGTGTGTGAGTGTGTGTGTTGGACGGAAAGAGAGATCAATTCCACACTTTTCCTCACTCTGTTGGTGTCAAGCTTTCTCAGACATGCGTGAAGTATTTTTCACCCCCTCACTTTGCACTCTGTCTGTCTTTTCCTCCTTCCCTCGTTCCTCCTCCCAGCCTCCATCTCACTTTTCATACCCACAGGCTTCTGCTATTTAATTACCCTTTCACAGTATCAGATTACTGAGGAAGAACACACTCGCTCAGTGAGTGTGTGTGAGAGGGAGAGAGAGAGAGAGCATGGTGCAGTTTTTGGAGCCATGTCCACCTCTGCTCATATATTTGAGTTTTTTCATGTAACCCATTTGAAAACATATGACGTATGAACAATACCTGAATAATGCTTGTTCTGTCACAAGTCACCCGTCAAGAATCCTACACACTAATGCATACACACACACTGAATGACCAAAACACTCAGCATAATGTAAGGTCATTAGAGTCACCTTGACACACCCTGGACGGTAGATACTCAAGATAAACCGTCTTTATCAAATCAACCAATTAGCTTAAATTTGCTGCATGGACATAGAAACATTACAGCATTTTCAATGTAGGGATTAAAAACACTTAGGTCAGTTTATGAACCATCCGGTTGCAAACACCAGCAGAGTGAGAGCCTCAGAATGATTCTATGGGCCTTTAGAGTGAGGTCATAGACGACAGACAACCTAGTTTAAGGCTTGTTTTAAGCACACTTAAACCACAAAGTAAATCTAGAACACTAGTTCACGTACATTGCTTTAATCATTCCTATATTCCATATTGGCTGTGACGCCATCCCCTCCTAAAGTGAGTCCTCGCTCTGTGCAAAAAATGTTTGCAAAGTTCAGCCAAAGCTAATTTGAGCCTTCAGCAAAAGGGGTATATCAAACCAATTGGAAACCTTCCAAAATTATGTTTTTCCCTCCGTACAATGTTACCCTGTATGTGTTACTATCCATCCTCTCAGCTCTCCAGCTCAGTCGGCCTGACACCCACTTGTCACATGACTGCTGAGGCCTTATATTCAGCAGCATTATAACACAGGACTGCAGATTCTGTCGCACATTGGAATCGCTTTAGGAAAATATTTCTGCAGAACCAGTATAGACAGGAGAACTAATTACAAGCATCAATAACTCTTTAAATAAACAGATCATCTTGTGAGTGTTGTTTTACGGCACAACATCTAAAGCAATCCTTTAAGTATGTGAATTGTAACACTCGGAGTGTACCTGTAGCCAGGCAGGGGATTTCTACGTTCCTGTCCAGGTCAGCAATGATCTTCCTCTTAGGTTGAGCAGTCAGGGAAGGTGGCTCTGCAGGGACATTATTAGAACACAACATGTCAAGCATTTAAATGTGGAGAACATTCTGACTTAACAACGGATAAAATAACATCTCAAACTGAAAAACAAAGACTTGAACACCGCCTGCTGCTGAACTACAACTAACAAGCCCTCTAAAAAGGCTTAAAAAATGTGTTATGTCATTAAAAAACAACTGGGAGTCTACAAGCATTCGTTTTTTAATAGAAAAGAGAGTTGAAAAAATGTGTCATTGCAAGGCAGCAGTTCTGTCTATTTGCCCAGAGAAATGACTTTTACAGTCACAGAAAAGCCAATTCTTTGAGTTTCCCAGGGGAAACAATCCTCTTTTTAAACAACCGGTACTTCTTTTCGCTGGCAGTAACGGCTCCCCCTAAACATCTTCACCAGTGTCGCTCTAAATGCTGACAGCAGCTTGGAGACACAGCTTCCCTCAGTTTGAATGGGAATATATGCCTTTTGGTGTATTTCTGTAATGCTTCGCATTATGAAAAATGTACCGCATACGCTCCACTTCTTTCAAGACATTTGTTAATATTTAGTGAGAGATATTGACACAGAAAGCCCAGAGACGGAGAGCAGAGACAGACTGGCTAATTCGTATTCATGAATGAGGAGAAGGCATTTTAATAACAGTTTTATTTAATTTATTTCTTTTTCTAAGGCTCCTTACTTGTTGAATAAAAACACATTTCAGAAATGTTTTGACACCATGCTGTAATTTGAATGCCGTTGCAATTATGGAAAAATGTTACTCCATCAGTTTTTCTCCTTTGTAGTTTAACACAGTCATGTGCAAACGGAGGTAGACACAACACACTGCAAGATTGATCAAGGTGTGTGTGTGTGTGTGTGTGTGTGTGTGTGTGTGTGTGTGTGTGTGTGTGTGTGTGTGTGTGTGTGTGTGTGTGTGTGTGTGTGTGTGTGTGTGTGTGTGTGTGTGTGTGTGTGGGGACACAGCTCCATTAATTCTTCTTGACTTTAAAGTTCTTTACTACTTAGTGTTAACTTTTAAACCCACTAAAGCTCCTCAACTCCTATCTTAAATGAGCACGGTGGAATTCGGCACGATTTTTTGACAAGAGAACGAGGAAGGCATGATGCGAACGGAGGAACAAGAAAACAAGAGATGAATACCAGCCATGTGGCGTGACACCGATAACACAGGGATGCATTCATCGCCTTTAGGCAGGTGAGTGCAAGGACCTTGATGCACAAATACAACAAAACACATTTTGGAGTGTTTGGGTGGTTGGGCTTAACGCTTTGAGCTTCCGCGGATTCCCTGCTGTCTGCCTGCGAAACAAAGATGGAGAACAACAACATATATACTGTTGTTTGCACCAAAAGTCTGTACAGCACACACCACGGCACTGAGTGTCATACATATTCCGATTAGTGGATCGAGTCAGAGAAGAAATGAAATTGAATAATGAATACCTTTGACGCTGTCTCCTTATTTCACAGACACATACACTATTCTCATCAAGGACTTTTGAGCCCATTGCAGGAAAGAGGATCAGTACCAATGTATTGATCTGCCTCTGCTCCTCTGATTCATATGAATGTATGCCGACTTTAACAATCCTGTTGGCCTAACGATAAAGATAACATCGAGACAGAGAGACTGCCAAGGTACAAAACTTGGTGGTACATGTAGCTGGTGAGCGGGGGAACAGAAAGAGAATGAGTGGGATATAAATATTCAGGTAGGTCTTTTCTGACTAGTGAGTATTCTGTAGGCGTGGGTAGTTTGCTCTCTCTGCGTTAGGTGCTCCCTCGCTTCGACAATCACAGCAGATCAAAAAAGACGCTGGCGAACTGGGAGAGAAAAGTTTCGCTTCATCAATCACACGCTCTCTGCTTGCTTGTATGTTGTTTTCTATTTACGCACACATATCGAGGACAGGAGTCGATTGTGACGAGAGCGCTCCTGTTTGAGTGCTTTCAGTGTTCTCGTATTGATTGGTGACTCCGGGGAACAAAACTAATTTAGCTGCCGGGCAAACAGGCATGCGTGTCTTCGGTGCCATTTTGTGATTGTGTGTGAGCGTGGAGAGTACACACATGTGCATGTTTTTGTGAGAATGGATTGGTTTGTACATGAATGTAACAGCTGTTTGTGAATACAATGGGCAGTTTATTGGTGAGTGTGGACAACAGACTCAGCTTGAGTAGTCCTGTGGTTGACAGTTAGCTGCCTGGGGGTGTTCAGTCATGCTTCCAGGAGTAAAACAAATGAAGGAATAAACAGGATGAAACAATGCCTCGAGCAAAACATGTACAAGAAAAGCTAGGAGCGGGGCTAAAATAAAAATTAATGGTACATGTCGAGGCATTAGGCTTGATGGGTCAGGCCCACCAAGGATAATCATGGATAATCATGTAAGGCAGAGTGTTTGTGTGTGTGTGTGTGTGTGTGTGTGTGTGTGTGTGTGTGTGTGTGTGTGTGTGAGTGTGTGTGTGTGCCCTTATTTTCTTACCGATTACATTGAGTTGTGCCCTTGCCTCCACAGGTTTGCCAGTGCTGTTGCCGAGCAACGCTTCACAAACATATATCCCAGTGTCAGCAGAGGCGGGGGCAAGAATAACGAGCCGACGCCCACTGGCCAGACGACGCCCATCACGTTTCCAAGACACCACGAGGCTGTCAATCGGTCTGAGAGCAGAGGAGCGGAGAGGAGAAATAAGGGAAGCAGTAGCGGTGTTATTTGGAGAAAAAGGAAAAAGAGTGGCAGAAGGCAATTACAACATATTAAATCCATCAGTTTATGTGTCAATGAAGCAGGAAATGAATGATGACAGTCTGTATATCAGAGCAGTCAGATCTACTCAGCATAAAGCAGCTTTAGTCAGTTACTCTGGATGTTGGAGAAAAGAAATGGGTTTTCATGTAGAGTGAACATTTGTTCTGGATAAACAACATCAAAACACCATTCTTTTGGTGTGTGTGCGTGTGCGTGTGCGTGTGTGTGTGTGTGTGTGTGTGTGTGTGTGTGTGTGTGTGTGTGTGTGTGTGTGTGTGTGCGTGTGTGTGTGTGTGTGTGTGTGTGTGTGTGTGTGTGTGTGTGTGTGCGCTTGACAGCATTAATACAGCAGCCCAGTTCTTTGGTGCATTTTCAGGCAAGATTTCCATTCCTATAGGCAATCTCCATTAAGATGTGCAACTGATTTTCTAAGCTAATTATGTAATCAGCAGTTGGAACCGCCTTCCTAAATGCATTTTGTTTGGGGCATTTCAAAAGATCCTAGTTCATTCATAGCCTTTGTCCACAAGCGGTAATAATACAAAGCACAGCGATGCAAACACTAGATGATACATTTACATTACAAAGCAAAATAAAACATTGCTGGGGTTAATATAAATCAACAAGGAATACATATTTTTCGGTGTACATAACTTATAGCCTCCATTTTTGGTTATAGGGGTTTATGAAACCAAGTCATTAAAGAAACAGAAATAAATCACATTGAGAACCATTAATTAAAATGGCTGTGTGGGAAATACACATAATAACTCCAACATTAATTAGTTCAAAGATCATTATTGTTACATTATTATGATCTATTAATATCACACCATCACATATTTGGTTTGAATTCCAATAGCGATCACTTTGACAAGACATTAAATCGCACTTACAAAGGTTATTATAAAGGAGTCGAAGACAAGCTGGTAATTCAGCCACCTCAAGGTTAAATGCAAGTGGTATGTTTTTGAAAGTGGGCAACTGAGATGACTATGAAACAAAATCCCATAAATATGCAATCCAACTGTAGATAATTATATAACGTTGGACTTTTTTATGGATACACTTGAGAGTTCGCTGCTTTCTTTCTCAGACACCCCGAGGTGTAAACAAAGTTTGATAACAAATAAATTAAAGCTTTGGCGGGGCCATTGTGTGTCAACATTTTAATATGCTTACTCAGTGGGTCCTGTCCACAAAATAATTCAAAATGTACCCAAAGATAGAAAAGCAGATTTAACAGCCCTTAATATGAGACCTGCTGGCACAGCTTGTTTTCAATCAAACTCCAAATTATCCTAGCACTCTACCATCACTGCATTGGTGCATATGACTGATTAATGGTTAATGGATGTGGATAGCAGATGCTTTTAGACTTCAGCACTGCACTTTATTTCTCTGATCATACTTTCCTTTCTCCCAAACTTCAATACAATAGTTTCTTTCTGTTCCCTGGGTACAGTAGTATCTCTCTGGAGTGAGTATGTTTCAGTGGATTCTCTGATATCAGAAATACCCCCCGTGGAGAGGTCTTTTTCTTCTAGGACAAATGCAGCAGGCTGTGAGCTAATTTGTCTACAGTTATAGAGTTGGCTGCAAAGATCCAATTACATGGTGTTGAATTAAAAAGAAGACCAGTCTGACCGTATGGATCAGTATTTGCGTGATCAGAATGGATCCTGTTGTTGCTAAAACAGTTTTTACACATACTATATGTATATTCAATTTGTGTGTGCTGTGTGATATGGTTTAGTCACTTGCTTTTTTCATACTGAACTGAGTGCTACCCAGTGGTCAAGTGCTGGCCAAGTGCGTTTGAGAAAGAAACATTTAAAGGGTCTTCAGCTCTCACAGAGCAGCACATCTAGCTCGGATTGATAATAGAGCAAAAACCTTGAACAAATAGAGTGCAGTTAAACTCAATACAGCATGTTTAGCAACTAAAGCTGTGAATACCGCCTGTGCTTTTATCTGCCCAAAGCTGCCTCTCTTTTCGTTTCAATCAATGTAAGACTCATACAAGAACATGCCTCTGAAAGCACATAACAAAATGTTACATATTAATAATGTTATCCTTGTGTGTAAACTTGGATGAAACTGTGCCTAGCCAAGATACATTTCAACCAACCTGCCTCCATCCTCCAGCGTTGGTGTCAGTGAGTTTAGTGTTTGATACACAAAACACGGGCTAGAACTGCAGAAGTTATGCAGCTACTTTTACCCCTAGGTAAACTCTTATTAAAACACAAACACCCTATTTCAACGGGTGTAAAGTGCTCCCTTTGTCTTGAGAGAAGGGTTCACCTAGCGGTTGTTGGGTTGGAATACAAAGACACGCCACTAGCTGTGATCAAAACAAAAATACACATTATGGACAAAAAGCCAAACATGCCTTCATCATATCATATTGAAAAAACGTAAAAATGACTGTCACAAAGTACATGAATAAAAAGCACTTTCTTGTCAATTCATGTCTATTTTCAAAAAGTTAAATGCACCTAAAAAGGCAGTGTTTAAAAAAAAAAAAAAAATGAAATGGCTTCTCAATTTGAATTGTCATATTGTTGGAGAATGCCTTTGCTAGTAGTAATAATGGATTTTCATTATTATATTTTAATTAAAGATTTGACCCAATTAATGCACATATGAGTTTGAAATGAAGGATACCATTTTCATTTTTAATTAAGTCTGACAGTGCTCAGTTGCTTTTGTACTTGTTTGGGACACAAAGGGGGTTTGACAGTGTTCATCTTTGAGATGAGAGGAAACTGATTTCAGATCAGTAAATGAAAACTCTTGGAAATAAAGTAGAACTTGTTCTGTTTGGCTCCGAAAAACATCTGTTTTATCTGACTAGACTGTAGCCCCTGTGTGTGGGCCAGTGAGGATTGTTGAACAGCTTCTCTGCTGATGTCAGGGACTTTGAACCAATTTCTCTTCACGTTAACTTGGAACGTGTGTGTGTGTGTGTGTGTGTGTGTGTGTGTGTGTGTGTGTGTGTGTGTGTGTGTGTGTGTGTGTGTGTGTGTGTGTGTTTGTGTGTTTGCGTGTATGTATGCTTTCAGTCTTAACATTAATAAAAGAGGGAGAGACTTGCTGAGCAACGACTTTATATGTTGTCCTCTAATTGCCCTAGAAGAAAACACTGCTCTCTAGCAAGAAAATAATTGTTTGCAGTTGGAATGGGTGTGTGTGTGTGTGTGTGTGTGTGTGTGTGTGTGTGTGTGTGTGTGTGTGGTGTGTGTGTGGTGTGTGTGTGTGTGTGTGTGTGTGTGTGTGTGTGAGAGAGTGTGTGTGCGGATAATAAATATACCTGGCGTTAGCAATGCACTCCAGCGTCACCTCGCTGCCTGCCACCACTGTTGTGTCTTTGGGTCCGATCACAATCGCCGGAGCCACAACTTCTGATTCAGGATCTGTGACAGAAAGAGAAAATATGAGAGGCAGTTTAAGCAATAAATCCCAAACGGCTGCAAAATGTCAAAACAAAAAGTCTCCCACTCTAACAACTATACACTTTAACAGATGCACATCACTCTCTCTTGTGGGCACCATGATACTTTGTCTACTGTATATTCACACACTGTGACAGTGTCATTTGTTTTATTTTATCTAACGCTGAGCAGGCACTGTATGCTTTGAGTGTTTAAGTGTTGTGGCTAACTGTAGTCTTGACTCAAACTGCTGCGATAATTGTATAGATAAAACTGAACTCTGCTGCAAAACAAATGGACCAAATTGGGTGCATCTTAAAGCCGTCTGTTGGCCAATATTCTTCTGTTTTATTTTCAGTTAAAAGATAAATTGTACAAAGCAATACTACCTGTTCTGTCTTTGTCAACCGTTTGAAAGGATGCAGTTATCTTGATATATAGCTAAAAGAAATTCAAAAAAGAAACCCTCCTGTGACCAGTTGATCAGATTGACAATAAGAGCCATAAATAAAAGAAGAACAAATGAAAAAGCATTTCACAATATGAAACGATGCCAGCAAGTAAGAGAGGATAATAGTAGGTGATTGACAGTGTATATGAGAGGATGGTAGTATATGAGATTGGATGTCAGACTCTGATAGAAGCAAAAGAGAGTTTAAATGAAATTCCAAATGCATTTCCACTTCTTATGAACTGCCCTCGCCTCTTATCCCCGGCACATTTTCACTCACGCATACACACCTCATAATTCTCTCTTATAACAAATATTACTCTTTGTCAAACATGCCACTGTTCTGTCTGAAAAACATTAATATACGGGGTATAATGATGTATTGGAGACAGTATGATGGTGTGTGTGAGTTACAATGATAACTTTTAGAGTACATTGGTGTGAATATTATATGTGAAGCATGATTTATTACCTTGAAGATGTGAGTATGGTGTGTGCAAGATTATGGTTGTGTGTGTGTGTGTGTGTGTGTGTGTGTGAGTATGATTTATGGCAGGAATGGCCGCTCATAACAAACGGACACATTTGGATTTTTATCAGTTTGAAGTGTGTAACATCTGCTCAGCAAAAAATTATAAAATAAGTAGAATGGGCCGATGGAAAACATTTTGTTTTTAATGATGATGTTTACTGCACAAAATATGATGTTATTGGCCCTCAAAAAACATATTCCAACTACAAAACACTGATTATAAGGCTAGTGAATATTAAGATTAAACTTCAACAGTATAATCCTGTT